TGCTCTTCGTAATTTTACAAAAAAATTAAGATATAAATAATGTTTGACATGTTGAAAAATAATATAAGTAAATAGAAGAAAATTTATTCTAAAGGGTTAAAGAAAATCAATAAATCTTTTCCGTTAATACACATTTTTCCTAATACGAATGATCGATAAGTTGGAGGCGCTGGATTCGAGACTATGGCTGGGTAGCCAGTGTGCGCATGTCACTTCGCACGGACGATCTCTTTCTGTCGTGGCATCTGGAGGTGAGTGGTTGTCGTGGTTTATACACGGAAAGATAATCCAACGTTTTGCGAGTGTTGAAAATTGCATCGGTCTTCAGGTATGGGATAAAACAACGCGAGAATATATGGATAATTGTGTTGTGTTTTGATTTTTACGAGTCTATGCCGGTGGTAAGAAAATTTCTCGCGAATATCGTCAAGAAGGAAAAGGCGCGTGGCCCCCGGTTTCGTTGTACGTCTTCTTTATCTCTGTCTCTCTTTCTCCATCTTTCTCTCTCTCTCTCTCTCTCTCGCTCGCTCCTTCGCTATATCTCTACCGGCTTTATTCTTTTCGCTAAACCTCGTGATTGCATGAATCTATGAATTACTTTTCTGTTTTCTTCTTGTTCGAAAAAAAAAAAAGAACAAAAAGAAATTTTCATCGAAAAATAATCCTCGTTGAGAAAGAGTTTGCGAAGACGAGAAAAAGATTTCAGGAGAGAGAGAGAAAGAAAGAAAGAGAAAAAAGAATAGGAGAGAGGTAACGCTAGAAAGAAAGAGCGCAAGCAACGAAACCGGATGCGCCATGACTGGTCCTCTTGTGTCAGAGCCTCTCGAGTGTCGATCGTGAAATAAATCGCGTGCGTGCAATATTTTTTTTTATTTTGTTTATCAGAAGCGTGGAATCATTTTTTTTTCAAAGGGATAGAGGAAAATTTTCGTGTCGTTGTGAATAAAGTATGAAAGTTTTTAAGGCCGAAGGTCGTATATTATAATCTTGTGTAAAAAATTAGAAAATGATTTGAAATTTGTGCTTGCATGTTCTAATCGTACATTTTTAATTAGTTTACTTAACGAAGTGTTACTTTATGAGGAGATAAAAGTAATGGAGGAATAAAAAAATGAACTAATAATATATGCAGACGCGGATATTAAAATTACATATATATATATAGGTTATATATGTTATACACGTATATATATATATCGGGTTTTACATTCCATATTGTCGTCTCGAAATTATTTTTTTCTTCTTCGTCTCAATCGCAGCCCTTTGTTAGTAGTAAGAATATGCAAGATCACAAATTTCATCCTTATTTGTTACTATTCGCTTAATATTGGAAAAATGTATATTCATATAGACATGTGCCAATATGGCACAACATCGATCCATATTAATCTTCGTCGTTTTGCGTAGGAGTATTAAAAGATCGATATAAATTAATGAGGCGATGCTCTCCATTTTCTTTCTTTTTTTTTCTTACAATTATTTCGACATTCGATAATTTTAATAGGAAATAATTTTCATAGTATTTCGTTCAAAATAATCTGAATTTGTTAGAGATATCCATCTGGATAGAGACAGATTATTGTAAAATCATTTCGAAGGGGTGTGTATATCCTATATCTTCATATAGGATATACGAAACGAATAAAATTCAATACTTATTTTAATATGGATAGTGCAATAATAACGTTGAAAATATTCTAATCATCCTAATTTCCATGAAAAATATGAATGAATCATAACGTGCAGTCTGTGAATCGACGCGAGAATTGCACCGGCAGCGCTTTGCCTTCTACAAAATGGCTGCCGGTTTCTTTCTCGAATATTCATGCTCGCCACGTGGATTCGAAACAAAGAGGATCTATTTGCTAAATTATTCATATAACGATAGCTTCGCGAATTTTAATCGTTCTTTGATAAATTAAATTAAATTGAGACGAATCGTTGACGTGATATATTAACAAGACGGTATACTTAACCTTCAATTATCATGATTATTGTGAACTACTTGTTATATTTGCTCATAAATATTCACAATCAAAAGATATCTTTAAACTGTCCAGTTTTTATTTAATGTTGACATAAAGGTGTAAATGTGTATCGATAAAAAAGAAAAAATTTACCAATGTTGTATATCTTTTTGCTTAGATATAATCCAAAGAGTATCACAAAAGAAATTTCATCATGGGTAAAGAGAAGGTTCATATCAACATTGTAGTCATTGGACACGTAGATTCTGGCAAATCTACGACCACTGGACATTTAATCTACAAATGCGGTGGTATCGACAAACGTACCATTGAAAAGTTCGAGAAGGAAGCCCAGGAAGTAAGTTCTTAATTTAAATCTTCGTAATTTAGATCTTGAGTTGCAATTTTTTTTTTACATAGTTGCATTAATGTCACTGCTACTGTTCATTATTATGGCACAGTGATGATATAATCTTGGATTCATTCGCGGTTTCCACCGGAAGACTTTGTCTATTGACGGCCAATACGCGTCTGAGTGTCAAAACATTTAATAGTAACAGTTAGAGATAACACTTGTCCTTAATATATATTATCTTTGGGATTGATTTAATCATATTTCCTTTTTATGTTGTAGATGGGTAAGGGTTCCTTCAAATATGCTTGGGTATTAGACAAATTGAAAGCCGAACGTGAACGTGGTATTACGATTGACATTGCTCTTTGGAAATTTGAAACTTCAAAATACTACGTCACAATTATTGACGCACCTGGACACAGAGATTTCATCAAGAACATGATCACTGGTACCTCGCAAGCTGATTGCGCAGTGCTGATCGTAGCCGCTGGTACAGGAGAATTTGAAGCTGGTATTTCTAAAAATGGACAAACACGTGAACATGCTTTGCTCGCTTTTACTCTTGGTGTAAAGCAGCTTATCGTTGGTGTTAACAAAATGGACTCTACCGAGCCTCCTTATTCCGAGACTCGATTCGAAGAAATCAAGAAGGAGGTCTCTTCGTATATTAAAAAAATTGGTTACAATCCTGCAACTGTTGCATTTGTACCAATCTCTGGTTGGCACGGGGACAACATGTTGGAGGCCTCTAGCAAGATGCCATGGTTCAAGGGATGGGTAGTAGAACGTAAAGAAGGCAAGGCAGAAGGTAAATGCCTTATCGAAGCTCTTGATGCCATCCTTCCACCTACCAGACCTACGGACAAGGCACTCCGTCTTCCACTTCAGGTAATTTTATTGAAAAGGTTATTAAAAAAATGTATAGAGAGAGAGAGAGAGAGAAATAAAAATGACCATTTGATATGATGATAATATATTAAACTCATTCGCGGTTTCCACCAGAGGACTTTTTTGTCCGTTGATGGCTAGAGATGTCTGATCTTTCTAAGAAATATTATTACAAAACTGAACATCATAGAATAAAGATTATTAAAATAACTTTGATTTTATATTTTTAGGATGTGTACAAGATTGGTGGTATTGGAACGGTACCGGTTGGTCGTGTTGAAACCGGTGTATTGAAACCGGGTATGGTTGTTACATTCGCTCCAGCGGGTCTTACCACTGAAGTTAAATCAGTCGAAATGCATCACGAAGCTTTACCAGAGGCTGTACCTGGTGACAATGTTGGTTTTAACGTAAAGAACGTATCGGTCAAGGAATTGCGTCGTGGTTTCGTCGCTGGAGATTCTAAAAATAATCCACCAAAAGGAGCAGCTGATTTTACTGCTCAGGTATTTCTTTCTTTTTTTTTTTTTTTTTCTTTCTCCCCCAAGAGATTTCGAGGGAGAGCCATTAAAATATTAAGTTTGCGCGTGAACGAATAAACGAATGAAAATAATACACGTCGTATTTCACAGGTCATCGTACTAAATCATCCAGGACAAATCAGTAACGGTTATACGCCGGTATTGGATTGCCATACCGCTCACATTGCATGCAAGTTCGCCGAGATAAAAGAAAAATGCGATCGTCGTACCGGCAAGACCACCGAAGAAAATCCAAAATCTATAAAATCTGGAGATGCTGCTATTGTGACTCTTGTGCCGAGCAAGCCAATGTGCGTAGAGGCATTCCAGGAGTTCCCTCCGCTTGGACGTTTCGCTGTCCGTGACATGCGTCAAACGGTTGCGGTCGGTGTTATCAAGGGTGTTACTTTCAAGGATACGACGGGTGGAAAAGTCACCAAGGCCGCCGAAAAGGCCCAGAAAAAGAAATAACTAGTTTCCGTATGCATGTATCGCCGGATGGGCTCCGGCCTCTTGTAGCTGAGGTAGTTTGTCCTCTTTCTTCATGCCTTTCGTATAAGAGGAAGTCGTCGTTATGCTCGCCGTCGTCGAAGACATTTCCTATGAAATTGCATTCCGTTTGGAATAACGAGAGCAGGATCAATAATAAAGGGTCGCGACGTTACGGCTTCAACTCGAACGTCCAGATAATAACATCTTTCTCGCGTTTCTTTGGTATTCGTCTCTTTCGTTTGTCGAAGCGTTCGCTTCGTCACTTCTTCCATCGTAAAGAATTTCGTAGGAAAGGTTACGGGGTATAGGGAGAAAAGAAGAAGAACCATTTATTGACTAAAAAACATACTCGCTCCTTTAATTTGTACGATTTACATGAGGTAAGAGGGGTAAACTACGTGAGCTATCTCGCGATAACGATTTCTTTCACGCGAACATCAAAAGAATATCATAATTTAGCTCGGCTTAATTATATTTTCTAATTATTATACGGAATTAATAAATCCTATATCTGCGATATTCGACAAACATATATATTTCATTATTATTCTTTGTCGTCGTTATTGCTGCTAACCGAGGTATCATCGTCATCCTTTTATCCGATATGCTTCCATTCTTTTACTCGGGGAAGTCGATCGAAACTTTGTGTCTCCTTTATTATTAATATCGTTTCTCTCTTTTCCAAACGGTCTTTTCTTCGTTCGTTTTTTTTTCTCTAATTTTTCCCCCTCCACTTTTCTCATTTCTTTTTTTTTCTTTTTTTTTTCTTTTTTTTTCTTTTTTTTTTTTTTTTTTTTTTTTTTGTTGAATAACCGCGCGTATATAAGCACAAAGGTAAAGCTCTCGGATTCGTTCGAAATTACGCGGGGAATATATAATGCAATAGTAGATTTGAATAGATTTCGTTAGGTGTACGGGACCTGTTCTTTAATATTAATATTTTTCGATTATATCAGATTAAGTAAAAGGTCTGATTACTCAAGAAGACATACGTACATACATAAATAACTTTTCTACAAAGGTATACACATATTGCTTTTATCGATGACAATTGTCTTTTTACTCGATCCACACGCGAATTGTGGTATTGTGCAGGAGGGCGATATCTTTGCAGTAACTCGGCACTTTAACCTGTGACTTTGCATAACAGAATTGGTTGAAAACAGTTTTCTGTACATATGAATAACGATAATAATGAGTAGTAAAGGCGAATAAAGAAGCTACGGAATCCAAGTTCTCTTTAAAATTTATTTTTCGTCCCTCCTTTCTCTATTTACTTAAACCCATTGAAATATATTTTATTTTATCCGTATACGTTTAGGTATCTGAAAGAAATAAAATATAATTAATGATAATTGCATTCAAACCTTAGTTTTATTTTCGCATTATATACATGCAATCTATAATTTAGTACGTTTTAAAGATTGCTAATTATTGTGGAGATAGAAGAGCTAAGTATCTATTGTCGGTCAAATTTATATCGAACTTTTACGCGACTAGATGGCGCGCTGAATGACTAATCGATATAAAATTTGACTGCACGAAGATCGATAGTTCGTGCGATATACGATTTGAATTTATTTTTGAACGAGAAAAAAAATTCATTCGCTATCTCTTGAGCACGAAGCATTTGTGAGTTCAACAGCGACAGAAATGAACAAAATATGAACTACAAGCTTATTAACAATGTCTTCATCGATACACCTATCGTATTGATCTATACGATAGCTCGTGTAGATTGTGTATCTCTCTTATAATCGGATTACGTAATAATCGAGTTAGTATATGATATAGAAAGATTTGTATTAAGTAAAAAAATAATAGTTAATAATACATTTAACGAAAACAATCAACAGATATATGCAAATTATTTCTACTTCTTTGAAAAATAGATTACTTGATAAGTATTTGTTAACTGTACAAACTTGACATTTTTTTCTTTTTACATTTATACGTATCTAGTTAAATTTGTGTATATAACTAAAGTTTATTTAAGTAGTCATTGGCTCCTATGTTACTTACAATGGAATGCATAGCGCGTAAAAATATGATATTCGTTAAAACAAATGTAATATCGTCTATCCAGATTCCATCATGTGGAGGTTGCTGCTTGTGAAGATCCCATTGTACTAACGATGACGCATCCAAGTGAATGTCACTGAACATTATGAAAATCGCTTGAATATCAAAGTACCAAAATCGTACTCGATTTTTCTCCCTACTGAAAAAAGTAGATACCCCTATACTCACAGAAGACTTATAAATAATAATTAATAAGAATAATACGAAAGAAAAGTAACTCTGTAATTATCAAAGTTAATAAAAAACGCGTTTATGTTAATATTACACATACTAAGATCAATCAACAATCCTGAGATAAAAATTGTATAGTATTGGAATTAAATTGAATTAAAATTATTTGAAGTTTTTTTGTGTGTTACGAATTTTTTAACGATTGAGCAAATGTATTATTGCTTAAATGTTACTTTATTATAGTCCGTGTAAAATAATTGAAAAATTATCGATAGTATTAATTTATAAGTTTTCACGTTTGGAAAGAGAGTGAGTGTTGGTTTGCACTCGTCGAAATAGAAAGGAAGACTGATTCAATAACGGTCGAAGTCGATCAGAGGTTTGTTTTTGTTGTTGTTACACGTAGCCACACAAAATATATATATAACTAACTTTTAATTATTTTAAACATTATTAAGAATTTACTATCGTTTAAATATTAGTTGGTTATACTTCGCGCTAAAGATCTAAAATTGTTTAAATAATTCTAAAATAATCAAAAGTATGAATTATTTAAGCTCGACTTCTGTATGAAAGGAAAGAATTTCGATGTTTACTAAGATTGAAATACAAATTAATACTGACTTGTCAAAGTCAATCGTGCGGTCATTTTTTTTGTCATTAACAACTTCATATTTCAAATTTACGCCTATCAAAATATCAAATTAAATTTTATTTTATATTTAGTATATATTACAAGTTATATGATCTTTTGATAAATCTAACATCGTTATAAATATTAATTTATCGTAGTACATGTACATCATATATCGTTTATATAATTATAAAATACTCGATAAAATATTAATCATTTAACCGGACAAATATAAACGTAGAAAATTGACATGTTTACTTGTTGAAATACGAAAGATATCTAACACGAGAACTGTCCAACTTTACATATTTGTTTTATTTATGGTTACTTAACTGAAACGACATATTGTATCATTGTTAATTTAAACATTAATTATTATTATTATTATTATTTATATAATTGAAAATAAATTATATATAATAATTCATAATAAATTATGAATTAAAAAAAAAATTCATATTCCTTAAATATAATAGTAATGCATTCTTCTATAAATCTCCTTCTTTAAAATATAATTTATTAGATTTTTATTGTAATTTCAAGACATTTACTTTCGTATTTGTAAACAAAAGAAACTGCAATTATAGATCCATTTGTGTGTGTGTGTCAAAGATCAAACTGGATATTAAAAAAGTTTACGTGTACGTAAGAGAATATGACGGTAAACTTGTAGAAATTTTCGAAATGAAAACGAAGTGAAGCGGAACAATTAATTAGATCGCTCCTACTAATTATATAAGTTCTTTACAGAGAATTTAATTTTATCGATAATGTTAAAAGGTGTACATAGAAAAATTCATTAATTTTCTAAATTGCTTAAGAAACTATAAGCTTCTTCGTATGATTCATAATATTCCATCCTAGTTGTTTATAAGCTAGTTAGAAATTTCTGAATATTTTATTATCGCATACCTACACGCTCTTTGCATTTAAATATTAGTCATGCAAGAACTGTGTTCAACGATCATTCTCAATGCACAGGATATGATTAGGAGGAATATATCAATATTTTTCCTATTTTTCATATTAATATTAATAATAATAACGATAATAAATATTTTTTCATTAAAAAGGAAAATGGAAGAAATTAAATAAAAATTATCAATTTGATTTTATTACATTAAATATCGCTCGACAATGTTGGACATTTCTTTGTACATACGATGTCAAATAAATTCTAAATAATAGATTAAAGGAGAAAAGAGAAACATTGAAATTATTCATTTGATTTTATTATTAAATAATATCGATAAATTGTGTTATTCGTTTCTTTACGCGTATCTAACAGATAACAGATAGTATATTATTGTAAAACCAAATGTAGGTTTTTTCTTTTTTTTTCTTTTTCTTTTTTTTACTCGCGAGAAGTAGTAGAGATAGTTATTTGTTCGGAGGTACGCACATAGCGCAGACTCGAGGGCTCGTTTACTCCTAATTCTAGTTGGCTTTCATTCGTTATTCCACGTTGTTACAGCAACATTCGTAGTCGTGTTCTTCGCTCTTGTTCCATCACTTTGCATCCCTGACCTGTTGCGTGACAGACGAAATTTATGAAATAACAAAAGCATAATTTTGTAAGTAAACGGACGATTGTTAAAAATAAAAGAAATTTTCTTTTTTTTTTGCTCTCGTTTTTTCTTTCGTTTTATCATTTAATGCTTATATCATTTTATAAATGAATAACAAGAAAATATGCGCCTAAACAAAGTGATTGATAAAAAACACGAAGTTCGCGATTAATATCGTGAAGATAAAAGAGATCATAGCGAGAAGATATAAACGTAGAGCCTATTGTTTTTAATTATTGTTTGTGACTGATGTATGTAGATAGAACTAAAGTTGTACGATAGTACAACGTCTACGGTTGTTATGAACGAATAAAATTAATAATAAAAAGTTTTTTATCAATAAGGGAAAATACGCATGATATTTATTAAATATTTATCGATGTAACAAGCGAATTTATGACCGTTGAAATCGACCGATATCGATTCGTGCTATCGATTGTACATACTTATTACATCGTTGTGGAATTCTTGAGAAGAACATTTGATTTCTATCGTATTTTATATATGTATGTATATGTAATATTTTTTCCCAAATGATTCACAGTTAAGCGATAATTTTGCATATAATTTTGCACTTCTGCACACGTCCTTGTTCCTATAAATGTACATAAATTAAACGATAAAATTATAGTAGAATGTCAACAAGCTAGCTCTATGGCTATGCTAAAGTACTGCATTGCGGAATCGATAGTTCCGATGACGATCAAAGATGAATAATATTTATATCTAAACGATGATCGCGGTGCCGTGTGTCCTTATTGCATCTTCTTCACGGAATGTTATTATTTACCTAACAGATGTTTTCTAGTTCCCTATAATCGTCAAAGGAATATATAATCATATATGTATATAAATCATTAATCACAAAACCATATAATATACGCTTAGAAAGGGTGGATCTCAATTTCACGTATGTGCGTCCTATGACAATGATAGGGTTTACATGTCAATTTAAATACATAGATTAATATCTATATATATATATTTTTTTTTTTCCGGGGTTTATATCGGACTTGATCGAACGATAAACTTTAGCATCAATCAAATATCTTATCTTCGAATATTTAGAAATGACATAAAATACATTAATTCTAACTAAAAATAATAAATAAGTAATAGCCTTATAAGGTTACCTGATAATCATTCGATATCGATTAAACGAGTATAAAATATTATGTCCTTTTATGGGCTTTACTATCGTTTGCGTACATTGTAGGATTTTCATAAAAAAAAAAAAGAAGAACATTGCCTATACGTGTGAGAAAATTTGGTAGTAAGTCGATAACATCATTTGTATTAATCGTATCTAGGGTCCTTCGTTACATCGTACTACGATTAAACGTAAAATCGCTATTAAAATTACACGTTTAAATTACGATCGTTATAATATTATTATAACGTTACATTTTAACGATAATCTCCTTCATATCTTTTTATCGATTGTATTGGCGAACGAAATGAAAGAACAATGAAATAATGCTTGAGAAACGCGAGAAGAAAACTCGTGAAAAATGATCGTACGAAAGACGAAGACACGATCGTTACATTTAGTATACTCGATAAATTATATCCTACGTATATCCTGCTTGTTCTCGGTACTTTCGATAAGAAATATTATCATGGGTAAAGAAATATTATCATAGTTATGACGAGACATTGCGAGAGATAAACGCTCGTATATATTTTGACTGATTAAATGCATGCCGCTTTTGTATGGTGATGTTAAAGGATATAACATTTCTTTCAGCATATAAGATCCCCCATAAAAACGGATCCTCATTCGTACGTAGAGGATACTTAATGATATATACGCAATTGTACGATCGCATTGTTACATCTACACACACATACATATATATGTATATATACCTACGAATGTATGGATACTCGTATACCTGTAGATAGGCAGGTAAGAATATACAATACTTACATGAATATACATAAAATATATTATAATCGTTAATAATATACTTCTACGTTGTTTCTTAACAAGGTAATGGTTGGTTTTATACGTTTCTACGTGGAGTCTGATGACACCATGCTAAAAACGAGGAATATCCTTCATGGAAATTCCAGTAGGACGAATTTCAAAATTTGGTCGGTACTGGGAAATCGAAAAAAGGGAAAGACAAACGGTAGAATAAGATCTAATCAAGAAAATACATTTCCATTAAGGACTCGACAATTTCTTCATAACGAGAACGTTAACACGTTACATCCTATAAACATTGACAAGGTAAGACTTGCTTAAAAATCGTTGTTACTTTTTCCCCCTTTATTTCAGATGTTAATTTTTTTTCAGGATTCGGAGGAGAGCTTTCATCGGGCGATCAGCCCGATCTTATGGTGGACACAATTCTTCGGCTTGCTCCCGTTATCCGGAATATCTGCGAATTTACCGTCGAGCTTAAAATTCAAGAAAATCTCTTTTCGAACTGCTTACGCCATCATAGTAGCTGCTTCGATATTCGTAATGGCGATACTGTCGATCATTCACATGATAAAGACTCTCAAACCCGAATCTTTCGGTATGCGTGGTAAGGATAATTGATCGGATAATCTTCTATCTCTTTTAACGAATAATACAAAATATATTCTAGATTATTTGTCGAAACGTAAACGTTAGATAGAAGGTAACATTTATGACTTATATAAATATGATTCGTCGATGTATTCAATAGGTGGAATAGCTGCGGCAACAGCCGGGGCAATATTCTATGGAAATGGTTTATGCGGAACGATCATGTACCTTTGGTTATCGCCACGTTGGGTGATCCTTCAAAACGATTGGAAGGCAATGGAACAATTCATAGATAGGTTAATTAAAATATTATTTAACAGCTAACTTATTTCTATTTAACGAATTGTCTCTCTTTGTTGTCTTAATATCATTTTCAGCAACAAATATCAACGACCACGGCTTCGTTGGAAATTCATAATAATAAGTAGCATCATACTTTTTTTCGCTCTCTTCGAACATATCGTAAGCGTAATTAACAACAGTACTGACTTTGAATGGGGAACATCAAATTCAACCTTTGCCAATTTTTTACACATTTACACCGTCAACTCTCATAACTTTATTTTGGAAAATAGTACGTTCATTTATACTTTCTTACTCGGATCAATGAGAGCACCTTTCAATGTTATTAAATTAATCCTGTTCAATGATCGTTTTACAGTCGATTACAACTTCGCCGTTGGTATTTACATATTTATAGTGAGCAAGATAGCGACTTTCGTGTGGAACTTCACAGATTTATTCGTCATGTTGGTATGTTACCGTGAAAAATAAAAACGAATTATAAACAATCTTAACGAACGAAGTTTCAGATTTCCACCGGTCTGGCTGAAAGATATAAGACATTGAACAGGAGATTATTCGATATGGCGGAAAAGCACGCGAACAATGTCGATTGGAGTGAATTTAGAAACGATTACGCCATCCTAAGTTCACTGGTGAAAAAAGTGGACAATGATATATCTCCGATAATACTCCTTTCCTTCGCAAATAATCTCTACTTTATTTGTTTACAATTATTGAATGGAATATCGTAAGTCAACTATGATAACGTAACATACAAGACGCATTATATGAAACTACGAATTAGATTTGGACGTAAGGACGTTTAAAATCTCATTTGCTTTTTCATTCGAAGCGGTCCTGAAGGCGACGATATTTTGAGTAATCTTTACTTCTTTGGTTCTTTTGCCTTCCTCATTCTTCGAACGTGTGCCGTAACTTTATTGACCGCCAGAATAAATGATCAAAGTAAAACGGTACTCCCATTATTGTATAATTGTTCTTCGTCCACCTATAACATCGAGGTATATAATATATATTATTCATCTATATTTAAATCAAAATGTTACATATAAGAAATAATTGAAACACGGAGTTGTCTAAGATTTTCGGACAATTTTTTTATTCGAAGATATATATATATATATATTTTTTTTCTTTTTTTGATAGACACAAAGATTGCAATATCAGCTTACCACCGACGATATCTCACTGACAGGCTTACGTTTCTTTTCCATCACGAGGAACTTTATGTTAGCGGTAAGTTGTTTTTCTCTTTTTTTTTTTTTTTTTTTTTTTTACTTTTTAATATAGCCAATCCTAAATCGAATCAAACATGACGTATGTATTATGTGTCTTTATTAGTTTTATGAAGAATATTTACGAAGAATTTAATGCTTTAGCTAACTGGAGCGATCGTAACGTACGAGGTCGTGCTTCTTCAGTTCAACGTTGCTATGATAAATTGAATCAACGGTGGAAGCTACCTTCAAACATTGTCTCTCTCTCTCTCTCTCTCTCTCTCTCTCTCTTTCTCTCTATGTTTTTAGATTATTTAATGAAGATATAATACTTTGCAAAAAGGAAAATAAAAGAATATAAAAAAGGCTGATCGAAAGCAAAAATACCCCGATTGAAAATTCTTATACATAAATTGTTTCAACGAATTAAGCACAATTTATATCTAAATAAGAAAAGTGTTAGAAATATTAAAGGATTAATAATAGGATTGTCACCTCGCAAATGTTCGTAATGTTAGACTGGACCGTTTGTTGTATATTATTTATTTGTACCAATACTAGCTCATAAGTGACGATAGTGCCCGCAATCTAAACAAATGTTCAAATAATTTTCAAATTTTTACGCGATTATAAATTTATTGAATATATTTTTGTATGTATAAAAGTCTAATCGTTAGATTACACTTACCGTCAAGACGAGGCCTCTCGTAACAGAGAAAAATTTCATTCCAGTCAGGCTTATATTGTCGGTTGTGACTTGGGTCAAAAATCTCATTACCTGAAAGAAGTTTTCCAAAAAAAGAAGACCAAAAAAAAAAAAAGAAAAAAAAAACTTTTCGAAGGAACAAAGAAAACTAAGAAGATTTGAAAAAAAAATAAGAATATTAGCATACCTCAGTGGAATAGCTGGCACTCGAAACGCTGTAAAGTATCGGTGCCGGCAAACGGGATTCGTCATTAACGGAAGCTGCATATAAGGATACAGCCGTGGTCCTCGTGAGAAGAAATCCAAAGGAAAAACAAAAGTATATCTTCTGTATGTGATTGCGTTGTAAACTTCCCGATAAAAAAGAGAAAGAAAGATATATATATGACAGAAAGGAGAACAAAAAATTACAAAAAATGTATATTTAATTTACTTGAAAGAGAATAGCAACTGAATGCAAATGAAGTATAGATCGGTCGCAAACGAGAGAAAAACGATTGTTGAAATATGAGAATCGACTCGTCTGGTCAAACCAGCCAGATGATTGTAATCGTTTCTAGCCTCGGCCCACCACCAGTCCGGCATTGCCTTTAAAATGTCATAGTATTAATAACTATGAAAAAGAAATTTGTTCCTTGTTAATTACTTGCCTTTCCTCTAACAGAATTAAGACGACTATTCAATTGTTGAAATTGATCTGCCAGAGCCATGCTTACGAGGATCAAGAAAAGATCGACAAAGTTCCATGAGAAGGTGCTTAGCAAGTTAACTATTTCCACTAATATAGCTTTCCATAGACTGTAGGACATTTGCGAGAATACCTATTTCATCGCGGTAAACACAATTATTGCATTTTAAACGAGCTTCGTCTGAAGCGTACGAAAGATATAAAAAGATTATATCTCGTTGAACATGCGAAAGAATGTGCAGATTGTATACTTTACCTGTGTGTATTGTGATTCAAAATATTCTGCGATAACGTCGGAATCACTTCGATATTTTGCACATGCCATTGCATAAAAGGAACCCTTAAGTATAGATAATGAATGTTCGACTGTAATCATTTTGAAAAGAACATTAAAATTATTTTAATCCAAACTTGAACTGAAAACTGCAGTCTAGTTATATGAATATGAATGATTCAAATGTTTCGATAAGAAAAATATACTTACCCAATGCGAGAATCATCACGATGGCGGTAGTTAATTTAAATCTACCGGCAAGACTTATTCGAGAAATTCTCCGATGTCTAAACATGAACTCTCGTTCGACTTTTTCCCACGTTAACGCCAAGCAAGGCCATAATTTGGCGAGTTTTAGGAATAGGAGAGACGCGATGAGAGAGGTGCCATAGAAAACTAAACCAGTTGCTATTGCAACGGTACGTAAGTATTAAGATTATAGAATTTAACGGGATTTTTATTACTTTTTAAATTAAATTACTTACTCATCTTCATGGAATTTATACCCGTAGTGAATTGTAAAGCATTTAATACGGTCATAACAGTTGTGCTTAAAAAGAATACGATGGTGTACAATAATTTTGGACTATACCAGGTGAATCTGAAAGTATATATGTACATAAAGCTCGTAAAATAATTCTACGTTTATCTCGTTATGATATTTAATTGATGATTTTTCAACTTGCTTTAAGTAAGATGCATCCGGACTGTTGACACCGGAAACTGGAAGTATCGAAAAGCAATTCGCCAACAAGATGATCGGTCTGATCGACGCGTGAAAACTATCGGTAGCCGGATTAAAATTGTTCACCAAAGATACGTTCGGATCGGATACTGAAAATGATAAGTTTCCGCGAATCCGATCTCTCTCTCTCCCTCTCTCTCTGTTATACTTTCATATTTTTGCAATTCCCGTAGAGAACAAAAATTTATCTACTTACCTTCTGGATTTTCTACATCGGTCTTCAATGTATCGAATCTACTTAATTGTAGATTGCTTTTAGGAGATCTGGAAACATTATTACGCGTCACAAATATTCTCCTAAAACGTTGGCAAATTGTCCATTTTGATTTCGAGTCTCGATTCATATTTTCAATCGATTTACAACACGTTCCTTTCATATCTTAATTGCTATTGTAAAATAACGAACACTTACAAAAACTTAAGACAACGATTTTACCACCGCAATATGAACGGTGTGCGCGGAACAGAATCGCATGGCGAACAGAAGACGGAATTCTCTCCTCGGAGCTTTATTGGGCCAAGAGAAAACAGGTGGTGGGTGTTTTATAAACAATGGAAACTCGATAAACCTCTGTGGCTTCGATTGAGAACTTGAATGGAGACCTTGTGAAACGATTCGTCGTGAGGTAGAAAAAAGATCAGGGTGGAATGCCACCCCCTCTGAAGCAGACGAATCCTATTTATTTCGAAATTTTCAATTTATTTATATCAAAGGAATCTATCTGTATTAAAAGTATAACATAGACACATTTATTTCCATTATTTTCATATCGACTTGTCTAATTAGCATGAACGTTTCATCCATTCCGTCAATAAATACGCGTTAGAGCCAAAGAATGCAGATACATTCATTTTCCGTCTTCATTAAGTTAATTGTCATATTTAATCGTATTAAATTCGATCAATAAATCGGTGTTCGTCGATGTTAATTTTTCCAATAGTATTTTAACGAATATACATATGTACGTGTAAATACGCTATTACATTTAATAGGTGTAGACAGTTTAACGTTAAATAATAATAAAAAGAAATTATAGTAAAGAGAAATATATTTGGACTCACTTGACATGAATCGTGATGGGTCGATGTAATTTTGCATCGGTCCAAAAAGTTGTTCGCATCTTGTTGGCTTATTTTATCTCTTTTTTTAGATTGCACTTCATACCATTGTAATTAATATCATATAATTATTATAATTTTATTGACACTTACATGATCTGAGATGTTCGATGGTAATGTATAAGAGGAATTGGAAAGCGAAAAATTATTTGGAAGGGAAGAAACACGCGCGAACTGCTTACGGCACTCGAAAGGGCCGAAATAATCGTTCTGTTGAAGAACGCGGTAGAATATAGACTAGGAGATTTGCTTGATAGCGCAGAACGTCTATAGAATGTATTGTTTCTATCCAACATACAATCTCGCGATAAGTCGCCTACTATGCATAGAGAAATGACAGATGTTCTCCTCGAATGTATATAAGCATCGCACGACATACAACTTCGTACACTAGCGATATCCAAACTTAATTACAAAACTACGTCTTTATCTTTGACAGGAGGTCTTGTTGTGGAAGAAACCGTGAAAGAAAAATGAGGGGAAAAGTAATCTAACAAACGTACAAGAGTAGAATATGTATTTGTGGTATATTTTTAAATAATTATTCGCGATCATGTATTTGAGTGTGTGTATTTTATCGACATTATCGATCTCTCGCTCTCTCTCTCTCTCTCTCTCTCTCTCTCTCTCTCTCTCTCTCTCTCTCTCTCTCTCTCTCTCTCTCTCTCACTTATCATTAAATGTCCGAAAAAAAAATAAAATAGAGTCACAATTTACAGTGACTCTTCATTTTCAAATAACGATAACGAGCGAATGTCTTATAAGCTCGTCAAACGACTTATACTGACATAATATAGCAAGTGTATTTATTTTCAGAAATGCTTAATGATCACGTAAGATACGTCATGCGCATATCAAAGTTGGATACATCCATCATCCTCTTGGTGATAGTGCGAATGAACGCTGCTGCGGCTTTCGATCTCGCATTAGGGGTGTCGACGATCCGATAAGAATCCACCCTAACGGCATAACCAGTACTGTGCGCGCATTTATATATCTAGAATATCTATACATATACCGGTTGATGAAAAGAGCAACGCGTAAACGCAAACACCTTACTGACAAGCTGTGCAAACAAAATTTTTCCATCGTCATAGGGTCGCAGCTGCATTGGCTTCCAAGTAAAAGCACGACTCGCTTACACATACATCTCATACATAGTTGCAATACATATGTATTTATGTACTACGTTAACAACACATGCATATTAATGTATATGTAAAAACGCACAAACATATATAGAAATATACGTAAATCTCTTTGTGCGAGCTTGCATCTTGTTCGTTCGCTTAACAATCTATAAACCATCTTTAATGATTACAATCTATCTATATAGTTTTACAAACCTTCGTTATCCTTCTTCTTGTATCCCATAGAAACCGATATAAAGTATGTTGTATCACGGATTTAATGGACCTTTGAAGAAAAACAATATAGGACTTTATTCTTTTTTCTTCCCCCCACCCCACCCCACCCCCTCCCTCCTAATACCCTTATGATACGAATGAATCAGATCTTGTATATTACATCTTGATACATATATCTTACATACATAAACATGCTTTCATCGAACGCGCTTTTATCTTTGCGAGATGAGATTCCTTAAAATTCTTCAATAATTAATAAACGCACACACTCGCGCAAAGACTAGTTCGTACGATCTCCGATGACTCATCTATATACTTTTACGATGTGTATATCGATCGTCTTTACTAGTAACCGTTTCGTCATATACTGAACTTTTTTCGTACTAAAAGTAAATAATCTCGTCGTTATTCGTATATGTACATATTTGTTACGGGGGAAAAAAACTTTGTTAAATTGAAAATTGACATTAAATCGTGATTAATGTGGGCCCACAAATAAACACATGTGATATACGCATTCCTTACAGACAGGTCAACTTAACTTGTTTACATTCGTTATGTGACATATTGTACTTACATACATATATATATATATATATATATATATATATATATATATATACGCATATATATGTATGTACGTATGTACACACCAATATAAACACGTTCATTTAATTTTAATGTCGAAGAAAATATCAATGCTCATTATCCATCAACGAGCGAAGAGAGTCACACGTATTCCTTCTAAATAACAATTCCTTATCGTCAAAGATTCGAAAATCTTTTTGAATTCATTCGCACGAAATCATTACATTAATTAAAAATCGTTACACTTTATCAATATTATAGAGGTTTTATACATACTGTTTTATTTTTCAAATGTTAAACTCGCATTATTTTATTATATGACGATTACTTTATATTACTATCGAATTTTGAGTTTTACAATTATCTTATCATTAATACTATAGTCATTTTATTCCAATCATTATAATAATCTTTACCAATTTAACCTTTTAAATAAAAAAATAAAAAAAAGATGGAAACGACAGAGAAAATCTAATAAATACTTCTGTATTATTAAAATAATGATTAGTTATGAAATTTATAATTATCGTTTTTTTTTCTTTTTTTCTTTTTTTTTCAGAAATACGAAAACGCGATAACGATTGCGATCGAAAGAACGATCACGTGAAAATTATTGCATATAAAGACTTATCTATAAATTACAACGATACCTAACAATAAGTTTTACAATCCAAAAATATTTCTTCCTCGCGTAAAGACTATAGAGATTACACTCGTGTATATATATATATATATATACGATAAAATGTAAGTGGAACAGTAGATCATAGGAATATTCGGTCACTTTGTAAAACTAAATAATCGTTCGCTTCCGTACCTACTTATTACTGTATCTACTTCCGTTCATAGTAATTAAAATTTGAAAGAAATGATCGAATATTTCTCTGATCTATCGTATGTACAATTATGTAATACTAAAGGACACATGCGTGCTATCCATGAAATATCTTATCATCCTTTTAATCGTTTTCGCAATAACTCACAAACAAAGGGCATCTATCCGAACAGATAGGACACTCTATTTATATAGAAAAAGAGATGACGTATTTACACGAAGAATGTGTGTATATATACATATATGTATATACACACATCATAAGAGTTTCGTCCGTAAAAACTTGAAATATCATCTATTATAAAACCTCCCTCTTTCCTCTCTATTTATATATTAGTCAAAATACTGTAAGAATTGCTTGTTGCGAATTATAAATAACGTATACAACGATAATAAGATAACGTGTTATACCAATAAGTGCGCGATTAAAATCGTTTGTCGTCATAAATAATTTACATCACCAATATCTAACGAAAAATGATATTATTGCCGATAGCGATCTAATCGAGTTCTACTTCCAGTTTTAATGAAATAGATCGAAAGAAAATACTCAAGTCCTTTCGTAAAAGAATTTAACAACAACGTAAGTACAAAGATAAAAATGTAATGTATTAATTAATCGCAAAAATAAAGAATTAACTCAAAAGAAAAAAGAAAAGAAAGAAAGAAAAAAAAAAAAAAAAAAAAAAAAAACAAATAGAGTTTATCGCAGTATTATACTATCTTGTTATACGTTCGTATTAACTTCTTGATGCTTAATCGTTATTTCACAAAAGAAGAATCGTTTATAGAAATATTATTATACGCATGTCGTAGAGCACCATTGCGATCTGTAAATTCGATTAGACAACGAACGAAAACAGAAATGAACGAAACTACATAGATAAGTGTATTAAATAAAGATAGCAATAGTTGGACGGACCATTGCTATTCGAAAGAAAGAGAGATCAAAGAAAAGATTTCGATCCTTTCAACTTTAAAGAGCACGGAAGGCGTCTTATTAATATTTGTATATATGTCTCCATGCGTACTATCGCACTGTGTGTGTGTGTGTGTGTGTATATCTGTTATTAGAACGAGCATGATTATATATCGTTCCTTCAATATAAATTTGTATTAGACAGGCTTGCCACCTGAGCAGAACAAGATTTGATCGAATAAATAAGAGTAACGTGTCTGTCAACCAACGTGTTGTTTCGACATACTCGGCTGATTTGATTCACGTCCAGCAACGTTCATGCTACGATCTGAAAGTATGTAAAAAAAATATCGATCATTGATCAAATAATTTTAATCGAATGATATCGAATAAATTCAATGACAAAGAGAAAAATTCAAACCTGCTTCGGTAGATAACTCTCCGAAACGATCTGGTAGATCGGAGATACCGGTCGCAGCATGTCTTCCATGAATATCTGGTAAAGCGTTCCTTCTTCCTGTTCGTCCTGTCGATAGGAACGCCTTTGCACCGTTTTCGTCGTCTTTGCTGCCCCCGGCTGTACTCTCCGAATCCGATCGTCTCGGCGACAACATCTTTAAAACTGAAAACGATCCTTTTTCCGTTATCTCACCTTCTCTCTCTCTTTCTCTCCCCCCCCCCTCTAACATCCGGATTAATTAATTATACGTGTATATGTACGATATAAATGTTCGTTAAAACACAATGTCATTTTTTTTTTTTACATTATTATCGCAATAAAAGAGAAAAGAAGCAAAAGGGAATATATGCAAACTAAAATGACTACTGCGATCATCTTTTAACAAACAAAGATAGTCCATTGATCGTTTTATTATTTTCTATCAGGAAACATTTTTTTTACAGACGCAAGATATTTAAATATATTATTTTTATACATGATAAAAAATACATGAATATATTCTTTAGATTTTCCATTTTATTTAATAATACTATTCCATTATTATATAATATCTTTCTATAATTCCTTAGTTCTCTTGTCATACATATAAAAAGAAAAAAAGAAAAAACAAATTATCATCGTATAAGCTAAATATTAACATATATTGTAAATACAGTTAATTGTAAGAGACAAATTTTTTTATCATCGTAAAATATTAAGTGCGTAATGCATCTCATAATTCATGTAAATATCTAACTTGTAAATTTACATGAATGAAAATTCCTCTTGAGTAATCAATAAACGTAATGTTAAATTTTCAATATGCATATATCAATACGATATTATTTTTACAATGATACATACATTTGTACGATAAAAGTCGAGGAATAATTCTAAATATATGATATATGAAAAGGGAAATTCAAAAAAAATCTATTGAAAGTTTGCAGGTGAAATGATACTCCTCCCTTCCAAACGTTTATACTACTGTTTCTGACTGTACTTTCGATCGAAGAATCGATAAACGTATATATATATATACATATATATATATATATAGATATATATATATATACACTTACGCCATATATTACAATGTTTCGGAAGATGATAACGTTTCACGATGGTTTCGACGACGCACGGTCACGTAAAAGTCACGATTATTATAGATCGATTTAATAGATCTTTCAAACGAATTATATTACAATTTATACTCACTTTCATAATTTTATAAATAGAAACGATCGCACTGAAATCTACGACTTTACAATTGATATTATTATCAATAAAACGATGTATATGACTATAGATTCAGAGGGCTACTAAACTAAATTTTTAATTTATCGCATGATATCCGATCGCGCGTCTGGCAACGTTTATCTTTTCGGGATACCTTTATCTTAACTTAGATTTATATTGAGAGATGAACGTGTATATATATATATATATATATATATATATATATGTACGTGTATATATCTTATTATATATATATATATATGTACGTGTATATATCTTATTATATATATATATATATATCTTTGAAAAGGTATACAAGTACATATAGTAGATCTATAAGCAGCAATGTATGATAGAAATAAAATAAGGTCGGTATAAATGTGTAGCTATCTTATGTTACTTGATATTTCTTAGGCGCGCGCATTTGTCATAATTTCTATAAAAAAAAAAAGAAGAAAAGGGATTTCTTTACATACGTATCAAATCAATAAGAAGAAAGTTCAGAATGATTCTCTATTAGGTATAAAAGGAGAATGAAAAAAAAGAAAAATAATGCAATTTTTCGACTCGACTTAATTCTCTTCTTAAATCTTTTGCGGGGTATAATGAAATTGATATCTTAAAAAATTAAAAATAAATAAAAAAGATATTTACTTATTTTTTAAAACGTTAAAATAATTAAGTCTCGATTTAAAAATTTTTTTGATATTAGAAAAAGAAAAGAAAAAAGAAATTATGGAAATACCTTTGACACGAATGAGGCGTTTTCTTCGATATCCTTTAAATCTCGAGCAACCGGATATAGCAAGGCGATCATCCCCCGTCGTTGAGGTAGTCTCATCATTTTGTGAAGTTCGTCGCAGCTTCACCTGCCCAAGATATTTTTCATATTATTACGTGAAATATTTTTTATATGAAATAATAATTTCTATTTAATGAGCAACACAATATCATGAATTGAACTATTAGAAATAAAAAGAAAGAAAATATAATCGATAATGAAAGTTCCTCATTAAAAGGATAATAAAGAATTTCGGTTTACGTTTAAGGAATAGAGAAAAAAGAAGAGAAAAAATATCGTTCGCTCGCATAATTCGAAATAAATTCTTGAAGATATGGATGTTCCCAATGTTAGAACTTTTAGAACTACGATGAGAGAAAATACGATTACGAATAGCGTGAGGATTGAACGTCTGCATTGCCAAAGCTGTTCGGATTTTCAAGTTGAATGATAATGAAAAGAAACGTGTAAATAGAATTGCTATATTTCTATCCTATCGCAAATGAAAGTTTCCACTTTGAAAGTATTATATATTACGTTTATACACGCTTTGGTCAAAGAGATCGATATAAACAGAAAATATATATATCAGTCTGATATGTATATATATATATATATTTTTTTTTTTTTCATATCTCGTTTCCGTCAACATTATAACGGTACCAAGCGTAAAATAATGAAAAGAATCAAGTTCTTCGTTCATAGATAGAAGAAAAGCAGTAATATATAGATATCTTTGTTGTCGGCGATTAGTCTCTTCGTAATGATACTGATACATACATATATCTTTTATTACAAAGAAAGAAAATAATAGTACTATATTCCGCTTTAAGAGGGGAAGAAAAAGAACAAAATCTAAGCATTGTGATTTAATCGTTTAATGGACATACGCGTACTAAAGAGAAAACTATTTTATCTTTATTCTTTGTCGTGAAATAATCGTAACAATCTCTTATTATTTTTGGCTATTATTATTATTGCCATGAAAGAAAATAATAATGTTCTGTTTTAAGAGAGAGAGAAAAAAAAGAAACAACAAAAAGAGAGAAAAGAAAAGAAAAAACATATGTGGATTTTATCATTCAATACACACACACACACACACACACACACACACACAAATACATACACACATACACGTGTAAGTAATTAAGAAGAAACATTTCTATCTTCATTCTTTGCCATTAAATAATCTCAATAATCTCTCGTTATTTTCAGCTGCAATAATTGCAGTTATCTAGTTATCTTATCGACTATAATTACGGTATAATCATTAATACCAAGGCGATTTGGAAATCGTCTCGTTGTTCCATTGAAAAATCGTTTCATTTAACGATTGTGACATATATACAAATGAAAAAGGGAAAAATTAACATGTGACACACAGTGTCGAATAAAAATACATCAGAGTTCTTCGTCTTTTTTTTCCTGTTTTCTTTTCTTTTTTTCTTTTCACGAAAAGATATAGATAAAGTCTCTCTCATAACCTAGTTTTTTTTTTAGCACTGTAGAGAAAACAAATGGAAGTTAAATATATAATACCATTTGTATGTGAATATTACGCGATGAATACAAATATGTGCCTATAAATTATTATACACACATATTGTGAATGTGTAATACGCGTAATATACATACATACATAACTCTCATTCGTTGATATATATATATATATGTATATATATATAATATCATATATGTAAAAAATATTTAGATATAAACGTCAGACGTACAAAAATAGTTCGACTGGCGTGTGTGCATATGTATGTATAAGTATACAAATGCATATTTTAAGGAAAGATAAGAATGATTTAGTTCGAGTAAAAACAGTTATATAATAATACGGAATAAAGATAAGAAACAACAGAAAATCTTAATGCATAACTTGTTGAATGACGAATAATCAATTAGATCATTCTTTCCTAATTCCGTAATTTCGTTTTTTCTTTTTTTTTTTTTTAAGACGAAGAAAGACAGAGAAAAAAAGGGAGAAAGAGAGAAAAAGAGAGAGAAAGAAAGGGAAATGAAATATAAAGAAAATTTTACTCGTATGGAATATATTCCTTACGCTTTACGCACGTGCACTCTTTGACAGAAGCCAAGGAATTTGTTTGTTTAGATCGTACCGAACTTTGCGTCGTTCCTCTCTCGACGCCAACGACGACAACGACGATGACGACGACGACAACGACAACGACGACGACAACGACAACGACGACAACGACGACGACGACGACAACTACAACGACGATACCTCCTACTACTTTATTTTCTTTCCTTTTTCGATAATCTTGTAACGTTGTCAATACAACTAATGAACGGTGACAGTATGATATATAAATAAATAAATAAATAAATAAATAAATAAATAATTAAATAAATAAATATATATATATATATATATATATATATACAAAGAAAGGTAAGAAAAAAATTGAAAAGCGTTCAATAAATTTCGAAATGATAACACACGAAAGTTAGAGGATAAAATATAGGTTAGGAAAGAGAGCGGAACGTAAAAGAGAAAAATACAAAGGGATATTTTATGAAAATGAAATAAGATTGAGATAAATCGAACGAAGTGAACATCGAAATCGATTAAATTTCGATAATAAATCGTTAACGATGTATGAAGAGAGGTGAAAGAAAGAAGGAGAAAAAAATTGCGTAGAAGTAAAGAGAAAAAAAAATAAAAAAAAGAAAGAAAGATGTCCGATAATATATGTAAGAGGCAAAAAGACGAAAGAGAGAAAGTTGAGTGAGCAAGCGAGCAAACAAAAAGACAATCGATTGGACGATATCACGTGTGCAACTGTATAGCACAATTGGTTTTACATGGCTGATCTATTTGAAATATAGAATTCATTTAAATTTCCTAACTTGTTATAAATATAGAAAAGAGAGATAGAACGGTTAATCGCGGCGATGATAAGCGTGAGAAAGAAATACGCGTTCTGTTAAGTGCGTGGCTTGCGTATGACGCGCGACTCGTGACGCAGCTTGTGACGCGTTCTATCGTACATATGTAAGTACATCGTCGGCTTTGCGTCGCTTTGTCGTCGTCGTCGTGCATGCGAAAGCATTGACGGGATACAAGAGCTCGCGCGTGCGCTTCTAAACGCATACACGCGTGGAGATAAAATGCACGGATAGAATGTATATTTATATATACATATAATATATATATATATGTGTGTGTATGTAGAAATGAGAGGACAAGAAAGAGACTGATAAAGTGAGATGGACACGCGCACGTATGTATGTACGTAACACTCACCATCGGATCAGCTCAATGTTTCTCTCTCTCTCTCTCTCTTCCTCTCTACACTCTATGCGTGCGATTGACGTCTCGTGCACGCGCCACGTACCTATGCGTATCAAGAAAGAGAAAGAGAAAGAGAGAGAGAGAGAGAGAGAGAGAAAGAGAGAGAGAGAGAAAGAGAGAGAGAGTGAAAGAGAAATACGGAGCAGAACAGTTTTCAGAGCGAAACGCGTCCAGAGTGCTTGAGATCGAGCGAATCACTACCGTAGAGCATGGAGAATTTCCACTTCGTGTTCCGTTTATATTCGAGGTCGAATCGATATCCAGAGGCAATGTGCTCTTACTACGAATAATGTCACCGGTGTGAGACAATGCGATCATGCGTCGACTTCCAAATTTTTCTACCTGCTTTCTCTCCCTCGAAAAGAAAAAAAAAGTATCTAGAAAATGAAGAAGAAAGAGAGAGAGAGAGAGAGAGAGAAAAAGATGGAAAGAAAAAAGCGGTTAAAAGCGTAATCCATAAAACATTTACTTTTTGATCTTAAAGCTAACGCGCAAGATACATTAACGCGTTCGTAAAATAGAATGAAATACGTAATCTGCGTGTTCACCAATCACCAATCACGATTCGGGGTGGAAGTGATCAACGAATGATGGGAACCAATCCAACGAGTTAAATCCAATCGCGTTAGTTTTTCTTCGATTACCATTGGCGAACTACGCTTCGTCGTATCCGAATCTTTCCGACCATCCCCGAACTACGTAACCTTTATAAAGCCCTCGTCTTAACGCGTTCGTGTATGGCATAGGTTATAAATGTCTCGGTGGATAAAACTTTCGGTACGATCTCCTACGACGAATTTGGAACGAACGATATATCAAATGAGCCTCTCAAGTGACTGGTATACTGTTCATAATAATAACATCGTACAACGATTGTATTTAATTAGGAACCGATGATATTTCATTAGGACGATGAAGCTTCTACCGAAAACAAATATTTAACGATCGAAATGGAATACCCACGGAAATGAGTCATTAGTAACCGAAATCACATATTGTTAAGATAACATTGACATTATTTCTTCGAACTATTCGCTTTACTTTTCGAAAACGTTGTCGGCAAAAATGAAGAGTTACGTCTTTACTCGAGAAAAAAAAAGAGAACTATAGTAAACATCTTGCTGCTGGTGGCTATCGATGTATAATCGATTCTCGAAAATTCCTCGATAGTCTCTGTCCGTATTCGGACAGAATAATGTTATGCATAATATCGTCGTTTGAAATTATGGTAACTTTGGTTATTAAACCCACACATATGTATTAAATAAATACGAATAACTACGACGAGAAAATTCAACACGCACGCGTCCCATTTACTCGCGATCCAATACATTCTACGTTTAATTAAAATAAGCAACATGCCTTGTATAACGTTACGAGACCAGAAGGCCTTCTTCATCTTGCATGCATTGTTGCATCGTACGATTCGCCAATGAATTATTTTCACTTCGTTCTCCAAACGTTCCGATAGTATATGATTGAAACTATATCATTAATTATGTCAGCGAATATTTCGATGAACATACGTCTTAGAAATTGATACTTTCTTTTCGAAATATTGTTAAAACAAAATATCAGATACCATGTTCATTTTTCAAAGAATAACTCTACCATACATAGATACATTTATATAGATACTCATATAATCTTACGTCGAACAGATAGCCCTAAGAAAAAGTATTCTTTCTTACAAGATATATGTATATATATTAATTCGTTTATTTATTTATTTGTTTTAACTCAAGATCGATATGAAAGAATTTGAAAAATATCATTAACGCGATAATCATAACACGCGAGCATGGTGGATCTAAAGTATAAACATCGATTCGTTTCACGAGTTGTTTTGAAAAATAAGCGCCTTTATTTTAGTTACGTGCATCGTAATATTCAAGTATTTTTGAATTACGTCAACATATTTGCTACGTATAAATACTCTTTATAGTTAAACGAAAAATCTACGCCTTGATTTATGAGTTTTTCTGTTTTTGTCTTTTTTTTCTTTATTTTTCTTTTTCTGTTTTTTTTTCTTTTTCTTTTTTCTTTAACGAACCATGAATCTTCCTCGAATGGAATAGTAAATATCTAATATAAATGTTTCATTCGCTTTAGATCAACATCACGAAGGATCTTACATAGAAATCAATGTTAAGTCGTTTAGAGAATGGCGTATTGAATGGGTGTTTTAATTAACGATTAATTAGGAGTTAAGTGAAATAGGGAAATGGTTACTGCGAAAGATCAAGGACTCTGTTCAGAAAAGGGATTCAAAGTTAAAGACGAAAATGTTTTGGTAAGATATTTTTTTATTTGTTTATTTCTAACGAACGAATAGATACCAAACGAATGTAATATTAAGTAGTATTACAAAGAATATTTCGCAAGTAAACTATCGCGACATATTCGAGTGTCTTCGATGAAGAATGCGGGTACGGCGAGAAGCTCAATGTATCGCGTATCGCAATTTGTTCGTTCTCTTACAATGAAAGTGACCTGAAGTAACTTGAAATGCCCCTCCCAGTTGTTTTTTTTTTTTTATAAAGCAAATAATTATCTTTGTCTATGCATCGACATTGTATTAATGACAATCAATCGATCCTTATCATTTTCGTACTCTATTTGATTATTATTATACATTTTACTATATATTATACATTTGTACGATTTGATTTAATCGTCAATTTTAAATTTATATAATACAGTTTATGCTAATAATTATCCATTTAATCTTTCCAATGACTATGTCATCAATATTAATTAGCACGATTGGAACCGGATATAAATCCGTATTACTTTCGTGGAACCGGATATAAATTCGTACTGGCTTCATTATGCAACATCTTTAAATTAAAATCGTACACTTTTATTTCCGCATTATATATCTCATAACAAACGTGCTTCGAATACTTTGTTGAAATTTGTTTTGAAAATTCATATGAAAGAGAAAAAAAAAGGGAAAAAAAAAGTTGCGTTCCTTTTTTTTTTATTTAGTTCAAGGAATTGATCCAGAAACAAAAATGAAAGAAATCGTAATGACGTGTAATTAATATTACAATAAATTATAGTCCTTTTTTAGGAACAATAATAGAAAAAGTATATTTCAAGGCTAATATTAACAGATTCATATCAGTGCGTTACATCACATGTATCTTACTTCATTAAAACGTAATATGAATAACAATAGTTTATATCGATTGTGACGAAATATATCTATTTTTTAATATAATCCAAACGAAGAAAACTCGAAATAGAGGATAACGCTTTAGTAAAGTATTAACTTTATGCATATAGATTTGATTTGTGATATGTTATAAAAAACGTCGATGAAAAATTCGACATCGATTTGTCAATCTTTCTAAATTTCTTTTCTTTCTTTCTCTCTCTCTCTCTCTCTCTCTCTCTCTTTTTCGTATGCATAACTCTAGGTATGAACGTATTACGAAAGTGATCATAATTTTTACTTTCGTAACATATTTCTTTTTCTTTTCGAGTATTCCATATTAAGTTTGAAAACGTCACATATTCGAAATTTAGTGATAACCAAGGACGTAATTAGCGAGTATATGAGACGTGATTATAGGTAAATACCAAGATAGTGTATTAAAATAAGAATATTTTGCGAAACTAGATGGTAATAAGTCATGAAACTGAGAGAGAGAAAGAGAGAGAGAGAGAGAGAGAGAGAGAGAGAGAGAGAAAGAGGAAAGAAAATTTTGTTCGTAAAATTGTTTAACTTTTTAAGATATCATTATGCACGATGTTAACGTATTTCACATATGAATGCTTCCCGTTGTCGTTGTTCAGTTTAAAGTCAGTCGCACGCGTACCGAATATTTTCCCTTATGTATCGCGGGTGCGTATCGCGTTTCCGTTACAAAAAGAGTGGGGCATCTACCCCTCTTCTTCTCGATGTTCTAAGTCGATGTCGACGAGAACAGAGTATCGAAGGATCGAAACGACCATCCATTCGTCGAGTAAGTCTTCGAACAGTCGTTCGTATCGGTTCGTTTCTTCGTTCGGATATCTTTTTGCCAACGATCGATCGATCGATCGATCAATCTATCATTTTTTATCCCGATCGATCAACCCTTTACCAGTTATTGATCTCTCACAATCTCCCGATGAGAAAAGTTCTCTCGTCGAATTTATCACGAGCGACGAGTGCATACAAGAGAGAAAATCCAATATATTCACGATAACGATAAATAGGATATAGAGAAGAAAAAACCTTACCCAACGTAACAGATATCTTTTCAACGAATGAAGATGAGTACCATGATCCATCGTCATTTATCACGTTTCTTCTTTCTACTTTCCTTGATTCGATTTTCGAACGCTGGAAAACCCGTCGATATTCTCTCTACCAGTGGCTTCAGCGTCTTCAAGGAAGACGAGATTCTTCGAATGTTTTCACCCAACAAGACGGACCCCTCAGATAATTTCACCATTATCGATTTCATCGGTATCTTGGAAAATCACACTGCAGATGGATTGGACAAGGTTGTCTGGAAGTTAATTAATTCCGAAACAATTTTTACCAATCCTTATTATGGTGAGTTAATGCACTTTGATGATAATAAAAAAAACATGATAAATGAGCTAATATTTCAACGTTCGTTAGTATTTTTTTTTTTTTTGACGTTTATTGGTTTACCGCAAAATTTTGTGCCACACCGTGGTCATAAATAAGTAAGAAATGACCCATAACGAGATACATAAAAACTCTATTCTTCGTTGAGACGATCTATTTCTTTGTTTATTGAACGCGCAAATAAAAAAAAAATAAAAAATAGAAAAATAAAAAGATAAAAAAAGTTAATAGCAATTTTACAATAGACATAACAACGAAAAGTGTCATGCTTGTATATTTTATAAAAAGCGAAAGTCCTTCGTAAGCCATTCATTCTTTGTACACGTTAAATGCCTTTCACATCAATCGGTAGGTGTGTATGCAATGAAGACATTACAAGGATCAGGAAAAAATGATCGACCTCAGAAATGGAGAGAGAGAAAGAAAGAGAGAGATTAATTTGCATATTGAAAGGATTATCGGTTATAATATAATATAGTAAAAACGGATGTTCGATTGGAAATAAATTGCATGGAGGAGGATAGAAGATATTGAAAAAAAAATTTCAGAAAAATAAAAATTAAAAACACCATTTTATGGACGATGATGAATGAAAAAAAAAAACGAGCAACGCGTAAGATATCAAACGATTAAAAATACAACCTTTTCCTATTCACTATTAAACTTTGATTCGTAAACTTTTTCCATTTATGTCAACGAGTTCATTGACTTTCTCTCAGGTACTTGAGATTATTACAACTCGCAAAGAAAGAGGAAGGTTGAGAATAGAAATAAATACAAAATGAATTGTTAGTTATTAATCAAATAAATCGTATCTACATAAAATAATATAAATATGCATATGGTTATTGAAACTATACGATCGACGATCTCGAAATTGTCATTGTATAAAAAATGGAAATCTATTCGTATTATCGATTAACCAATAATTAAATAAACACAATCGCGATCCATAAATAGAACGTCACGATCATTGCGTTATATCCTGTGATCTAGCTTAAAATTGACGAAACTTTGTATTAGATTTTCACGACTTCATTGACCGGTGTAATGCAACGTACTACTGAAGAAATAATACCAACTCTAGGCGGTCTGTCGATTGAATTGCGAAACTCTAACGGCAAACAGTTTCCAATTTATTAGCACTTACGATTAGTACCTTATGACTAGAATCTCAACGATTTGAGGACGCGAATGGAAAAATGAATAAATACATTCTTGGGCAACATCGTCATTATGTAAACTTTGATTTTTCAGTAAATAAGAAATACGCAAACAATAATTTCTTAAAGCTTTTCAATTATCCAATTAGTTTATTTCAAACACATCAATTTTATCTTCGTAAAGAATTATATCAATATTTAAATAAAACCAAAATGTATGGACCTTGATAAGATTCTTGTATTAGATTGATATAACAAATGATCCGTTTGACATAATATATGATGTAGGATAGAATAAATTTTGAATTTATTCTCTTAAATCTTTAGATCGCAAGAATAGATCCAGGCGTACGAGTTAATTGCGTTGCAGCTTTTAGGCGTAATTAATCCTTGACTTGGGAAAAACCTTTACAAATTTCCTCTTCTCTGTAGTTGCCGTTGCTTTGTATAAGATCAATACGTGTCATTCAAATAGAGATACTTATGGTATATCCGGTTCTAATCAATCATTAGATCGATAGATTGTTGTAAGGTTACATCAAAGATCACGTAATAAAAAAAGGAACTAGGACAATCGACTGTTTTATCGATAAATCAATTTATACGAGTCCTTGATAGGAAAAGTTATCGGTTTTGTAATTTAGAATCAAGTTCGATATCGAAAAAATATATATATTATAACTGAATTATATTAACATATATACACAAATTATATAATAATAATAATATAAATTTAAATGATATGAGAGATATACTTACAATGGATCAACCCTGGACTACTTACATCACAATGAATTCGAAGGGAGAATGGAACGATCGAAAGGGAAAAGAAATCAATGATACATGTTACGTAAAACTTTTTATTAGCAAAAAAAAGAAACCAAAGCCGTGATGTTAATTCGTAACATATTTAAATTTATATATACCTATATACATATATATATATATATATATATATATATATATATATATGTATATTTATATATATATGTATATTTATAGTTCTCATTAATTTTTGTAAAGAACGTTTGCTAGAAGAACATTGAGTATCCGTGAGATAATTTGAAAATTATTCTTAATTAATAAAAAGAGAGAAAGAGAAAAGAAAGAAAGTAAATATTTATCTTTTCAGATACCTTCACCGAGGAAATCGATCTGGAAGCTAGTAGATTGTTAAAAATTGTACCTGCATATGATCCTGGTGCTGGTAGTGTTAGTACAGAATGCAAAAGGGATGCTGAAAAATTCCATCGGGAGCTCAATAAATTCACTTTGTGGGCTTTGAAAAGTAAGCGTTATTATTTTTCATACATGCATTGCATAAAAAAGAAAAAAAATTACGAGACATTATCCTTCTTAACACATTAGAGAAATTTAGAATGAAATAATTTAGCGTAGATGTCGAACTAAAAATATTCGAAATTCAACAACATTTTGTTCCTTGTTAATCTTTCACAATATAGAATGGCCGATAGATTATATAAAGGTTTCTGTCAACGAATATCAAGATGCTTTCCTCTTTTGTATGCGCCGGTGTACTTGTACGCAACAATACGAAAACCAACGTTGCTTTCGTTATTTTTTCTTCGCAGATTTCTCTTATTGTCACCTATCAATCGTAAACCTTTCGTTTTTTATCACGATCTCCAAAGTTTTACCAATTCGAAATACTTTCTCCAATGAGAATGTATAAGTAAAAAGTACGCATGTGATTTATGTCATTAGAAATGATTAATTATTCTTTTTTCAGTGTATGATGCAACGGCTAAGATACCTTCTGGTCTTTTAAATGGTAATGTGAATCAACTCGGTGATTTCGATGAATGTATCGAAACCGTGGGAAACGATGGTATACAGGGACAATATTGTTTGGCTTATTTGCAATTGGACATTGATGAATCTCGACCTGATTTGAAGCATCTTCATCGTCTTCTTCATTCTCATTACATCATCAGAAGCAACGTAACAGATGTAAGTACGTACGTACGCTATAAATGCATATACGTATACCTAAAGAAAAGAGCCTATTTCATATGATTGTCAAAATACAATCATTGAGATGAAATATCGATATTAATTTATATTCATTTAATTTATACTTTGTATCTATGTAGCCAGGGCATAGAGTACCACGTTTCAGTACAGTAAATTGGGCCGTCTGTACACCAGCATCTTGTTCCTTTCGTGACGTTGAGATCTCTCTTCGCGATACCCTATCCAAATACACATCTCAAAGTGGATTAAAGATTTCGGTTCGTGTCGATCGAGATATGTGTCAGATGAAAAATAATCAGCCACTTCCAAGAGAAACCATTTTCGTGAGGTAGAAAATAAATGACATATATCATTGTCGTCATTTCAATTTTGATATGATTAAATAATTTACTTATCGTTGTTTTATCTCGTTACAGTATTTTCTTCGTTTCTGTGGCAGTATTAACTCTGATTGCTGCATACTACGATCATCGTAAATTGTCGACAAGCGAAATTCTTTTATCCTTTTCGCTGAAACGCAATTTTCAAAAACTTATCTCATTGGAAAGAATTGAAGGGGATATAACAATATTGCACGGAGTGCGAGCATTTAACGCTTTGATGTTATTATTAGCTCATAAAAGTATGGCACTATTCTACAATCCTTACACCAATAGAACGGGCATGAGCGAGGTAAACGTTAGAAAAATGCATACAAATGCATGTGCCTATATAGATAAGTATATGTACGTAACATAAATACATACATATATATATACACACACACACACACACACACACACACACACACACACACACACACACACACACATATATATATATATATATGGTGTAGAAGCGTACATGCAATTACGTCAGCGTTCGCGATTGAACGATTAAATTTTACATGATATTTATCAAGTACAACGTAAGTTATTGGTCCAGTATTTAGGTGAACCATGGACGGTCGTAGGCAGAGCTGCCAGCCTTTATACCGACCCATTTATCATGCTCTCTGGCCTTCTTACCGCATATTCTTTTCTTGGAAGAATAAAAAAAACTGGCCATTTGGATATTAAAAATGAATATCTCTCGCGATTTTTGAGGTAACGAAAATCAACGAGATTTGTTTACAATTGAAATCATAAAGATCGAATGTTCACTCGCTGACCTTTTTTTAGACTGGTACCAACTTTAGGGGCATTGATATTATTTTGTACTTATATCTTGCCGTATCTGGGTTCCGGACCTCAATGGAATTTAGTTATTATACAACACGCTAATATTTGTAAACAAACGTGGTGGAGAAATTTCTTATTTATTCATAATTATTTTGGATTTGAGAATATGGTAAGCGTTTAAAATAAATTGTGTAATCCTTTGTTCTTTAATAGTAGAGACAATTAAAGCGCAGAGAATAAATTATTAATTGAATTAATTTCTTAGTGTTTGACGCATACGCATCACGTAGGTATAGATACTCAACTTTTTGCACTGTCTCCTCTATTGGTATTGCTCTTGTACAAAAAACCAAAGATCGGTAGTATCGTACTTTTTACTTTAGCTACATTCTCGACGATATTGAGATATTACGTTACATATTTTAAACGTCTTAATAATTATGTCTACTTTGGTATTTCGTGAGTATCTCTGATCGTATGGTTTATTTTGATATTAATTAATACTATGTACTACACACATTTATATTCTCTTGCAGAATAAAACAATTGTTTGATACGGCTAATATGTCGTATATTTTACCAACTCACAGATTGACCGTATATATTATTGGTATATTTGTTGGATACTTGCTACGATCTTTACCTAAAGAATATAAAATGAAAAAAGTAAGAATTATTGTTACGCGTGAAATGTTGAATGTTATCGTATATTTAATTTTTTTCTTTTAATCAACCTAGACTACCTATTACATAGGCTGGATTTTATGTACGGTAATGTTCTTTGGCTCCATTTTTGGTCCAGCAAAAATGGGAACTATTGATTATATTTATAATCCAATGCATGCAGCCGCGTATAATGCTTTTGCTCCTATCGGATGGTGCGCACTTTTCGCTTGGATAATAGTGATACATCAAACAGGAAATACAAATGGCAAGTAATACAAACTTCATTTATCTTAGTCAAAGAAAAACGATGTTAATGTCGCATTAATTATTACGTTACAGGATGCTTAAGCAGAATTTTAGCTTGGAGAGGATTTTTAATTACCACGAGACTCGGTTATGCGATTTATTTAACGCAATTCCCTGTATTTTTCTACAATGTCGGACAGACTCGTAGTGCCGAGTATTATGACTTCTTAAAATTGGTGGTACGTATAGCAAACATATGTATATATGACAAATAATATTATATTTTATTGATCATACGACTAAGTATCATAAAATAATAATGATTACTCACAAATAAACAAATTTTTTTTTTTTTTTTTTTTTTTTTTTTATAGTTTAATATCGTAGAAATGGTATGGATCCTTATCGCATCCGTTATTCTTACTCTACTCTTTGATACGCCCTTTCAAAATATCAAGAATCATTTACTGAAAAAACAAACGCTACGAGAACAAATATCAAAGCCATTGAAATTGGAATAATGTAGATGTACCAAATGTATTTTTCTTTCCTACCAAAATTATGTTTAAGTATTGTAAATAGTCCCGACGAATTGTGTATATATATATATATATATGTATATATGTACATACATATACATACATATATATTTTCTGGTTATAGAGATTAAGTATAAATTTTGTTACTTGCCATCATATACAATGTATATGACAGTCAAGAGAAAGTATTTGTATCATACATATGTGTTATGAATATGCAATGCTATATAAATAATGTTATTATACTATTCTTTTCTACTCACTATCTTTTTATTATTTTCTTATCTTTTCTGATTATAATAAATGTTTTCATGTGACATATTATATAATTAATAGAAAATATTACAAATATGTATATGTATATATAAAATCCTAAACTTTCCAACACTCTCGATTTTAACTTTATATTATCGATATTATCGAGCAATGGCATTTAATTCCAAATAAATGCAATCTTCACAAGTTCGCTCGCTAGTTTTTTATATATATATATAAAATTAAAATTTTATATATATATATATAAAATTTTGTTTTTTTAGTACTTACAAAATATTATAATACTTTATAAAACTATGTTCTGCAAGATATCAATCTACATTACTTACATAAAAAATTATTATCGTAGAGATAAAAATTTCGTATTATACATATCATGATATTCCAAGCAATTTGAGAATGCGTATGTACGATGGTAGTTGCGTGTAACTCTCATTAGGTAAGTCGTAATATGAACATAATTCACGATAGATTTTTAACTGAAAATAAAAAAAGAAAAGAAAAAATGAAAAAGAAAAAAAAATTGATAAAACAAAAATGTTAACATTAGTGAAATAATAAAAGAAAAAGTATGAACTTGGAAATATAAGCAAAAATCTTTTCAAATCATCTCCCATTGTAATATCGCAAAACAATAATTTTAATGATTAAAGCTCATGTGACAACTATTAAAGCTCATTTATGATTATATATATTATATTTATATTGATAATTATATTTCGTGATAATAACTTTCCATTATATTATGATCTATCAGTAAATGCTTGGGTGGTACATAATATTGTTTTTTAATTGTAGATTAGCATAAACGTTGTTACATTAAAGAAGCATATACTATAGATATAATCATGCACATAATATTTAAATTCTTTAAATATTAAACAATGAATTTGAAACAATGAATTGAAAATATTATAAATAATCTTCTATTCAATTTTATGCTTTAATGTTATATATTATATATCTCAATGACATTATGTGTATATATTAAATTATTTTTGGCAGATCATTTAAGGACACATTAATTAGCTTAACAAGCAATATATTAATATATTAATATTTTGTAGTAATATATTATCTGATGGGAATAATATTAATCTTTGCACTTTAAAATCACGAGCAAAGATCAAAAGAACAAGCTATATCGTAAAATTTGTATGTATCATTGATGCATAATTTCTCAAGCTTAAAATAAATACAATGAATACCTGTTTAATAAGATCTTATTCTTTTTTTTCTCGAAAAAATCTCCAATTTATGAGAACTCTCTGTTTGGGAAGAGTATTGGTGCTACCAGAGACCAAACATAAAGGGTCATACATAACCACGAAGAAATAATTTTTACCCACATTGATGCAACATTAGAATTCAGGGTGTCCAAGTTTGAATTTGGTCTGTAAAACATTTTTTATTATTTAATTTTAATGAAAAAATATAATAAATTTCATTAGATTTTAGCATATACTTAAAAGATACTTACTCATACCAATTGGTAAGAGTCATCATCACATATAAAGTAGCAAGGGCAAACATTAAGTGGAAGAAACTCCAATTGTATGCTACAGTCTCTTCTTCATTGTCCCATACTTTAGCTTCACCATTTTCTGAATCACCATTGCGACCTTCTACTGCAGTATAGTCTAATTATATTCCAGAATTTAAATAGTAACATGTGCGGAAGATATTATAGATTATGCAATTGTTAAAAATATATTTAAATATTTTTTAATATTTCCACAATATAATAATGAATCAATATAAATAATATGTATAAACAACTATTATATATATAAATTTATTATTAGTTATATTGTAAAATATTTATTGAAAATGAAACTAAATACAAATTAGACAATTTAAGCAGGCACACGATGATTGTAAAGTAAGATTAATTTTCTCCCTCTAATATCATAATCGCTAATATTCTTCTAGCTTAAGTTTAATGCAGTGTTTTACACAAGAAAATGAAATCTATTATGTACTTGGAAAATATTTTGTGGAAATGTTAAAGTTCTGAAATACAGAGACTTTTCAATTATATAAGTCAATGATAAACATAAAAGACTAGAGTAAATACTTTAATTAAAAATTGTGTCAACATAACTAACATGTGATAAAGCTATGTGTGCCTACCTTCATTGTCGATAAGATACTGGTCTCCAGCATTCCTGACTGTATAAAAGAGTTAATTATTAAGATTGTTCTATTTATGGTAATAAACATAGGTAGCAAATAAAAATTATCTTAATTATAGAAAACTCGTTAAATCAAAAATTTTGCAAATAAAAATTATTAAAGAAAAATAAAATTATTAGCAATTTATTACTTGCATGCAATATTTGCAGTATTCATCATACAAAATTTGTCAAATATTAATTAACCCTACTAATATAAAAATATTTACTTATTAATTTATACATACCAGCTCCATTATCTCTAACTAAAACGTTGTCAGACATGGTAATCTTAGATGATTTCGATGCTGTACGTAGAGAACTGTACAAAACACAACTGAACCATATTATGAGACCAATTATACTTTCCTTGTCAAAAGCAACACGATTTTTGGCATGTGTATCATTGGAGATTATTCCAAAGAATCCAGGATTACAAATATGATCTGTGAATGTATTTAAGAAAAATGAACAAAGAGAACTCCATAGATATTTCTAATTAATTTCATGTAGCTTGTATAATCCATACCTGGGCTATTAGAAACTCCGCTCCATGTTAAATAAATGACATACAATGAAACTATAGATGGTTGAAGTAAACCAGAATGTGGCTGATATTTTTGTACACTTGGAAGAATAGAAATAATGCTGATAATGACGCACAAAATAAGGTTAAAAGAAATAAAGAATTTGTTAAGTGCACAATCATAGGGCTAAAAATATAAAGTACATAATAAATAATTCAGATTTACTTTTCAAAGTAAATATTATTACAAAGAAAATATTACAATTAAAAGTTAAACTTACATGAGTGAAATATACATAAAGTAATACTACACCGGTGATAGCAACAGCATAATTAAATAGAGTAACTCCCATAAGTGCTGCATACCTATATAATCAATTTTACAAGTATTATTATTATAAATTCTATACACTGATTATAAGATATGAAAAAAGTGTAAAAATTACGTACCAACTTTTTGATTCAGTATCTTCATAATTACCCACCCAGGCATCTGCCCAGGAATGTGCAAAATCAACAATGAGTATTAATTGTATAATAATAAAAAAGAAACCTCCAATCATTCCAAAATACATCCAAGTTAAACCAAACGATTTTTCAGGAATAAAGAAAGCTCCAATTATTCCACCAATTATTAGAAGATATTTAATAGCCCAAAATCTATAATATATGTTATATAACCATGAGTGCACTTTTCAAAATAATAATAATTTTCTCTTTCTTTTTCTTTTTTACTTCAATATAAACTTACCCATTTTGTATAGGTGCCCGTGGATCTTTCGAACTTCTAACTCTTATCATAATGGCTGACATCATGAAAAAGTATAATGCAAGAATAAAGCATATTCTATATACAGCTAAATAACCAACTGCTGATTCACAATCTACAGTAAATGAAGATGGTACATAATTTGTGCTATTAGCACAAAATGGAACCTATTGAAATAACGATACTATCGTTAAATACTGAGCGCAAGAATAAAAATAAATATCATATATATTACCTTTTTAAGAGCATCTTGTAAACCAGGTGCCATAGTAATACATGCAGCTATAGTACCCAGCATTAATAACATAGCATACATAATGCGAGTACTAGTGCTGTTACGGCAAGTGGGACATTGAGAACAACAGAAACTGCAGGCTGTACTGCCACACAGGCAGGCAAGCTGTAATAAAGAATATACATTATTAAAACTTTTTATAATAATTAATAAGAGTTATTAATACAATTTAAAAAGTTATTAATTTATATATTTGACTTTTATTTACTTATTAATAATATCAAACACATCATTACATTTGTTAATTATATGACATAGAAATAAAACGATAAAGATCCACTTGACATATTTATATTAAATAGTAGCTTTTTGTTATTAAGTACAAACAATGTAAAATTCGTGTGTGTGCGTATACATATATAGATATGTATGTATTCACATGTATTATATAAAAATAAACATATCAAATTGCAATGACACATAAATAATTTTGAGAAATTACTTAAATATATATATATATATATATATATATATATATATATATACATATATATATTATAGAAAATAATGATTTACCTGCGCTGTGGAACAAACGAGACCCATGATGAAACTTTCTTACTTTTTTGCACAATAAATAAGAGATTAACAAAGTAAAATATATTATTAAATTACTATAAAATTGATCATGTATATATACTATGGAAAAAGTTATCGGAGTCGTAACAGTACGTTCATAACAATGGCGTCTTGACAAATATATTGAGGAGACAACTTCAGATAATCAGCTGACTACTGACGTCAGCGTAGAAGTTTACAATTTGTAGAGCACTTCAGGGGTATCTTTGAAATATCAGATTTATCTTATCGGCCTTGAAAAGGTAAGAAATGACTAATAGCTAAAAACGATTTACTATCGGCGTCATCTCTTCATTGTTAGTACAATTAAAAGGAATGCTAAGCGTTTTATTATAAGCGTTTTATTATAAGCGTAAGCAACTTGTATTATATTCTTGCAAATGCTAACAACTAATTGCTATAAACTATTAATCATGCTTTTTCTTTTTATATCCTGCAAATATTAATTTTCTATTCAATGTGAAAATATACTTAACGTAATATTTATAATACATTATTCTATTCTTTCTTCTTTTTTTTTTTTTTTTTTTATAATAGAATTAATAATATTTCTTAACATAAAAATAATGCTTTTATTTCCTAGGAAGACTAAAAATATAGACCATTGAGTAGAGAAAAAATATTGACGTAATTACAAGATCAGAATTATGGAAGCTGAATCGAATGAAAATAAAGTATCAAAACCAAATACTTGGCCATACATGAATATGTCTTCATTATTTACATCGTTCTTTATAAAGTTAACAACTGCTGGTATTATATGGGGTTGCGGATATATGAATATAAATTTAGCATGGTTGCTTTGTCCTATTATGGTTTTTGTATGGAAATCAGAACGACAGAAAGATCAACAGCTAAGAGCAATTACTGCACAAGCTAGTATATTGGCTAATGAAAAAGAATTAATTGGAAAAAGAATGGATGAATTACCATCCTGGGTTTATTTCCCTGATTTTGATAGAGCTGAATGGCTAAATAGAGTAGGATTTATTTATTTTGAACTTTATTAATATTAATATATATTATTTTTATCATTTGTATATATTTTCTATTTTTAGATATTGTATAAGGTTTGGCCAAGTATTAATCAGTATGCTCGTGAACTTTGTAAGCAAACAATAGAGCCATCTATTGTCCAAAAGCTAGCCGATTATAAGATAAAGGGGTTTCAATTTGAAAGATTAGTCTTAGGTCGAATTGTAAGTTATATTATATAAACATTTACGTAATCTATAAATATTTATTTTTTATTTCTTTTCTCTTTTTTTTCTCTTTTTTTCCATTATTTCAGCCTCTCAAAATCTATGGAATAAAAGTATATGATAAAAATACTTCAAGAAATGAAATCATCTTGGATGCAGATGTGATGTTTGTATTTAATTTATATTAAATGAGCTTCAGTTAAATATTCTTATTTATATGATTACATTTCTAGGTATGCTGGAGATTGTGATATTACATTTTCTGTTGGGAATATAAAAGGTGGTATCAAAAATTTTCAAGTAAGTCTTTTGAAAAATGTCTATATCTTAAAGCATAAAAATCCTTATGAATTTTTATTATATAATTATTATTATATTAGCTTCGAGGTCTAATGCGTGTTGTCATGAAACCAATAATATCAGTCATACCAATAATTGGAGGAGTACAGGTCTTCTTTTTAAATGTACCAGCAATCAATTTTAATCTAGTGGGAGTAGCTGATGTACTTGATCTTCCTGGTTTTAGGTACAATGCTTAGCATTTCCACATAGAACAAAATAATATTTAATTAAGCTATAGCATTATTTGTTTACATTTTTTTTTTTTAATTGCATTAATATGAAATATTATGTGTATAGTGAGACTTTAAGAAAAACAATTATAGAACAAATAGCTGCAATTGTGGTGTTGCCAAATAAAATTGTCATACCTTTGAGCGAACAAATACCAGTAGAAACATTGAAGATTCCTGAACCTGAGGTAAAATCCAACTAACTATTTCATGTCTAATATATGTAATTTATTTCTAATTATTTTAATTTGATAGGGTATTCTGAGAATTCATGTTATTGAAGCAAAACATCTTATGAAGAAAGATATTGGTATGTTGGGTAAAGGCAAATCTGATCCATATGCTATTATAAATGTTGGAGCTCAACAATTTAGGACCAAAACAATCGACAATACCGTTAATCCACAATGGGACTTTTGGTGTGAGGTATGATCAATTTTTTTCATTAATCAATCATATAGACTATGAACAACATATAAAATGCATGAGCTTCACTGCAATTTATTACATTATAAGATGTTTTTTCATCAAGATCTATTGAATGGTAAGATAAATCCTCTATTATTAAAGAAACAATTACATTCACTCAAATTCATATTTTATAAGTATTTTTTTATTCATTGATTATTTGATAAATAATATATTTAAATCTCAGAAAAATGATATGAATTTTATTTTAGTTTCATCATAAAGATACAACTATTCTAACATTTCTCATCTCTCTAATATCTACTAATAATTGCTTAAACATAAAATTACTCCTCTTACATATATGTCATGTTTATGTTACGAGTTTCCTTTGCTTCTAAGAGTTATATCAGCTTTTCTTGAAAGTATAGATCGGGAACATCTTAGTACATGTTACTTTAATTTAATATCACAATTCAGTATGTATGTGTGTATGTGATGTGTGACACATTATGTGGACCAGTGTGCCATCTCATCGGCCATCGCTCAACAACTGACAGTGCTTGTATGGGACTATGATGATACTAAGGGCGATGAAAGCCTTGGAAGGTATGATAAAATAATATATACTATTTGTTAATTTTAATAAAAAGTTCAAGATTATCGTAATTTTCATAATATATAACTACATTCCTTCTATAATGAACTATATATTCTTTTTTATAATTTTTTATAATGAAAAGAAAGTTAAAATTCTTGTAAATCTACATATACCTATGTGTACATTAATACAATACCATTTGTACTTTTATTGTATATATATATATATATTGATCTTATCATTTACATATTTTTTCATTACCAGCTGCTTTTTTCTTAAATAATTTTTGTCAGCATTTATATTACAGTAAAATACTTGCATGTTCGTGTAAAAAGTGAAATTATAGGTAATGATTCTATGTTTTTAAAAGCATGTTTAACCAGTGCATGAATATATCATTTCTATGTGGTATCAATTGTTTATGTGGTTTTCAATAATGCTTTCTACTAAATATATTTTTGGATAACTAATACATGTGAAGAAACAATTTATTTCGGAATTTAGGAAAAAAATATATATATCTATTTATAATATTCAAAATCATATGCGACAATATAACTATTGGTTTATACAAATACGTGCATACATATTTAAATCTATCGAAGTAGTATTTTCAATTTTATATATTTCACTTCATAATATTGACACACAGGCTATGATCAGTTCATGCATTAAACAAGAAGCTGTGGTGTCCCTTTGGGATTGGGATCCAACTTTTCCTTCTATGCGATTTGATGACTTTCTTGGCAGGTAGTAATGTCTTATTAAATGATAACACCATTTAATAAGAATCAATTAAAATTAAAATGCTTATGCTAATTTCAATTATAATGATATGTGCTTTTTGTATGTTAAATTTGTTTTTTAATTAATAATTTCTATTGTCTACATTTTGTATATATAAATTTTTAGCTGTATATTGTGGAATATGAAAAATTAACAATTGTCCATCTAAATAATTTTTTCTTATTATTTTATGGTTTTACCGGATTACTTCAATATGTTTTCTTAAACAATATAATGTTTTTTCTTTTTTCTTTTTTTTCCCCTCTTAGTGTTTTCGTTTTTTTTTTTATTCTAATTTTAAGTTAGAACAGCAGAGTGATTAGGTGACTTAAAGTAGGAAGAAGTAAAACTATAACTATTTATCTGATGCCAGTTTATAGTGGAAGAGGGTTTGGGAGCTTACAACACCGTGGTTACCCAGCTCTTTGACAAAGACAACACTGGTCAGGATGACCCACTTGGCAGGTATTGCTACTTGTACCAAGTATACTATGTGATTCCACTTGAAATTTCTTAGAGAATAGTATGAAAATCTATTCTATTCCCTTACTGTTTGTATTTCTACGGTGTACTAGGGATAGTATCAAACTTTTTTATAATGCATGAGTCATACAAAAGAATTATAATTCTATATACATACATGACAATTTTTAAATATTATACATTGTTTCATGTAAACATACTATCTAGCTCCGGATAAAAGAAATCTTTATTTTTCAGATTCATGTCACCATATTACTCTTATTCTACTTTACTTATTATAATATTTATTTAAAAAGAAATACTTCTACAGAATAAAATGTACCATGGCATGTTGCATGTATGATTAATAATTATTGATATAACTGTTGTTATATCATTATCTTTGAAATATTAATAGTAAGATTAAAGTGTAATTATATATATCACAGCTGTATATATTTATTTTTGCTACTATATGTTTATTGCTTTACATGATGTATATAGTGTATAATTATCACATAGGTTTTATTCATATATCATTGAATGCAACATTTATTTTGCTTTTAAAAACAAATACAGATATAAAAAGGAATATTAGCAATCATTAAGCTTTCAAAAAAATTCTATAATTAGTACATATTCTAAATTTATATAGGGCTACCATAGAAGTTAATCGTGTTAAAAAGAAGGGAATTCTAGACACGGTATGTTGATAAATATTTCGAATATTAATATGTTTATCATTTAATGATGATTGACTTTATTGTGCAGTGGGTATCATTGGAACAAGCAAAACATGGTATGATTCATCTACGATTGACATGGCTTCAACTTTCTAAAAATATAGCTGATTTGCAAGCTGTAAGTGTAATGTATTAATATTTCTTATTATACATTTTTTTTTTTTTACATAAGATAAATAATATTTTTTTCTTGTAGGCATTAGTAGAAACTCAAGAACTTCGTGTAACATCAATGAGCACGGCCGTTCTTATAATCTATATAGATTCAGCAAAAAATTTACCTGTAAGATTATACATACATATATATATATATATATATATATATATATATATATACATACATATATATATACATACATACATATATATATATATATATATATATATATATATATATATATATATATATATAGAGAGAGAGAGAGAGAGAGAGAGAGAGAGAAGGCAGAGATTATGTTTTTTTACTTTATTATAATGACAATATAAATATGAATTATATTTTAGTATGTCCGAGGGAATAAACAACCCGACGTGTATCTTGAAGCAAGTGTCGGTGGTCAAATCCAACGAACGAATACCATATTAAGATCATGTGATCCAGTATGGGAACAAGGATTTACTTTTCTAGTCAGCAATCCAGAGTCTAGCATAATGCATATTAAGGTTTTTATTTATTCAAAGATATTAAACTGGCAATCTTATATGTATTTAAAAAAATATTTCATTAGTGATTTTAATTTTTACATAATCGTTTATTTAGATAATCGATGAGAAGACTATTATGATAATTGGAGAAATGTCTTATAAGATTTCTTTACTTATTGAGAAAGATAATCTTGAGGTTGGTCAACAACCATACGATTTACAAATGGCAGAAACAGATAGTAAACTCGTCTTATCCATGTCATTAAGTGTATGTAATTATATGAATAAGTATATGTTAAAAATAAAAAAAAAAAATAATCTATTCGTCTAAAAATAATCGAAAATTATCTTTTCATTATAGATCCTCAAATACGAACAACCAGAATCTACGTCAGAAGAAGATGAAGATGATCAAAATGTTAATGAATTCAATAAAAAAATTAATCGTCAAGAATCTAATGTCAGTAACATTATTTCAACGAGTGGTAGGTTTATTAAAATCCATTATATCTACTTTTGTTCTTGACGTATATAAAAAGCATTCTCTTAAATTAATTCGTCGATTCTATTTCTATTTTAGTACCGCCTAGTCCTCTTAAAAAACAATCTTCAAAGGAATCAATCAACAGTTTACCTCTTAATACCGAATCTACGTCAACAGGACCAATCGAAGAAATAATTTCACAACCAGAAGAAGAAAATGTTATCTCTAATAACACACCTTCACTTTCTTATTCACCATCCGTAGGACTTATTCATAGAACTCCAAGTACTACATCCTCTGCCGGGGAATCGAAATTAGGAAGAATACAATTAACGTTACGATATAGTATTCAAAGGCAAAAACTTATTATTGATATTCACAGAATTGCGTAAGTATTTTCATTTTTAAAATCGCTCATTCGTATAATATAAGAAAAATAGATATTTTATTTTCATTTTTTTTTCTCTCCTGTTACAGCCATCTGCCACTTCCACAAAATGATCCCACTAACATACCAGATCCGTATGTAAAACTATATCTTCTTCCGGATAAGCACAAAGAAACAAAGCGTAAAACTGCTATAATTAAAGACAATTGCAATCCAATATTTGATGAGAAGTTCGAATACGTCGTATCACAAGCAGATTTAAATACACGCGTCTTAGAAATTTCTGTTTGCACACAGAAAGGTTGGCTTTCTACTGGTAGCAATGTTATGGGACAACTTCATTTAAATTTAAGCGAGATCGATGTTACTAAAACAGTAACTACTTGGTACGATTTACAGCCAGAGATAAAAGATTAAAAAAAAAAAAATAAAAAATAAGTAATAATGATAAATGAAATTAAAATGCAACCTTATGCGCTGTGCACGTGTCTCAATTTATCGACACTCGTAGCTTTTTATATTATACAAGAAGTGATCTGTGGTGCTATTAATGATATCATTTCAGGAAAGTGATACTGAATCAAACCTTAAAAAGTATACTTTACCGTCCAGATTATTATGACGTCATGTGTTAATTTCATTCAATTTAAGTCAATTTTATTTCAAATCCAATCAATAAAACCAATGTATGACTTCAATACTTTACATTACTTTTTTATATATAATTTTATCATTTATTAATTTAATTTTGTTTATCATTGATTTTTATTTTATCTTGTACTTAATTATGAATATGTTACTAACTAATTACGCTTAAAAATAACCAAAATGCATTTATAGTATAATGGAAAGAATATATTCTGCCTTATCATATACATATTTTCCATTTACAAGATGACATTCTATTTGCTATTGTTTATTAGAAATATTTATAATGATCTGTAATTTTGAAAGTATACTAACAAAAAAAAACAACAATTTACTAAAAATACTTATATATTATATTTATAGAAGATTTTTTTCTATATTATAAAAAAATTAATATATATATATATTAATAATATATGTATCATCTTTTTCTTATATATAAATATGTAGCAACACATGAAATAAATATGATGTTGGCATAAATCATTGATAACAATAAAAAATAAAACGTAACGCAAAACATTAGGCATTAGATTATTTTTAAAGTAATTAAAAAAAAATACGATTTTATATGACAAAACAAAAATACAGAAATAAGTATGTATCTGTAAGAGGAAGAGAAATGTATTGTCGCTTTTACATATTACCAAGGCAACAACACCAGTAAATAAGTACTCCGTTCATTTCGTTTCCTTATATTCACAACGGTTACGAAGTGCCACAAAGTATCTTCTTTTATTTAATGAACAGATTAGATCTATTTATTATAGTTCCAACAAATTTACGTATTTATAATTATTAAAAAAACGTTAATTGAAAAATGTTACGGGCACCTGTATTACCTTGTCTGCCTGGATTCAGCTTTGATAGGAACGTAAGATCCCTTTTATGATTTTACACGTAATAATTATAAAATATTCGATAAGAAGAAAAAACAAAAAGATTCATTGTTTTTCTACAGCTCGGCCGTACAAAATTTCATAGAAGTCAATACTTCGACAAAATACATAATGACGTTTATTATCTTACGGAAAAGAAGTCTGATTTCGGTCGTTATCCATCGATTTATCCACGCGGTGAAGTACAGGAGTTACCACCATGGATAGCATACGACGGCCAAGTATATGAACCAATTACCAAATCAATCAAAATGTATCTGAAAATGCTTTAATATGAATTATTTCATTATTAACTTTAGAGATTGATGTTCGAAGCGTATTACCAAGAGACCGTACAAGAAAGATGGAAATCCTCTTTTCAAATTCGCGTGGTTACGATAAGCTTTTTCTTAGAAGACGGGACAATGAAAATATCGGAACCAATCGTAGATAATAGTGGCTTAGAACAAGGTTCAATGGTGCATCACCTTTAGATATTATATTTTTAACATGCATATTTATAATGTTAAAAAGATATATATATATATACATTATACGTATTTATATTTAATACTTATTCTTAGGTGTTCTGGTAAGACGTCAAAGAATTCCAATGCCTGATCCAATAAGATACAAATTTTATGATATTATCGATTTAAATATCGGCAAAGAACCAGAGATATTTGGTAGGGTATACAAAATCGTAAATTGTGATAAATTTACAAGACGATTTTTAAATCGCATGGGTATACCAGTACCGGATCCTATAAAAATCCCGATAGATCCATACATTGAAGGACGAAAAATTGTAAGCTTGGAAACAATGATATATATAAATCCAGTCTCATTTATCGAACTGACATAATTATTTGTATATAGCCAGCCTTTCCAAAAAAACCAAAAAGTCATAAACTCGATTATCTTCGTAATTTTCTAAAGTACGATAGACAAGTACTTAGATTTTATGGATATTGGGACGATACAGAAAGTGTTCATGGTATTATACATGATCTTGAAATTCATTATTATCTTGCTGACGGTACGATGGAGATCAAGGAAAATGTAGCAGCCAATTCTGGAAGAGATTCTGGATTTATGCTTGTTAAAAGAATGAAAATACCAAAAGTAAAGTAGTGTTTTGATATATTTGTAAAATCGATTAATTCGTTCGTTCATCGACATGTATAAAAATATCCTACGTTTTTTTAGTTTTATTCGGGTTTGGATCCAATTGGTGCGGGTGATCCCTATACGATTTTGAATGTAATAGGTGATGATATTAATCAAAGCCATATGATGATAGACGCTTTGAATACGGGAGAAACGAAGAAAGTGTATTATAAGGATAATGAATTATCTATAGGTGCTAAAATGAATATTTTCGGAAGAATTGTCATTATAACGGATATGGATGCATTCACAAAGGAATATTATAGGTGATATAATTTATAGAATTTGTGGAAAGATATATTTTATTGATATGTATATATAATTTTATTTAGAACCAAATATGGCTTAAACGATTTTACTGCATTGGAAAAACCGCAAAAGAAAGATGAGATATGTCAACCGGTAGAGAGATATATACCACCCTATAATGGCTTCGGTACTTACGAAGATTCACTTGGAAATTGTCTATCAATAATACCGAAAGCACCACAGACAGATTTTATTAAATTTCTATATTACGATAAGTATGTTTTTTATTTTAAAAAATCGTTCTTTTTATATTTCTTTTTTCTTCATTGCATTTCGATTCTTCTACGAAAAGGCAAGGCTTCGACAGTCATGTTTTAAGATTCAGAGCACAAATGATTTCAAAAATACCAGAAAATTTAGAGAGACAATTTATCGTAAGATATTATCTTACAGATGATTCGATATCTATATTTGAATTGACGAAAAGAAATTCAGGTGAAGATTCTAACTAACAAGTTCTTAATCTCCTTTAGAGTATTTGATTTTATGAATCTATTCTTCTTAGGATTTAGAAGGTGTTTATTTTTGAAAAAAATGCCTGTAATGCTTCCTAAACAGAATATATTCTCGAGTAAAAAGCCAGAATATTATAAGCCAAAAGATTTTTATATCGGAGCATGCTTGAATATACATGAGTTTTATTTCTCGATTATATCGGCCGATATTTATGCTCTTCGTTACATGGAATTAAATAGTAAAATGGTAAAGATTTTTTTTACGAACGATTCCGACGAATGATTTTATTCAAGACTTATATAAATTGTATTATTACTTGTCGATAGTTTCCAAAGGCAAATATCAAATTGATCATGGAAAAACTTAAAGAAACATTAACGCCTGTATACAAGGAATTTATTCAAAATCATTCACCGCCTTCAATCTCGGCTGATCATAAAGTTCAAACGTTGGAGTATGATAAATTTAAAAAGGCATTGTGCATATACTTAGGGGATAAAATAACGGAGCACGAAATAATTACAATTGCCAGGCATTATTCCTCTCATGGAAAGAAAGAATTTCATACGAGAGAATATGTTAGGTAAATTAATTATTTAATTTCCAAGGGAATCAAATTAAGTTGGAAAATGAAATTGAAATTGATGACATTTGATCTAGACAATTGGTTCATACTGAACTTCATCGAAATATATGGAACGAAGCTGTTCGATTAAAGGAGGATCTTTTGCATTGGGATAGAGGAAGAACCGGTTACTTACCTCGAAACACGGTTTATACTGTTTTACGTAGTTGCAGAATACCTCTTGACATCGAACTGATAAATTCAATATTGGATCAGTAAGTATTCAGAATATTTTGTCATTTTTATAATTGTATTAATAATTATCGTTATAATTTATAAAGCTTACGCAAAGATACGGATGGTAAAATAGATTACAATGATCTAATGGAATTTATCGATGTTAAAATCAATCCTTTGCCTCCTGCAATTCCTATAAATATTAAGGTATTTATTTTATTATTTGTTGAGACGTTATATTTGACACGTTTTTTTTCTTTTTTTTTTTTTCATTAATAATCTCTTGTCAGACAGCATTATGGTGGGCGTCAGAGAAAGAACCGGATTGTGGAGCCGGTATAGATTGGCATTGCTTTATAAAGGATCTCAATATAAAAAGCCACGATGACACGTTAGAATTCAACGAAGATAAAGAAAAAGAAAATTGTGAAACGAAGAAATGAAATATTAGCACACCTAATAAAATGTTATTTATTTTGCAGATTGATATTTCTAACGTAAAACATGAAAATCGCGCGAGCGCGCATGCTCCATTCTATTTACAGTATTTTCGAGCTACGATATTATACTTATCGACATACTAAAATGATACTTATCATTTATCGCATCATTTCGCTACACGATATCTAATTTTATACAGAATATTTAATTATACGGACCAATTAAATCAAATACAAATATACGTATGACAATTCTACGTACACACGAAATACAATCGTTCTCTATACCGTTTCGATTAGAAAAATTAGTCGTGCCTATATTAATATTAACTATATTACGTCTAAGCAACGACATAAAAGACACGGTACGTAATAAATATTGCAGAAAAATGCATAAATAATATTATCTCGTAAAAGAGATTAATCCGTAATCTTTTGTAAGATCCGATAGTTCAATTGCACTCGTAAGTCTCCACGATTCTTCTACATGTCTTGCACTTGACATAGCAGCAACTTATGTACTTGCAATTGCATCTTTCGAGAATCTCTTCGGTTCTCGTAACGTGACCTCGACCGCAACAAAGATACTCGCAACCCTCGTAACCCGTGCTACTGCCATTACATTGTCTGTAATCAATCATTATAACGTACAAGTAATTATAATTAATATTAAATATTTTGATGAACATTTTTAACGATAAATATCTTATCCATGTATGTACGTATCTATTTGTGTACGTACATATATTGATCCTTTGAAAGATAGCTATTAACTCTTTACAAAAATGACTATCGCATGACACTCGAACGAATATTACACATAGTGTAAGTAAAAACAAATATTTTAATTATATGGTTCGATATTTGAAACATAAAGTAAAAGTTGATATTATTGAACGGAACGTTTATAAAAGAAAAAAAAAAACAAAAAAAAAAATAAAAGAAAAACGATAGTCCATGGACTTTTTGAAATATTTTTTTAATGGTTTATTCGAACATTTCCATCACGACGCTAAAATAATACCTTTTCACGTTTTCGTTTTGACGGTAAACTTATTACACATCATCCAAGGCTTCTGCACCATCCAAAAAAAAGATTCGAAAAAGCATACGTCTTACGGGTTCTCTCGTAATAAGCATTCACCACACCCACTTGGTATAATTATACGTAGCCTTTTAATTACTGCCTGTAAGAAGCGAACTGGTCGGAAATGTTTCGAAGTATCTGACTTGGTTGTCCCTTCTCGATTAAGGGAAATGTGAAAGATTATCGAATTTAATCGATTCGTTCTACGAATTGATCGAAGGGAAAAAGTCGTTATATTTCATTAGAAAGATTATACATGTTATAAATCATCTCGTTTGTAGAATCAAAGACTAAAGAAAATCATAAATACACAGATACACGTTATAAAAGTGATCGTCTATGGATCATTCTTCCGTTCGAACATAGCCTCGAGGCTGGAACAATGAGAGATTAATTTGTATGTATCGGTCGTTCACGAGCTGATTCACGAGTCCGTGATGATTTATGAACCGGATACAACTAAACAAAGGATCATCCAAGACGCTTCCATACACGCGTCCCCCTATTTCTTCGATTTCTTCGGAGAGCACACGAGTGTACACGTGAAGAGTTGTTCGCTGTTCCGAGAACGCGTATCGTGGGTGATCTTAATTCACTTCAGAAAGACGGGGGGAGAGAGAGAGAGAGAAAGAGAGAGAGAGGGGGGGGGGGAGAGAAAGGGAAAGAGATGGAGACAAAGAAAGAGACAGTAAGAGGCGTGAATAACTCAGGGCGACGAGTACAAGAGCTTCTTTCGGTCGTACCGCCGGAAAATCCGTAACGAATGCAATCACCGTCACAAAGAGCCCTTTTCGAAGGGTCCGAACAATGAATGGGCACGACTTTTGAAATCATTTGGAAACACTTCTCCGCCCATCTTTCTACCATACTCTCGTGCAAATTCCTATACATTATATTTATGAAAAAGCCTGTCGGTCAACAACTTCTTCACGATTCGTCAACATATTTCAAATTATTTTTATCGAAATTTCAAATAATATCATTTTGATTATAAGAAAGTTATCGTGCGTGATCACGTAAAATAAGTCCTAAATGTTTTTAATTTCGATGATAAGAAGCATTCGCGAAAATACAGAGTTAGTGGTTCGCTCGTCCGGTTTTATTGCACGCGCTTTTCGACGTAATTTCCGTTATAGACCATCGTCTGTACGAAAGCACAGTGCGAAGCCATTAGCGCCGCCATAATGTGGCTTTACGACGTACACCTGGACTCGTTCTCGAGTTTACGTGTTTTCTTTTCTCTTTTATCCTATCCATTCCCTACTTGCTTTCTTCTTTCGTTTAAAAATCGTACGAGCTTGATCTTGGTAGATTCTTCCTTGGTTTTCGGTTTCTCTAGCGAGAAACATTTAAACGGCGTTTAAAGTAAGACATTAAACCGATAAGAAAAAAAAAAAAGAAAAAAAAGACAAAGAAAAGTAACAATAGGATGATGGTCGAAAAAGGTTCGCATTTAATGGACGTTTTTAGTTTAGTTCCGTTTCCTTTCAACTTTGAATACGAATACGATACGAATGGTACGGTCCAGACTCACCTGCCTATGGTTCCAAGGCTACCCCTTTTCTTGTCCGGAAGACAATAATCTGGACTCTTGGTGGTATACAATAGATTATCGTGATGATAGAGAGGTGGCAGCCTACCACCGGATCTAGGTTTAACTTCGGCAGCGGTGGCATACCTTCGAAGAAGACGAGTTCCGGCTACGGAAGGACCAGAAGAACCTAAACCTCTCCAACAAGTACGGACGCTGCAAGAACCGGAAACACCGTGGCATTTGCACTCCAAAGTTAATGACTGCTCCACTGCCTGTTTGAACGTGGTTGTTGGATGTATTGGCCGTTCGATTGCATAAAAAAGAAAAAAGAAAAGAACCAAAAGAAATAATCAAGTAGATAAATTGATATATAGATGGATAGAAAAATTTACTCTTCGTCCAGCTCTGTTGTTATGCATATTAACGGCGTGCAAAAATTTGGCTGTTGGTCCGGTACCCGGAGGAGTCGCACCCTGAAGAAATCTTTTGGCCATCCTCGAGGCAGATCTAACGTCGTCACCGCAACCACCCCACTTGAATGTATTCCTACCGGTTAGTCCACCAAATGACATAGTTGCCGTCGCTAGCGAGGAGGAAGATACCAAGGCCGATGGAGATGGTGGCTCCTTTCTTGGTGGTGTTGCACAGGAGCAAGCCGCTAAGTTGCCTAGTGCACAACCCCTTGCCAATCTCCAGACAGCCGCTGCCGCCGACATCGCATAAACGAATGCTTGCTCTCTCGTTCCTTGACAATAAAAGATATCAGCCGATCTCCTCAAACTCTTCTCTTCTCTTCTCTTCGATTCCATCTTTTTCTTTTATCGTACGTACGTACGTACGTATGTATATATGCATGTATGTATGTATGTATGTACAGGACTGTATATAACATAAATATGTACCGTGAATATCTTTTATCGATGCCAACTCGCGTCAAATCTATATCTTTACATATTTCTCTTCGGATCAAATTGAAATAATTGAAATAAGCCGATTACGAACAATGACTTCGAAATCGAATCGCAAAGAATCGGCTTCCCTAATAGCTGCATACATACATACATACATACATACATATATATCGGTGAACTATTACCTATGAGCGAGAGAAAGCAAACCAGCTCTCTTTGGTTTTTCTCTCGTTAGTAAAAGATCCTGCCGTGCTGAGAGCATTTTATATAGGAATTGAGACATAGTCACGCGAAAGGAAGAACATTTAAATGGGAAGAAACGATCGCTAATTTGCTTTCCTGTTTTTCCTGTTTACAATTGGTACGGGTTAACCTATCGACTCGAACCAATTGACTTTTAACATTGGCTATTACGTTAATCACATAAATGATTGACGTCGGATGTGAATCAAAGTATATCCATCGTTATGAATGAGAAATTGTATAAATGCAATCGTACCTGTTAGTAATTCGGGAGTATAATTAGGAGCACCCTCGATGCTACTACAATTCCAACGACGATGTCTAAATGCTTGTTGACAAACGATCGAAGTATCCCTCGCGGCTTGTACCAGACTAGGCATTACATCGGGAGTTGCCCTGCAAGCTCGCGCCTGTTTTCTTTCCAGAAGACCAGAGCTCTTGGCGTTGGTGCAAGAGTCCTTTGTCCACGTTCGAGCATCGGCCATGCGACCGAGAGCTCTGAATCAAACAATAAAACAAGAATTACATGAGAATTCCAATTTTTACAATTGAAAGTAAAACAACATTTGAATAAAATTACTAATCTATCTAAATGAACTTTGGAAGAGATTTATTAACCGTAACAATAATGGAATTTTATCTATTTATTTATAAGAGAAATAAAATTTATGCGGCTATTTGAAACTTAACAAAAAATTGTTTCTTTATTGATCTAACGGATCTTCGTACGAAGGAAACGCGTGTAATTTCTTAGACGTATTTGCCGAGAATAGCCGTGATCATCGTTTCTTTCTTTCGAAGAAAGATAAAAGAGAAAAAAGAAGGAAGGAAAAAAGAAAAAAAAAGAGAGAGAGAGAGAGAGAGAGAGAGAGAGAGAGAGAAAGAAAGTAAAGCACCAAATTATGAACTCGTTATCGGGAGCGATCCGACTCGTTTGTTTATCGCTTCGATGTAGCATCCATCGGGGGACAAAAAAAATAATTCGAAAAAGAAAAAGTATCGAGCATCGAAGAAGAAATACGGCGGATGCTGCCCGTAGCGTGCAAAACTTTCAACGCTTGACGTGTAGAGCGAGGGGGAAGTCGGGGTTCGATGGCTCGTAATTGACGTTTAATGCTTGAACGTGCAATCATGTAAATTAGCCGCCTTAAGTAGTCTCATTCGCAGGCGGTAATTATTATAATACTCGAATGTAATTCACATCGTATTCTACCACTATTACGGTAGCTACATTTTTTTACCTCACCTCGTTTTAATACAAGATTTAAATCTGATCGGATACACACGACGTTTCATTAAGCGACTCGTTATTTCGTCACTTTTCATCTTGTTTTTCACTTCGCGATTCGATCTTTACAAAATCTCATTAAACGTAAAAATGCGGGAGTCCATTTTTTTGTATATTTATTTTTTTTCTCTTTCTTTTTCTTTCTTTTAATTTTTTTTTCTTTCTTTCTTTTTTCGTCTTATATTTCTCCAACGTCGAGGGTCATAACATTCGATAACATAAAACACGTAGATCAAACAAAATTTCTTTTATTTCGTCGCGATCGTTATAGAACAGGCTTTCTTTCGAGACCACCTAGTCAACGGGTCTCGTAGGAATAACTATGAATGAACTGTTGATTTATCGTAACTAGACGCGAACGAATACCAGATATTAATAATCTGGTAAGCTCTTGTAAATATCGACACTGACAATTATTATACACGATACATCGTTTAAATCGTTTCCATCCTACATACAAATCGAAACAATCAAGAAAAAAAACTAATCCTTTCATCAATATACATAGATAAACCTGACAGATCAGTTTGGTAGATACGGAAGTCGGACGACGTAATAGCGTGAGATTAAAAATTCTCACTGGGTAAGATTTTTACGAACTTTTTCATTCATATTAAAAGAGAGTATGAATTCTTAAGAGGATGCTTGTAAACAGTTAGATAACTTGACAGGCGGAGAAATGGAGAAATATAAGAAATAATATTTAACGAGCAATAGGAATGTTCGACAGGCAGTCGAACCATACCAGCATGAAAGAGGAACAAAATATATGTATATATACCTTATATATGTATGCGAACAGTCCGGTTACGGACTAGATACGATTTTCGTTCGCCTTATGTATCACCACTACTCGCACTACCTTCGGGGCATACGCACGTTAAATATCGTACTCCGATTTACGAGCAGCATCAAGAAGAAGAATGAGCCTAACCGCTTACTACCGTTGCCTCGTATTAACTAATTTAAATAATCGATTCGTCGAGTGATTTAAAGTGTTGTCATATACGTAGCTACTCCTCCTATTCCTTCTTCCATAAGGAATGTTTTGAAATGAGAGTGTCAATGGATCGTAATCCCAATTGACATGAACCAATATCTAAAATACACTTCCAAGTACAGAGACTACTGCCATGACAAATATTCTATCCGCGATATCGCGAAATTAGTTATAATTTCTTTCCGTCTCGTCTACGTCCACTTTCAATCTCTCTTCCCACTTGTAATCCATTTGGCAAAGATTATACGACATGTATCCTATTTGTATCTACATTTTCTATCTCGTTCTCTTAAAATACATACACCTTAGGGAACGCTTTGTGATCTAATAAATACCTATCTATGCATAAAGATCCCGAGTACTCATACCGACTCACGTTTCGCCTTCGAGCGTGTTCGAGACGCTTCGTTCCTACGATTTCTCTTCTCTTTATTCTTTCTTGTTTCTTTTTTTTTGTTTTTTCTTTTTTTCTCTTTTTTCAGCTCGATGAAATCGCCATACAAGATACCTCTTTCCATTCACGGTCACACCTACCTTATAAGTGTGTTCATAAATCGAAGAGAACGCACACGTGCATCCATTATAATACGTTGATAGGTATATCGTTCTCCACGAGTCGATTCGGAGGTTTCATGGACTTTCAAAAATCTTTGCATTCTTATGAAAATGTGCAATGTTAAGCCTCCGTTAAGCTTCATGAATTCTATACCACGAGCCTACAAGTTTTTTACCAATTTGTTGGCAATATCGAAATTCATTTTGACTCTTGCTATAATAAAGCGTCGTCTTTACGAGGCCAATTACCGCGTACAATTCTATATTATCATATTCGAAATACTTGAGTTGGAAGCTTCTTGAAAGCTCCTCGATAGCTCGTCGATAATATACAACCAGGTATCTCCAACATATTTTTGTTTTTTCAAAGAACTCGAGCATAAATCGAGTACGTTTAATAAGGAGCTTAGACTATACTTTTGTTATACCTATTAGATTCTAATCGTTAATATAATGATTATACCAATTTCATTTGCATCGCCGGAGGAACTATTCATATTCGTTTACTTCTTTATCACTATGATTCAAAATATCAGTTATCGCGTGTTCTTTTCTCGTACGAGACTTTAAAATTGCTTTCGACGTTTCAATCGTAAAATACGATGTTTATAAGCATGATAATAGGCCAGGTTCCATTGGGATTTGAATTACGCAAAGCGAACATCCTACCTATTCGAATACGTAGGTAGAGATTTTCAAAATATAATCCGCCCTCTGTCTCATCTAAATTCGAAAGAAATTAGAAAAACGACCGCATTAAAGTTAACGCTTCTTTAATGTCAAACGATAGGCAGGGTAGTACATAGGTAGATATATACTTTCCTTGAAAATATTTATAAAAAAAAAGTTTATAAAATTAGTCATCATGAATGATTCAATGTCGTCGATTTAGTAAACTTTCTTCATGAAATTCAACGGACATTGATAGGTCGCTTTCGCAAGTCAAGTGTGATCGCAAATTATAACAAATCGATCCTCGATCGCGAGAATCAGAATGTAGGTATTCGCGTCTGAAACGAACGTCTGAAAGGTTTCGAGTTGGGAAAGGAGAAGAAGGAGAAGAAGAAGAAGAAGAAGAAGAAGAATGATCTTTGATTTTTTCATCGTGATGATTAACGAAGATAGGTGTTGCAAACGTCGGACATAACCATCGAACGTTCATTCATCCGTTGTGTGGAAAAGAAATATAAAATAAATATACCTGTATATATTTATATAATTTTCTCGAAGATGTGTGGACGATTTCTGCCTTTTTTCTTTTTTCTCTTTTTGTAATCGAATTATTCGATCGAAGTGATTCGATGAATGAACGGACAGCTCGATTCGTTGCGTTCCTTCGAAGATGAGCGAAACGAATCGTGACGTTCGATGTTCGGAGTCACCCTTCGATTATTCGTCATTGTCGGACGCAATGATTATAAACAAAAGAGAGAGGAGATTTCTAGAAGGGAGAGAGGTCCGGCATGGTGTGGCTTGGCGTAACGTGGCATAGCGTGGCGTGGCATAGCGTGGTCTTTATAAATCACGATTCGTGGGCAACCCCTAATCTTCTACCCGCCTTGCCTCCGGCCCGTTCCTCCCCTTCTCCTTCTCTCTTAGAACGAACAACCAAGTCTGGCTCGTCTTTTCCTTTCGTTGTTTTCTCCGTACCTCTCGGATTTTGGTTTTGCACGCAAAACTACCATCGCTTCTCCATTCATCATCCAGCCAGGAAGCGAGCACCCCTACCGGTTCCCCTCCTTTTCTACACCCCGCCTTAACCTCTCCCCCTCTCCTCCTGGCGATCCGCGAACGATGAAATTAAATCGCACTACGGAACAACACGCGTCGAAAGAGAAGGACCTGTCCGTTTACTTCTTCTTCTTCTTCTTCTTCTTCTTCTTCTCCTTCGTCTTCGTCTTTTTCTCTTTTTCTTACTTTCGTTCATCGTCCACGATAGCGAAGATATCCTCGTGTACGGTTCACAAAGGTAATCGCTTTGAAAAGAAACGGGGGACGAGATTATGATAGATGAGATCTCGTAAAACTTTCGCGCATGCTCTCATCGCATGGATCTTTCTTGAAAGATTCTCAGATACCTACGTATTTACTTATATACATATGTATTTACTTATCAACTAAATTCACTATTCCTCTAAAATCATGCTTAGATAACACCGATTTAACGATGATACGATTATGACATTTATCATATTGATATTAATGATTAATATTCGACGAACTAATCTTTTAAGTTTTGTTTGTAAATTGCTATTTAACAATATCTATATTTATTTATTTATATATATATATATATATATATATATATTAATATTATCTTATTTAAATACGTTATATCTGCTACGTAACCTCTTTTTTTTCTTTTTTTTTTTTTACAGCGGTCATAAAATTCCTGAAAGAACGATCGATTAAGACGCGCGCCAAACATTTAAAGAGGTCATAAAGAGTTACTCCATTCTTACGTACTACCTACGTATAAAGTTTATTTCGTTTTTAACGAGCTATACGCGGACCAACGTAAATTGCTAGTCGTTGTTAAAAAGAATAATTAAGTTTTTGAACGTTCGATCGTTTTTCCTTATGGAAAAAAAAGAAAAAAAGAAAAAAAACCACCAAAAAAAAGAAAAAAGAAAAAAACAATAAATAAAATCAAATTCTCTATACGATAAGATGGAGAAGGCATCGATGACACGTCGATTCTCGACTTCCATTCCTTTTGATATTTTTTTCTGATAATCCAAAGAGATCGTTCGTTCTTAAGGACGCTCTTGGCGCTCCTTAGTTCTTGCCGCTCCCTCCTCCCACACCTACATCGCCACCACCACCACCACCACCACCACCACGATGACCACCCTCCTATCTCCCTCCCTCCCTCTGGCTCCTCTCATAAACGATTTTTCTTTTTTTCCAACGGCAATCTATTTCTTTCTCATTAAAGAACCTACATTAATCTTCGAATTCGTCGGAGAAAAGATTGCTCCGCGATCCAGCCGTGTAAATAAAAAGATACGAAAGGGAAGATGAAAGGAAGATAAAAATAAAAACACAGAAAAAGAACAACAACAGTAATAATAAAAAACCACCCCCTCACCAAAAAAAAAAAAAAAGAAAAAAAAGAAGACAAAGAAAAAAAGGACCATACAAAAGGTATACTCACAGCCACTTGATGCACCTGCCACCTTGTAGGAAAAAAAGTAGCAACAACAGGCAGACTTTCGGAACGCTTCCCTTCGTTAAGTGCATTTTCGTCGTGCCTTCACATTCTAGAAGAGGAGGCTAGTGCGCTACCTGCGAATTCACGAACTTCTTCCCTTTCGGATCGTTTTCGCGTCAGCAAAGAAGAGATCCTCCTCTCGGTGACGATGATGGATATGAACGAAAAGAGGATAGTAACGAAGTAACATTATCGCACGGTCCTTTATCGATTTTTCTTTTCTCGATCTCTCCCTCGAACACTTTTCGTGTCCGCGTACACACCTTCTTCTTCCTTCCTTTATCACTTTTTATCTCTTAATTAATTTTTCCTTTTTTTTTTATAAATGATAAATGATAAATTCGAAAATGACGAAGGAGAATCTCGGTTAGTCGTTCGTACCGTTCAAAGGGAAGGAACGGACTACTAGTAGCCTGCCTCGTCCTCGTGCGTCGGCCCGCGCGATCCTGAAGGATCTGACACGAGCGCGGCGTTCCTCGAGACGATCTCGAACGAGTTTCCGGTGCACCGCGAGTCTGCGTGCTCGCAGGTGTCCAACAGTGCGCGTGAGAGAGAGAGAGATAGAGAAAGAGAGAGAGAGAGAGAGAGAGAGAGAGACCAACAACGTCAGAGAGAAAGAAAGAAAAAGAGAGAGAGAGAGAGAGAGAGAGAGAGAGAGAGAGGGTTTACTGCGATACATCGATAGAACCCGCAGGATTCGTCGATCCACTGGAGGTGGAATCCTCTTTTCCTCCGCCTCTTTCTTCCTTCCTTCTTTCCTTTCTTTCTTTCTTTCCTTCCTTCCTTCCTTCCTTCCTTCCTTCCTTCCTTCCTTCCTTCCTTCAATTTCTTCGATGAGTGAAGGACAACGACAAGACGTCGAGGGGATGCAGCCAGTGAAAAATCCCTCAGTCGAGTTCGCGATCTTGACTGAAAAGTCGAAATATCTTCGGGATACTTATTATCTTCGAAACTTTCTTATCAATCTGACATATTCTGTCGGCCATCGTTCTTTATTTTCTTTGATTTCATTTCAATCATCCGTCGAATCAAGTTCGTAAATAACAGAAATAGATAGTTGAAGGATAATCGTTTTAGTATTTAACTGGTTATAGGTATATAGATGATCGAATGATCTCACGACATTTATATCTAACGATAATTATAGATTCCCTAATCTTCTCATTTTCTGATATGTCCAAGCGGAAAGAAGTAGAGAAAGAAAAAAGAAGAGAGGGGAAAAAAAAGGAAAGAAAAAAGAATAAAACGTCGTATTCCCGTTACATTACGAAAGAAGAATGAGTATCGGTACTTCGGACGATGAGAGGACCTCCATGGAAAATGGATTTAACGAGCGTATCCTTTACTTTTTTTAGAAGGATTTTCCCTCGAGATGAGGAGGCACACTCGAAACAATTTATCACTTTTCCGCTATCGCTTTTCTTCCTAATCCGTAATCCACTCCGTTAATAAAGTATCTCTGGGATAAAGAATAAATCGTGTTTTTCTTTGCACAATATAGATGAAAGACATTTTTTGAAAGAAAGAAAAAATTTATGCAAAGTCATGAAATATGTATACCTATACTTGTGTATGTCGATCGTCTTATTCCATAGCCCATTTTAGGATATCGAAATGAGGAAAAGCGGAAAAATAGGTATTTATCGGTTCGGTCCAAGTAGTTAATACTACTCGCGGTGGTAGTTAGCGAAGCAGGTAGAAGTACTAGATGGGCTTGGAAAGGCGAAAGAGGGTGGATAAGTTCGAGCCGAAACTTAACGACGTAATGAACGTCTGACAGAGGATTATTTATCGACGAAGGGGGTGGAGCGACGAGGGCAGGAAACGACGGTAGGATGAAAAAAGGGTAAAGAAAAGAAGATGCTCGTTCGGCATTGTGAGGGAGATCGTACTAATTATCGGCATGAATGGTGGTGAGTTTCAGAGTGGGGAACAATTCGGTTCAATCGGTTTTCGTCGAGCCAGTAAGAAGGACACATTGCCTTTTACCAAGTCGAAGACACGAAAAAGTAAGGAATCGTTTCAAGTCGTCTTCGAATCGGCTACAGGAACCATCGACATCAGGAAAATAATTGCACGCTTGAACGTTCGCTTCGAAATGACGTCCCTTTTCCTTCGTATTATTTCTTTTTCTTTTCTTCTTCTTCTTTTTCTTTTTTTTAATCGGCTTAGAGGAATACCAATTGGAAGGAAATTAATTGGAAGCACGTTAATTGACATTATATCGCATAAAATGATATAAATCATCTAATTTGTTTGGGGAAACATTGATTAGCTATTATTAATAGCGTTCTGCCGTTGGTAGCGAGAAGATCTTGGAAAAGGTAAAGAAGTTGAAAATATTGCTTTTGGCCGGTAAACGACGTCGGTGAACGGAGATTATTTTCCGGCATTATTCGTCGTCGAAGACATCGGCCATAAAAAGGGGGCAAGCGGATCCGGCGACAGCTGCTCGGCTATTAAAAGCGGCTTAGACCTCTCGGAGACCCTCCGCGCATCCTCACGGAGATGACTATGGCAACGACTATGTCGAGGACGATGACGGTGTCTCGATGCGAAACACAGTCCCTCCTCTACTTCGAGATTTTCTTTCCACGCGGCGTATCTACGCAAAGAAAGCGAGAACGCGTCTCTGCTTAAGAGTCTGTGCCTAATTTTCGAGTCTGTCCTCCAAGCTTGATCGCTAAATGAGCCGTGAAACCGACAGAATGCTCCTGGAGGATGCTAAGAAGATGCTAAAAGGATGACAAAGGAACCAAAACAAAGTATCAATGTACGGCGAAATTAGAATTTGGCATATCGTACCAAACGACGACATTCTCACGAGCATACCACGTGCTGCTACATTATCTCAAAGGCTAGACTTCATATATATAACAAACATTCTTCGCTTACTTTCGAATTTCTTAAAGTCTAAGAAAATCGGAAAATCATTCGCTTCGTAGCACAATTTACCGGTAAAAAGTTTTTATCGTGCCTTTCTCTTTCGACAGGAACACTTTATTTACATAATCTATATATTATGACATCGATAAAAAAAAAATGCGATCTTATCCGCGACAAGTTCGAAAGCTTTCTTAATAATAGGACATTGTATTTAGGATCAAGATAAAAAGTAAAAATTTTAATTATTGAAAGATCAAGAAACGACGTGTTATTAATAGCATTGATAAATTATTATAATTATTATATATACGCGCAGACACGCGCGCAATATATCAATATGTAAAAATTGAAAGAAAAGTTTTAGTATTTTATAGAGGTAATATGATTTATTATCGAGATATATCAACTCGAGGAAAATTTTATCGAGAGTCACACTATTAGCGATGGCACGCCACATAGAAATTCTTGACATGAAATATAATTCTGTGGTATTAGATTTAAATTATCTTCTAGCCAAGGCATCCATGTGCCATTAAAGTTTTCAGGAAAAGAAGCTCGATCAAGGGGGTAATTCGTTTGATTCACAACAACTTTCTTATACCCGTCGATGTATTTATGTAATTTGGTCACGATCTGTAAATTTTATTCGTTAAGTATAATTATTAAATATATTAATATATTATATATATATATATAATATTAAATGTATAAATGCAAATGATAAATGTTCTTTTTTCTTTTCTTTTTCTTTTACCTTTGGATAATACTCAGAAATATCCTTAGTTTCGCATGGATCGTCAAAAATGTTGAATAAACAATCTTCCGTACAATTTCTGAAGTCGGTCGGATGTTTGCAAGATATCTTGGTGCTCTGACGAAGGCTTTTGATTTTATGCTCTGTTAATTTGTTATTTGAAATAATTGAAATGGCACGAGCTACGAGTGAAGACATAACATTTGTTACGTTATATCTTGGATATGAATCATCTACGCCATCATCGCCATAATAATTCCCGTTATTAATAGTTTTACCTACATATCAAAATCCATCAATAATCAAATCAATCCATTTAATGTATTTTATTTATCTAATAAAAATGTTAATTACGTTTGATCAGCTTGTATTTTCCAATAATAGCAGACTCCTCGCCGATTTTATCATCGATATTTACCAGAAGAGAATTTCGCTTGCTCCGTTTATCTTTCCTAATTGTATTCCATTGATCAATACCATCAAAATCTTTCATATAACGAACATTACCACGAGCAGCCGAATATAATGTTGGTAACCAGTCGGTTATATGAATTAGATGATTATAAATTCTAGAAGGTCTTTTTATTAATGGCGAATAGATACAAGCGGGTACGCGAACACCTCCTTCGAACATAGTGAACTTCATCTGATAAAAGATATTAATAAGTTGAGAAACACGTCGAAAACAAAAGAGAGAGAGAGAGAGAGAGAGAGAGAGAGAGAGAGAGAGAGAGAAAGTGGTATGTCCGTATTACCCCTCGTAACGGATAATTCGATCCATGATTTTTCAGGAACCCTTCGGTTTGTGCTCCGTTATCACTGGTAAATAAAATTATCGAATTTTCCAATAATTTAGCCTTTTGTAATGCATCTACTACTCGGCCTACAGACTGATCAAGAGCATTTAGCACACCTGTAAAATTCAAAAGAAGAAATATTAAATTTATCGATGAATAAAATTAACAAATAAACTCGATTCGTTATTAACTTACCAGCGAATTTTCTTCTATTCATATCTTTGATATAACCAAAATCGGTATTAACTTTGTTCAAATCTGGAACTTGCAATTCATCGCCGTTGTCAAGACCACTGGAATGACAGGCAAGATGAGCTATTTGAAGATACAATGGTTTAGCCGGATTATGCGTGGAAATTATTTTTTCAGCTTCCTCAGTTATAAGATCAGTGAAATAACCGGTTCTAAATTCAGGAGAAAGTTTCTTTGGTTTGTCGCGATGTAAATCATTTCCCGTGTGTTTCTAGAAACGAGATTGGTAACGTGTTAACCCATTAATTTATCTTTTTATCAACGAGAATATAAACATATCAGACGAGATACGTCAGAAAATACATCGATCGGTAATCGTAATCCCGGTTTTTTCTTTCTCTCGTAAAAATAAATAAACTTACTTTATATTGCAACTCTGTGATGGTATGGTTGAAATATTGAATGTAACCATTGTAATAGCCAAAAAACGTATCAAAGCCTCGATTAGCTGGTGTATATTTTGGCGCGTAATATCCTACGTGCCACTTTCCAACAAGATGAGTCGAATATCCCAAATCTTTAAGATATCCGGGTAACAGTTTAAACTTCTTTGGTATGGCACGTTGTTCACCAGCTTTTAATGGATAACCTTGCATACCTATTTAAGATAAAATTCAAGATCAAAACCTTTATTACTTTTTTAAATCTTTATGACTTCTTTATTAATTTTTCATCTTCTTTTTTTATAAATAAGTATAACTTTCTAGAATACTTACCTTGTCTAATGGGATAACGTCCGGTTAAAAAAGCCGTTCTCGAAGGTGTACACGTAGGTAATACGTAATTCCTTTGTAAAATCACACCATTATAAGCCAAAGCATCTATGTTTGGCGTAGATATTTGATCCGCTCCATGGAAACTTATATCGTTCCATCCCTAAAAAAGAAAAAAGAAAAGAAAAATAGAAAAGGAAAAGTAGTGACACCAGTCAACGATGCTAATTACACGATAATAATACATATAATTTTCTTACAAGATCATCGGCTATAATGACGATAATATTGGGACGCGAGAATGAAGTAGTATCTTCAACTTCTGTAGATCTAACCAATAAACAACCGCATATTAAAATGAAGAAAAAAACCATTGGCGAGAAATAAGTCATATGGTTGAACTTTCTTCTTTTCATCATCGAAATTATTAAAAAGATTTTATTAAAAGAAAAAAGACGTTTCTTTTTATACTATTATATTTTTCACTTTGAATTTGAGAAATTTTCTTAAATGATAAAATACATTATATGCGAATCCACGAGCACGTTCCTTCTGATATTACACTAAGCGCTTGTCGAGGACTACTAACATTCACGCAACACACGGGCTATGTATACTGTCCATACCATTACTTTTAATAGATAAACGGCTCTGTTGTTCATGAGCACGTAAACTTTCACCACAATATTCTTAAGGAGATTATCTTTGCGTCATATATATTTCATATATTTGCTTATATACCTGTAGAATTATACCTTTTTAAAATGTTTCTTTATTTTTTAAGTGCTTGCCACTTAATTTTATGTATATATGTATATATATATATATATATATATATATATATATATACACGCGATATCATCGTAAATATACTATGTCGATTTTTTACATGGTTGAATTTATCATACTGATTAGTTATCAAAAATAACATACAATTATTATGATTTATTTGCAATGAAATTTCGAACGAAAAAAACATTAAGAAGGTTTGAATTTATTTTATTTTATTATAAATATTGAATGTGGTTCAAGATATAACCATTGTATTTTTAATAGACCAAACTATTTCGCTGTAATTACAACGATCATTTAATTATTGCATATCGTGTCGTTAAATCGAATACTGATTAGACTATCGTCAAACCACTCTTGATATAATCGATTCGGAAATTAATATTATACCGCGAAAATACGCGATAGAATCTGTATGTTTTAAAATTTCAAACGTATATGCTATATTATAGTCAAGTATATAAACTAATGCATCAATACGAATATGTTTGCGAAAAATGTTTATAAAAAAGTTACTTAAATTCTATAAATCATAAAATGTATTTGCTAATGCTTGGATTAATCGCATTATTTTCTTATATAATTCTAATTCGAATTTACGATTGAAATCCTTCGATTAGATTTAAATCGGCTATAAAGTAAAATAATCATAATAGAAGACACAATGGTGTGTTTTATTTGTTTTTATTTTTACGTAATAATAATGAAGCAACAATTCGGTAAGATATTTCTTTACCTTTCTCTTTTTAAAGATAATTTTTCCTTATACTATGTAATACATTATAATCGCTAAAAGCATCATTATGGCACGAAAAAGTAGGGATAAAGAGTCGATCGTGAAAGTAATTGCAGAGTTCGAGTAAAAACCATAACTCAACATTCCAGGTCCGGGAATCATCCATGGTTCCCATGTGTTATTCATTCTCTTTGGATCGGCTCTCCAGTCGAATGGTACCATCGTTTGACTTACCAAAACACGTCCGTACTTTTCCAAGATTAGATCTAGCTCTTTGACGATCTGAAAGTAAATTTTGAAAATCCCAACCAATATCGAAATTAATGGGACAAAAAAAAAAATGAAAAAGAAAAAATAGTAATATCGAATGTACCCTTGGATATTGATTGGCTATATTATTCATTTCGCAAGAATCACTCTCCAAATCAAAAAGGCATTCGGTAACGTTGCACGTCGTGAAAGAACTTCTAGCGTAATAACTCATATTTGATCGACATCTAATCGTTGCTTCATCACGTAAACGTACTATCATACTAGGCTGAGTAACTGGTCCTCCAAGATGATAGGTGATACTATCGGAAACTGAACTCTTCAATATTGTCTCGGCATAGGATGGAAGTTCGGCCGATTTATCGTAATATCCTGAATCACCATAATATCCATCGTAATGACCATATTCTACGGATCCTAAAAGAACAATTTTAATATATCTAAATGTATATCGATAGGTAGCGACTTAAAATTTAGAAAAATAAATTAAAAATTCTACCTCGAAGCAACTTGAAACGTTTGTAAATCGCCCCCTCTGTCCTTTCAATTTCGTCGATATTGAGTAAAATATTTTCCCTTTCTTTACCCTTTTCCTCGCTAAGAAGATGCCATTGATCTACACCGTCGATGTCACCTAGATCTTTTAAATCGCCACCTGCTGCGGAATATAAGGTTGGTAGCCAATCGGTAATGTGTATCAATTGATTCGACACACGTGCAGGCTTTTGTAATCTTGGAGACCAAAGTACAGCTACTCCTCTTACGCCACCCTCGTAAAGAGTATATTTCATCTACAAATAAACATAGAGATATAAATAATATCTATAATCGTAATTTCATTATTATACTTACCCCTCGTAATGGATAATTCGAGCCCCAATTACGAAATCTCCCAATGGAGGGTGCTCCGTTATCAGTTAAGAACAATATCAAGGAATTACTTAACATTGCCTTTTCACCTAACGCGTAAACAATTTTCCCTACGGATTCGTCCAATCCAGCTACCATTCCTAGACATAAGAAAATATAAAGAAAATACATAGCTATAATCTAGTTTAATTCAAATTAAAAATCAAGGATATTTTTATTTTTTGTACTTGCGTATTTGCGCCGATTCGGTTCTCGGATATGCATAAATTCTTTATCCTTCCCATAATCTTGCGGACTCTCTAAAGGTGCGTGTACCGCAAGATGCGATAATTGAAGATAAAGTGGTCGTGGAAGTTCGTGATGTTCGATGATTCTTACTGCTTCTTGGGTAAAGAGATCCGTTGCATATTTATCGGAAAGTCCATAAGCTGGATTTTCACCTCTATGCATATCGTATCCACTCATATTCTAATAATATTATATATCGAATTAATATTAATTTAAATATGTGATATAAAAGTCGATGATAGTTTCACATTTTCTTTTGTTTTTTTTTCTTACCTGATACGTATATTTGTAATCGTAATATGTGACGTAGCTATTATAAAACCCAAGAAAAGAATCGAAACCTCTGTGCAAAGGGGTATGCTGAGCAGTATGGTAACCAACATGCCATTTACCAATTAATTTTGTAGTATATCCCAAACCTCTTAAACGTTCTGGCAAAATTCGTACGTCTAAAGGAAGACCGCGTGGTTCGCCACCGCGAATACCATCTCCTTGCATTCCTTATATCATGATAATCATAATAATTTTTATATCTTTTTTATAAACAATATATCCGAATAAATATTTACATGATAATATGATAAAAAAAAAGTAACAAAAAATGTGACGACGGCGATTATAAGAATATTCCCATTCCTTACCCATACGAATAGGATATTTCCCTGTAAAAAACGCTATTCTTGAAGATGTACTCGAAGGCAATACATAATGTTTATTTAAAATAATTCCATTATATCCAAGAGCATCTATATTCGGTGTTGGTATTTGATTGGAACCATGAAATCCAACATCGTTCCATCCCTACAAATTGTCAAGAAAAATTGATCATTTTCTTGTTACGCACACACATACATACACACACACACACATACACGCGCGCGCACATATATGATGTGTGTAACAATATGTATATATATATATATATATATAAAACAAAAAAAAAACGAAACAAAAAAATTGACTATATACGAAGTACGTCAAAATGTAAAGTATACTTTTCAGTTTATATGTATCTATTCTAATTTTATCCAATTAACCTTATAATTCGGATTAGACGAAATTTTATTAGGCGAGTCGCACTTTTACACCTACGTGCTATTATCTAATCATTCTTTCCATCTTTTTCTCCTTCCTTCTCGTTCATAATTACGCTAACGCATACACATAAATTATAATTAAAATAAAATTTCCTTAAAATGATAAATATAAAGAATATTTTAATAATATAATCATATTGAAAATTTTCTTTTCTAATATTATTTTTACTTTAATTTATAATAAGTACATTCTTGTTTTCATACTTCTCAATGATAATTTATATATTTCTTCTTTTAAAATACTGTTTTATTAGCCAAAAATTTCATTATGAAAAGCATGCTTTATATTAAATGAAATATTGCTATTTTCTTACCAAATCATCGGCCATGAAAATAATTATATGTGGTGCCGACTCGTAAAGGCCAACTGTATATTTCGCAAATAATTTGATGATCAAAAGAAGTAGAAACAGGTATCGAAACTTATAGAAAAACATTTTTCACGTTAGAAGAATCGATAAGAAAAAACTAAAATACATAATATCGAGAAACCATCGTTTATCCTTTCACCAGATAAAAATTAGCCGTAATATAATGTCAAAATTTATTTTGTGCACGATATTTAACGAGAAGCTCCTGCAATTTATAAAAGAACAGAGAAGAGAAATAAACACGTTTATATAGTCCACCCACGAAAGGGAACATTATGAATGAACCGTATGAAGGGGGAAGGAAAGTCCAACAATGATTCAAGCAATAAAGAAGATACGTGTTTCAACTTAGTTGCTTCTCATCTTTCTTGTGATCTACACTTATTTAATCTTTTAATGACGTAAGATATATAGATCTATTTCAATCTTTTTTATTTTTTTTTATTTTTTTTTTCTTTTTTTTTTTCTTTTTTTTTTATAACAAGAAACAAAAGAGTGAAAGAGTATAAAGTTAATATAAGATAAATTTCTCATAGTTTTTATAAATAACTTTTTTCATCAACTAATCTCTTTACTGATTAGAATCAATGAGAATTCAACTTTTGTGTAATATTATCTGAATTGGTATTGAAACCACCTATGAACATAATTAATGATTTAATTCAAGGTCTTTTGTCAAGATGATAAGCAATAAACCATTATTATAAATCATAAGCGTTTATTTTATTTCGAGAAGAATCTAATAAAATAAATATTACTGCATATTTTATTAAACGGAAAATTATAAACAGCATATTTAATTAAACAAAATAAACATAAAATATATCATTTAATAAATTCTGCTGTTTATATAATTTTTCATCAAAATTAATGATCTAAATAAAACTGAAGATAATTTTTTTTATGCGAAAATAATATTTCTATAATGCAATTTTCAAAAAATATCCATACTTTATTTGAACTACACTACAATATTCTTAATTGAAGCATTATATAGTAGTCATAATGAAACATTCCTGTTTCAATATTAAGCTATTATAATATATTGAAATTATATATTATAACCTGATAAAATAGGAAATTTAAAATTATGACATTTTTTCAAGGAAGTAACTATATAAATTTCAATAATAAAAATTATACTTAAAAATTCATTATAAGTACAGAAATTAAAAATATTCCATAGACAATGTATATATATATATATTATCATTAAATAATACATATATAGATAATACAGAAATAGAGTAAATTATATCAATGTATTACAAATATTTTTGTATTACAGAATAATCTTGTACTTTATCCAATGTCTTTAAATTATCCCACCATAGTTGTAATTTATGCCGAAGCATAAGTTGAAACCAAGGTGTTAATGGTGCTTTTATTATACGTGTCAAATCGTTAATCATCGATTTTGATACCCATTGAATTTCACTGACTTCATCAGGATTAGGATCAATTGTTATATAATCTTTCTGTAGAAATAATACGTAATCTATTTCATGTTCACCCCAAATTCCGTCTCCCAAAGAAAAATAATGAATTCTTGATAAATAAAAGAAATCAGAAAGTTGGATCTCTGATAGAGGAATACCCAATTCATAATTAAGTCTTCTTTGCGCTGCTCTACGAATACCTATTGCATCGTCCTCTAAAATTTCTTCAGGAATTTCTGCTAAAGGATGACTGCAACACGAATTTGTATAACAATTTGGAAATGTTACCTAAAATGATATGATAAGTTTATTATTAAAGTTTAAAAATACAAAATATATATTTAATATACTTCCATTTATTCTATTAATAATCATAGATCCTCTTAAAGATTAACTCTATAATATAAAGTTATACCTTCCATGGAGAACGTTTTTGCAATAACAAGTCACCATTCCGATTGAATAAAAAGACACTGAATGCTCTATGAAGTGGTATAGTACCATCATCGGTAATTTTGTGACAATCCCTTTTCGATGCATTACCAATCGGTTTATCAAATTCATCCACAAGAATACAACGCTCTTCCAAAGCTGCTTTTTGCAAAGGTGCTATTTGCGCCATACTATAACCTCTCACATTAGATGCTACTCTTTGTATCATAGAAAATATATTTCTATTCATATTATTTATATTTAAACGTGCTAACACTCGTAAAGTCTATTTTACACTAAACAGTTTTCTTACATTTGAAATATAATATAACTGAACTGTGAATAAGCATTGTATAAATTTAAACTTGTTATCATATTTTTTCACAATATCTTTTCTGCTTGACCATATAAATGGTTTTCTGCGAAGAATGACGCAATACAATACAAAAGCACAACATATTATTCAAACGATAAGATGTTTTTTATACTTATGTACTTGAGGTTAGAAAATATATATAAATTAACAAGCTTTCTTCTCATGGAATGCGGTCAAGTAGTATCGTCCCCACTAAGTGTTCAATAAATCACTTTCAAAATTTTTTAAATTAATTAAATGAATATACATATACGAATACTTTTTGTTATATAAATTTGTAAAATTAAAAAATTAAAAACGTTCACAATGCATATGAGATATACTAATTATACGTTGACGATATATGTATATAGATAATTAATAATCGACGAAGCGAACAAAAAGCGTATTCAAGTGTTTTAATAATAACACATAAATTGTTGAAATCAAATTATCGATATGACGTCACCGTGTTTTTTTTTAATTTGGTTTAAGTTTGCATGCCTTCGACTAATATATATCTCACGTACATTCAAATATTCGATATCTTGAAAACTTTTATCCTGAATTTCCTTTCTTTTTATGTAAATTAAGTGGTTATATCAAGTACATATGTAAATGTGTCCGCATATAATTATAAATATCGACTTTTCGAAGTTATAAATATCCAATTTTTCTAAGTTAATATTTTTTTCAGAGTTTTCGACATTTTTCGAAATTGAAATTCTCATCTAATTCCGTATTAATATATAAAAATAAAATTTTCGAATTATTATATATCACTTATGTTATGTACTGTTCAAAGAAAATACATTAATCAGCATTGTTTTTTCTTGTTTATCTCTTTAAAAGTCTCTATCTAAATTTAATTAAGTTTACAAACAAAACAAAAAAAGAAAAGAAAAAATCGTACGATTGGTGATTATTTTCTATTTGAAAATTAGTCGAACATATTTTAAAGATCAAATGAATATGTAACTAGTAGGACTGCCTTCAAGTGTAACGTTATAATGTATTACAGATCTTAATCTAACCTATAAAAAAAAAGGAAGGTTTTAAAATTGAACATTGGATAAGCTTATTTAATTTGAAAGATAATTTTTAAATAACATAAAAAAAAATAACATGTCGGACGAAAAATCTACAACGCAAGAATTTAAATTGGATCCTGACTGTGAACTACGTTTCGAAGTAGAAAGTAAAAATGAGAAAGTTACATTAGAGGTAAGATCTCTTTATTTTTACATAGTGTAGTTTATCTAAAATAACTTTATTTTTATGTGGTTAGTTTTTAAAGAATTACAAAAACCATTTCTTAAATATTTTAACCATTTATAAATATTCATAAATACTTTCATAACTGTTTCATGTTACATTCAAGTTAAAAAATGGATTAGGTGAAGTATTTGGGACAGAATTAGTGAAAGGTAAAAAGTATGAATTTAGTGCCGGAGCCAAAGTAGCGGTCTTTACCTGGCAAGGATGTACCGTTGAACTAGTTGGAAAAACGGATGTTACCTACGTAGCCAAAGAAACGCCAATGGGTTTATATTTAAACTGTCATGCAGCTATGGAAAGAATGCGAGAGGCAGCAGAAAAAGGAGACAGAAGAGGTCCCATAACTATGGTTGTTGGACCCTGTGATGTAGGAAAATCAACTCTTTGTAGACTTTTATTAAATTATGCAGTTAGAATGGGAAGAAGGCCAATCTTTGTTGATCTGGACGTTGGACAAGGTGATATAGCTATACCTGGTACTGTAGGTGCTTTATTGGTAGAGAGACCATCTAATGTAATAGAAGATTTTAGTCAACAAGCACCACTCGTTTTCCATTTTGGACATAAGACCCCGTCAGCTAATGTTGCTCTATACAATCTTCTTGTAACTCGTTTGGCAGAAGTTTGTTCTGATCGACTTCAGGCAAACAAAAAGGCAAGAGTTTCAGGAATTGTAATAAATACTTGCGGTTGGGTAAAAGGAGATGGATATAAATTACTGACACATGCTGCGCAAGCATTTGAAGTTGATGCTATTTTAGTGTTAGATCAAGAAAGACTTTACAATGAACTTGTTAGGGATATGCCGGATTTTGTAAAAGTCGTTTTTCTACCAAAAAGTGGTGGTGTAGTTGAAAGAAGTCAAGCGCAAAGAACTGAAGCTAGGGATCAAGGAGTACGTGCATATTTTTATGGATCAAGAACACCTTTGTACCCTCATAGCTTTGAAGTAAAATGGAATGAAGCAAGATTATATAAAATAGGAGCACCTGTTTTACCTGCATCTTGTATGCCATTAGGAATGAAAGCTGAAGATAATTTAACAAAACTAGTTGCTGTCACGCCTGGTCCTAATTTATTACATCATCTATTATCCGTATCTTTTGCGGATTCTCCTGAAGATGATGTTGTACAAACTAATGTTGCTGGATTCGTTTGTGTGTAAGTCAAAATGAATATATTTGATCAGATTCTAAAAATCTATTTAAATTTAATATTTATCAATTTTATTATTTTTATTACAGCACTAATGTCGACGTAGATAGACAAACTTTTACTGTACTTAGTCCCCAACCAAGACCACTGCCAAATACCGTTCTATTACTTTCAGATATACAATTTATGGATAGCCATTGATTTCTATTATTTTTATTATAAGATTGTATGAACAACAATGAAATTTGTATGAAACAATGAAATTAAGTAAATTGTAATTTGATAGACTGATCTTATGTTAAGATTTATCACTTTTTGTTTTTTTACTGTATAAATAATATAATGTATCTGTTATTTTTAAGACGAAAAGAAATTATTTTCATAAAACAACTATACTCCTGTATAAAAGGATAAAAAATGTAATTTTTAATAAATAGATAGAAAATAAATATTTTTTATTTATTGTCTCCTTAAAATTAATTTTAAATTTCCCACCACAAAGTCGTATGAAATTTCTATTGAAAATTTATCTTTATTGATCTATTAATGATTTAATCTTATAAATCGAAGGATAAGACATTTTCATTTACATTATACAATTAATAAATAAATGGAGAATATTCAAGAATTAAATAATTTGGATGTTTTTTGTACCGAGCAACAATTGCGAGAAAAGATATACGAATTACAAGAAAAATCGGTTGGTATTTTTCCTTCTACTTTAATTTGTAATACAATCTACATATCTTGTAATAATTTTAGTACATAAAATTTATGGAATTATTAATTAAAAATTTAAAAATTTAGAAATATTTATACAATTGATTATATAGAATTTAAATAGATGACATATTTTTGTTAACGAGCAGGCTATGTTAGAACAAACACAGAAAGAACTTTTAGAAACACGTCATTATTTGTATAATTCAAAATCGACTTTGGAAAACGAAAATCAAATTAATAATGAATTAAAGATGCAATTATCAGCAGCTATTACTATGATCAATCGTTTAGAAGATGAAAAAATGAAAAGTTACATAGAACATGTTCAATTAAAAGTTAATTACGAAACAATGATTAATGAACGGAATTCATTGATTGAACAAACGAAAGCTACGAAATTAGAAATCATAGATAGTAATATAAAATTGCAAACTGCAGAAGACAAAATATCTAATTTGGAAATGTTAAATAAAAATCTTGAAGAATCTCTAATGATGTTACGGGACAATACTTTACAAATGATAGCTACTGCTGAAAGGTAAAAAAAAATAAATGTGTGTGTGTGTATAATTAGTATTGTAAAAATTATAAAAACGATTGCAGTGAGGTTGTGAAACTTAAAAAGGAGCATCAATATTTGCAACAGTCATGTCAAAATATTATAGACCTTAACAAACGTTTACAAATATTTGGATTATGTGCACATAGTATACATCAAAGAGACAAAATCGAAATAGAGCAATTGCAATGTAAATTAAATTCTTTGTCCAGTGATATTTCAAATCATCCAGATTCAAATACCACGTTGCATCCAGAAATTCAAAAATTGTGCGAAAAGGTAAAGTGCATTTATAAATATAGAATTTTATTCTACGTGCGCGTATGTGTACAAAACGCGGATGAATAGAATATATGGATATAATATAATATGTATTCTTACTTGTCAGTTACAGGCATTGATTCAAGAATTAAAATTATCTCTGTAATAAATATAATTGAAAGGAGCAAGGAAGAAAAGTGAAGTCAATAAATGCTCTTGGGTATACATAGGATTAATATAAAATGTATTATATAATAATTGTCTGTATATTTCAGTATATGCCAAACAAGTTTAGTGATTAAAATGCAAATTTGCAAAGATGCAGACTATGACAACAAGCAAATAAAGATATTGCCTGTAAATCCTCCATGTATACAAATCCACTACTATATGCAATATAAAATATATCTAGAAAATAAGCATTTTCGTACATTTATTGTTTTCTGGAACTAATGAAAAAAAAAAAAAAAAAAAAAAAAAAAAAAAAAAAAAAAAAAAAAAAAAAAAAAAAAAAAAAAAAAAAAAAGTTCCTTGCCTAATGATTATAACACTTGAATTACCTATTGGATTTTTGTTCAGTCATCACATGATGCAGTTTCCATTTTAATTGTATTATTAGTAATTGATGAGCTAATAATTATAACATGCTTGTGATGTTTTCTTATTAATTTCGTGAAAAAGCTAATTGCTTAGTAACAATGTAAAAAATGATTGTGATTTTTATACTGGTTAACCTTACTTTATTACTCATTATATGTGGTTTTGCACAGTGATCCTTCCTTCTAAATGTATAGATATATGTTTTTTAATAACAGGAACACAAAAATATTTGATGTAAAAGAATGCGTTTCGTGCGTCTTATAAAAATGATATTCCCCCAATATTAAAGCGAAGTAGTTTATACTTGCATTTCACATTTAGTATTGGTTCTTTAATATTGATTCCATTGTATCCCTTCTTTACATAACAACACCAGAGGAGAAACAATCACAGAAGCACAATGAAATGTCAAAAATAATATGAGACTTGTCACTTTATGAATTTCTTTGCTGTAAATATCACAAACTTCACAACAATATTATTTCACAAATTACTTATCGATAAGATTATAATAAAAGATAATACAAAAATGTAGTTGAAAAAATATTTCCATTTCAAATGTGTACATTACATGTTTTTCTATTTCCTCTTTATAAAAAAATATAATCATTAACGACACAGAAAAACCAACTGAAATAGTTTTGACAATTTCTCCTCTAATGGTTTTCTCAGTAAGAAATTATTTAATGTTAATGATTATAAAAACACAGTCAATGTCCATTATCAAGGTGTAAAATCACAGAGCCCAATTACTGGACAATATGAAGCCTCGTAGAACGTTAAATTTGTTCGACGAAATGTATGTAAGTAATTAATAATAATAGACAAGTTGGCCTCATTCAAAGGTCGTAAATATTTAGGGGGTCAGAGTATAGAACAGCGAGCTAACCAACTTGGTGGTTTCCTTTGTGGTTCCGATGCTTTCAACTGATGACCACCACCTTTAGGTGGATTTGATGCTTCCTAGATAAAATAAAATAAATACACTAATTAGTTATAAAATAGGGCAGATACATGTATTAACATTTTTTATATTATGAAAATAAATTCAAGCATAAATAAAAAATAATTGTTAGTATACTTGTTAAACGAATATATATATATCTAACAATGTAAAAAAAGAAGAGACCTATTTATAAGATGCAAATATGCTAGATTAATAAAATATTGAATGTTTAATTTTTTAATTAAAAATTGCAAAATGTGATGTTAATGATGTTAAGTTACTACATATGGCACATAGATACAAATGCAGGTTTAATATGTTTAATATATTAATAAACATAGTGTTAATAATAGATGCAAATATTATACATAATCTTGCATATAAAGTTAATTAGTGGATATGTAACACAATTTGATAGTGTTACATAAGAAAAGAAAAATATACATTCAAGTAAGAACAGTGTCTAAAGAAACAGTTACCTTCTGTCAAGATAGACCCGCACCAAACAGACATAGAGAAACAGACATAGGAAACAAAGAAAATGAAGTTATTCAATATAAAAAATTACAGGCGATTGAGTATATTACGGCATTTCTGACATTGCTTAGTATAAAGTGTGTTAGAGATATTAATTCTCAAAAAAGTACATTTATATAATACTTATATTTATTACATATAATAAATATATTCCTATAAATAAATATGTTTCTTTAACCAAATATCATTTGTTTCGTATGACATAGTTAAAGATTCTATAATATTCAATTATATACAAATGATATAACCTATACATTATTTTTAAAATTATATTTCTATGAATATTTTTGTGCACAGAATATAAAAAACATGCAATTTTCGAAAGATAACTATGCCAGGAAATTTAATGATGTTGCATAATGCTAAATATATATATATATATATATATATATATATATATATATATATATACATACATATATGTATATATATATGTGTGTGTGTATATTTACAAATAGATATAGCAAAGACATTATTATTTGTATAATTTACTTTGATGCTATTCGTAAGATAAACTTTTTCATTGTTAAACTTTATTCATTGATAGATATAAAATTTCGTTTTATTAAAAAAAAAAAAAAAAAAAAAAGAGAAAAAAAAAAGCTCGAAATATAATGTAATGTAAGCAAACATTAAAATCAATATATGCAATCGTTATATGATAAATTATTAATAAATATTACAAATACTTACCAATTTCTTCTCCATTTTAGCTTTAATGTCACGTGCCAAAGTATAAAATGCCTCTTCAACATTGATACTAGATTTTGCGGATGTTTCCATAAATTTAATACCGTATTCAACTGCAAGTTGTTCACCTCGTTCCTTTGATACTTGTCTCTTGTCTGTAAGTTCACACTTATTGCCTAATAACATCTTCTCTACCTCAGCAGATGCATTTTCTTCTATATTACGAATCCAATTTTTTATATTTTCAAAGCTTTTTTCATTTGTAACATCATACACTAACATTATTCCCATAGCACCACGATAATATGCCGTTGTTATTGTACGAAACCTTTCTTGTCCAGCGGTATCCCTTTTATAGAAAAAAATATACTTCTGTTAATATATAACAATTGAAACAAGCGAAATATTTTTCAATGAATATATAAAAAGTACTTACCATATTTGCAATTTAATCTTCTTGCCATCTAACTCGATTGTACGAATTTTAAAATCAATTCCTGAAATATCAAATACAACGACATAATCTAAACAACATTCGTTGTCATTTTACAATAAATATAAATTAATATTAATATGAAACGAATAAAATTGTAACAGTAAGATATCCATTAGATTTATAATAATACAATTTTATACATATTGTATTCCTGTCAAACTAATTCTTATGGAATAATCATATTATCCCATGTAATTATATAATACAACCTGTTACGCATTATCAAATTTAAATGACTTTAAAAGCATACAATAACAGATTTATTTAAAATTATATTTAATAACTTGTGAAAAATTATAAACAGTGACTATCGTAAGCGTTTAATGAGAATCCATAAACAATAGTTTCTTTGTCTTTCATAAAATAGTATTTGTGTAATGATCACATATATTTATAGATATATGTTTGTATCACGCATGTGGCATTTGATAAGTCATCAGAAAAAATGCTATGAATAATCATGATTACAATGGGAGCAGTACCTACCAATAGTAGAGATGAAGGTCGTATTGAATGCATCTTCGGAAAATCTGAATAATACACAAGTTTTGCCGACGCCCGAATCTCCGATCAGTAGTAGTTTAAATAAATAATCATAGGTCTTTGCCATTTTCACAAATATTCGACCTTTATCACGAGTAGTTTGAATATTATTATTCAACCACCACTACACTATCAATACCTCAGCCCGGATGTTTCGTATTCGCGGTCCGTTGTGATGGTGAAGACAGCTGGCTCCGAATTTTTACTTCAAAATATTTTCGGATATTTGACTTTCTTGATCGTTAGTCATTTGATGAAAAATATTCACTTTTAATCAATGATCCAATCGCAAGCGTATATATTAATTGTTTATTTCTCAAATAACGCTCATGAAATTATTATTCATACAAATTAACAAAGCAAATTTATCGCGCAAAACATCTGTCATAAAAAGCAATGACAGCCATTCGACACCGCGATTTTTCCCTCGTGTTGTGGCTATCTTGTGGCTAGTTTAATTAACTATCGATTGTTCCTTTAATCATTCTCGAAAATCGATCATTCATTCAATCGAGAAATATCGATGTTTACAAACTCTTGTATTGGGCTTCTTATCGTTCTTATCCATTTTAATAATAGAGAAACTAAGAATGAGGCAACATCGTTCGTATCTTTTCTACTTTCATGCGAGAGAAATAATATTTCTACGATTCCACGACGCCATATTTTTTTTTCTTCTTTTCTTTCTTTTTTTTTTTTTTTTTTTTTTTTTTTATCGCTAATACTATCATAAATATTTTTAACTTCAGATAGATTTATTTAGATTTGATTTATGATTGAACATTTCTCATATAAACGACGATTATCAAGTATTATTGGGCAATGATGCTTTAAGTATAATTCCTATTGGTGAGTTTTACACAAATTTTACGGAAACTTTAATCGAAAAATTTCATACGATTTAAATATTTTTAATGTAAAATTAAATGAAAAAAAAGTTTCATGCTGTAAACCATCCACGTTGATCGATACGTCATTTTAAGTATGTAGAACAAAACATTTTATTTATTTGACTATTAGATTTATTTCGAAACGTTAAATCTCTAATTTAAAATTATAAATTTTACTGTACTTTAAAAGAGAATTTGTTGTACTTATTAATCATATAAAAATATGATTTGCCCTATATATTAATATCATTAATAAGAATGAACAATATCACTAATACGCATTGTTAACAATTAACCAGTACTATATTGAACTTTAACAATATTTAATGTTTTAAGTTTAGAAATGAACTATTATTCGAATAATTATAATTAATGAATTATATAAATTCATAAACATCTAAGTATTAAGTACGTACATATATTAGATATTGATATTAATACAATATTAAGTGATATATAATGATACCTTCCAATATACTTATACTAATTAGCATAATTATATATTATAATTAGTAATAATTTTGTAAATAGTATTTTATATTGGTACATGAGAAATTTTCTATACGTTTTCTAATTTGTTATATATAAGTCTTTGTCAAAGTTGCAGAATTAAAACATTTGTATAAACATTATATTAATAATAAATTAAAAGTAAGGAGTGAAAGTTAAAGAAATGATGTTTCTCTATCAATATTGCACTTTGCACTTGATATATATATATATATATATTATCAAGGTGCAAATTGCATCTATATTTTACAAATAAGAGCACAAAAGTATATTAATTAATACTGACATTTCATATAAATAAATTTTACAATATAAATTGCCATTTATAATTGATCTAATGCGCAATGTCATCCAAGAAATTTAAGTTCTTTTGTTAATTATTTATTCATATGTTCTTTCCATCTCGTTCATACCTATCCATTAATACTTATCGAGAATAATAACAGATTAATACGAATAGATTATTGTGATACTTTTTTGAGCTATAAGTAGATTAATACCAAAATCCAAGAAGGCATATGTACAGTCTGCAAATTGCAATTAATTTCTTATTATTAACAATACAATATTTCTTTGAAATAAATTATCTTACATTACCTTCTCCATACCTAAAAGGCAGTATTTTTGCAAATCTTTACAAAAATTGTCTGCCAATGCACATTTCGTTTCTTCATTTAATTCAATTATTCTTTTATATAACCATATTGTAAAATAATAATATTGGTCTAAATTATTCAATCACTGTCCACTACATTTTTTGGTAAACGAGTTAACAGCCGTCTGCTGTCTTCATCTGAACCATATATAACTTCTTCATCTGAATCATTCATCATCGAAAAAGCAGGATTATCTTTCATTATGGATGAATCTGTGTCATAAGTATAATAAGAATTGAATTAATTTTCTTTGATAATAATGATAGTGACGATAAATTAATTATTCGTTTTAAATTGTATTATTTACGCTGTCCATAGACTTGTTGTAGTGCTGGAGCATAAACATATGCCATTGTATACAAATAAAAATTGAGAAGACCATATAGAGCCATAAATTGTGCTGATGTGCGATAGTATGTAGAAAGACGCGAAGCAAAACTATCTTCAAGAACTCCTGCACCAAATTGACGAGAAGTAACTAAACTGCAAACACCAGCAACTACTCCAGCAAGTAATGTTAAAAATCTTAAGCGTAAATCTATAAAAAAAAAAAAAAAAATAATTGTTATATACAATGAAAAATAAATTGATGTCATTTATTTATGCGCATTATTTACCAAAATATGGCATGGATCTTAATTCACTGTATGCCTTTAATATAAGTAGAAGAAGATATGCAATGTAAAAGCCACCTACTGTAAAGAAGAATACTTTAAAACCCTGTAACACAAAAAAATCAAAATTATATTACATATTATTTTATGTTATAAAAACATAATTGGAGCTTATATATTGTTTACATAATAATTTGATGTATCAAGAACATAATTGTATGTTGGATCCTCTAATTCGGTACAACGAAGCCATGTTGCCAATGTTAGAGCTGCCGCCCAAAGAAGACCCACAACCAACATTTTTGGTAAATAAAAAGTAATTAATCTCCTCTCGTTCTATAAAAATAATTCGTATATTAATTGTTATTATTGCAATTCAATATTATTACTATTATAAAAAAAAAAAAAAAAATTTCATATTGATAATACCTGTCTAAGACCATGATAAACACAAAGCCAGAACATGAGAATAGCACATAAAAAAGTTGTTTGTAGAATCGCATCTATCATTCCAGGTACCCAGGAATTTATTAAAAATATCATGGGAAATAAAGGATCTGTGTAAACAAAAAATACAATCCATAGTAGTGTTTCATAAAATCTTAAGTTAAGGTGAATAGTATTATTGTGTATATGAATTAGTTCATATAACTTACTATTATATAAAATTAATAATGGAAGAAGAATAGAAATCCATTTTTGTTCTATTGACCAATCATGTAATGGATACTTTCTCAATGAGTGACCAAACCAACACTGAAATAAAATCATTCATTGCAATTATTATTTTAAAACTTAATATTTAATCTGTATTAATTACCATCACCCCAAAGGTAGTTAGTAAGAAGATCAGTCGAAACCATATCTCAATTTGTGTAAATGCAGGATTGTAATTTTTAAACTGTAAATATGATACGAAATCATAAGGTGCAAATAATTTTAATTTTTAAGTTATTGTGTCCGATGCATTATTTTATTTAGTGCTTACTGACGTAGAATGTGAGATCTCGTATTGTATAACGTTGGTGGAAGCTTTCAAGTCCATGAAAACGTACAGTAATCATATAGTAAGTGTAATCTAAAAATCCAAGATGAGCCACGACAAGTTCCTCGCAAGATTGTCTCTCGCATTTTAGATGTCTTGTTCTATAAATTAAAAGGATGATATCTTATTCAAATAAGAAATTATATTAAAATTATATATACCTATTGTGTATAGTTTCCAATGGTAGGATAGGATTAAGTTTATGATCAATACCGATGCCATCTATTGATACGCTTACTTGAAAACCTTTATCGTATCTTTCATCTGTAAAAAATTCGTACGTATTAAACCAATTTCCTACGTATCCGATATATTTTGCTAAGTGATTTCTACTAGGATAAAATTTTATTGAAGTTATCGCTCTTTTTACCATCATTATTTAACGTAGATAATTTAGCAATGACCCATAATTGTTGGCTGTATGGCGACAAAGCTGGTGTCTTCAATACAAATGGTCCAGTAGCTGTTTCACTTTCATTGACATGTGCCTTTTGTTCGGTTGTAGAAGTTATCGGTGGACCTTAAATGAAAAAGACAAACATTCCTGAGTATGAAAATATATAATATACAATTTAACTAAACGATTATATTTACCAGCAAGTCCAATGAAGACAGACAATCCAAAACAGGCAAAGAAGCCAATAAATACCATGACAAATTCTCTTTTGTGCATAGAATATAAACGCATTTGCACCGATCTATTTTTAAAATAAATATACACGATATATTAATACTTTATTACATTACATAAAATTTTGCAGATTCAAAAAGAAAAAAAGATTAATATTATTGTGTAGTACCTTTCGCAACGATCATGATGATACGCTGGCGCGATGTATTTATTAAATTCGCTAAATAGATCACTAAATTGAGATAACATATTTTTGATCCTAAGATTCATACCAGCTGATGGTAGATGATACGAATATCCTAATCCATTATCCATCGTTTAACAATTCTATAATGGAGTTGATTTGATTTATTTATTACATTGTCATTTTTAAACGCAACATTATAACTTCATTGTAAAATGGTTCCTAAATTTTCTATTATCCAATAAATTGTTTATAATTCGTGAAAAACGTAGAAACGAGTATGTATTTCTTGATATATTTCGATATTAATTAATAATTCATAGTACTGACAAACTTTTACAAAGACGAATTATTATTATTATTATTATTATATAGATATTTCTTCTTTTTTTTTTATCATTCGCTTAAAGAATATTATAAATAAATATTTACGTAACACTTGGAAAAGAAATAGAAAAAAGACGATCATGCAAAATCATACACATATGTGCACGTAAATATTACCCCTTCAATAGCACCACTCAAATGTTGATTTTTACAGTCACAATTCAACTTTTACATTCACGTATATTATCAAATTTAAACGATTATTCGTAAAATGCTAATGATCGTATTAATAAATTTAATTATATACCATAAACATCGTAAAAGCGTACAAAAATGCAATACGTATGACACGATAAGTACAGATCACGGTAGACATTGTGACGCGTACTATTGATTTTTGCACCCTAGGTATATGTATTACGGAATTACTGACTTATCCGATGTATGTGTGCGCGCGTGCACGTTTTGTGTACGTGTAGATGTTATAAATAAAATAAAAATTTCGGAGAAATTATTCCCTAAAGATCACATTAAAGTATTAATGCTATCCTGCAAATATTTTATTCTATTTCATATCACATACTTTCTTTTTCTTTTTTTACATATTTCGCGATTTATTATTTATTTTATAAAAATAATGAAAACCAATTCCAAGACATTTAATAAAAAAAAAAAAAAAAAGAAAATAATAAATCAAATTATTTATATTATACTATAAAATCTCAAAATGTATTAATAATTATTAAATACTTTTATCGTTCGGATTTTACTTTATATATGTTTTTAAAGCAAAATTAAGAATTTATTACAAATTCTATATGTACAATCTTAATGTATGAATGGATGCCTGATTAACGACACATACGCACGTTAATTAGCATAACGTTAAAGAGGTAGGATTTACATATTAATATAGAATACTAGTCCCAATATTTTATTTTGCCATCCCACCCAGCTGTTGCAAGTTTCGAAGGTTCATGTGGATGCCATAAAACATCAATACACACTCCATCGTGTGCTTTCCATTTTTTATATAATTTCGTAGTTTTCCAATCCCATATATAACATTTTCCATCTGCATCTCCTGATACAAGATAACTAAAAAGTAATAATTAAATGCATGCATTAACGTAGAGAATATAGTAAATTATTAAACATTAATCTTATTATACTATAAATTTATATTTATTTATACCTCATGTCAGGAGAAAAATCTAGGCCACATGCATAGCCGGCAACCATATGACCAGTAAAAGTTTTTTTCCGATTCATTTTGAATCTATTTAAGGCTGAGAATATTACAATTTTGTTATCCATGCTTTGACATGCTAACCATTTCTGATTAGGTGATGGTGTCACAGCTGGCATAGAATGCATAGAAGGATCAGCAATATATTTCATGTCAACGGGAATATCCCTAAAGTATAATATAAATCTTTTAATTTCGAAATGTAAATTCCACTAGGAGGGTACTACTATGCAGGAATAAACAATTATTTACCATTCCCAAACACGAAGACTTTTGTCATCGGAAGTTGTAACAAATCTACGATTGTCATCTACAAAAGTGATTGTATTAACTGCGCCTAAATGCCTATCATATTCTTGAGTTATCTCCCCTGATCGTATATCCCACTGTAATTTAGAACAATTATGAAAAGTTTTCTTTAATAAAATTACACAAATTATGACAAATTATTGTATGACTTACACAAATAATTTTCTTATCACTTGTTCCTGCTACAAAAAGATGTTGTTTGTCTGGATCTGGATTAAACTTTGCACAATATGGTATTTTTCTACTTGTAAATCTACTTATACAAGCACCGCTTTCTGTATCCCATAATTTTACGTAACGATCATATCCAGCCGAAAGAAATCTTTTTCCGTCATTATCGAAGCTGACGTCGCGTACAGCCTGACGATGTCCATAATAGGTTCTAACACATCGCCTTTCTTTATAAACTTCCCACAACTGTAAATAACATAATCGTCATATTTAATATTACATCGATAAACAATTATGTAGATAATTGTGTATACATCCTTTACATTTTTTTTTGTTAAATACCTTAACTCTACAATCCATACTAGACGAAAGAAGTAAGTGGGCGGTTCGTGGAAACCATCTGATTTGAGAAATACCCTTTGTATGACCTTCCCACGTATGTATGTGTGCTTTTGGTAGAAAACATCGTTCAGGCGGTGAATCTGATCTCAAGTTAACACCAATATCCTGTGGTGCATGTAGAAATGATCGTCCTTGATAATCCACACTATCTTTAACTAAAAGAATTAAGGAAAATTAGAATAATGTTTCGATAATATATGTGTGTGCGCGCGCGTAAGTGTACGTACTATGCAATACAGTTTTCTCTTCGAGTGGTTTCTCCTCTATTTGTTTTCCTCTTTTATTTCTTTTAGCTAAAATTTCTTCTAATTCTGCTGCCTCTTCTTGAGTAGGTTTGACAACTCGCCTTTCATCTATATAACCACCCCAAGGACCTAAAAATCCTTCAATATCTGCTGGATCATTATTTCTATGTCTTTTTCTTTTATCCGAAGGCCTTAACGTTGTATTTTCAAAGACTGTTTTTCCACCAGATTCTTCAGCAGCTTCCTTTGCACCGATCAAAGTTTTTCCCTCCTCTGCACTACCATCAACGGTTGGATCCAAAGCATAACCTAAAAATATAATTTATCATAGATATTTCATTTTTTTGTAATACGACTATATATAATGCTATTTCAATGATTAAAATGATTTACCATAACTTGCGAATGTTCTTCTTTGATTTTCAAATTGAAATTCACTGATATATGCTTTCTCGACATAACCAGAGAGCATATTCTTCACGGCTCGTTGTTGCTGAGTTTTAAAAGGATTTTCTGGACCTAAATCTGGAGCAAATAATTCCTCATACTTTGGATTATGGGTAACTATAGATGCAGTAGAATCTATATGTTTTACACATAATTCTGTTCCCTATGCGTATCAGAAATAATAAATTATTAATATAAAATGAATGAATAAAATTTAGAATAAATAACGTTATGATTATAAAGGTTAGGAATAGCTTACTGTGGAAACAACTTCAGGCGCGGAACATATTTGTAGTCCAAGAGAACTTATAGATTTGCCAGTAAAAACTGACTCTCTTGGAGAATCATCATTTATATTTTTATCATCTTTAATTTTCTCTTCATTATTATCTATAGTACTTTCATTCTCAGATTCACTGTCACCATCACTACTACCATAATCTTTTAAAGCGAGCATACTTTGAATTGTATAAACAAATATACATAAATTATTTACATTTATTTTTAGATTTTCATTCCATTCAATTATATCAAAATACAATCTTGTTTTTATTATATATACCATAAACCAACATAAACACTAACCAACTTGTGTAAATTTGTATAAACCACATTGAATCAGTTAATGCTTATGTAGATGTAATGTCTTATGTCTATTCGGATACAGTGATGCCAACATTATCGAAATGAACGACGCCATTTTTCTGTGGACAAAATGTCTAGGGAGAGTGTACTAAGGTAAATCTTTTTCTTTTGTTCTTATAATTTATATAAACAAGATAATTTATCATTAATAAGATAATTTATCAATATGTACATACGTAAGAGTTAAAAGAAATATCTTGTATATGACGAATTCCATGTATTTTTCTCTGTCAATTTTGTATAGAAATATTAGGTTAGAAAAAATTGAAAGTTGAATAAAATTTATCGATAGTAATTTTATAAGAAATAAATAAAAAAAAAAAGGAGAAAAGAGTATGTATTTATATTTATTTTTTGGTCGTGACATGGCTATACAAATTTAATATCTATATAGACTTTATTGAATGATCGAAGAATACTTATGCATCTATAGGTTAAGACATGCGCCTACATTAGGCAACCAAACATATACGAGTATTCACATGTATATATTCATCATGGGCAGTGTTATTCTCCTTGAAATCGGGCAACCCGATATACATCGGATATTTTAACGATAAACGTAACAATTTAATTATAATTATACAACGACGTTTTTAACGTTCATTATTAAATTGTAAAAAAAAAAATATATATATATTTTTTTAATATCATGCAGATTCATACTCACAATTCTTGATAAAATTTTATTAACTATAATTTTACAAAGTTTACGTCAGGATATCTATAATGTATTAATTAACAGTATTAATTCTTTCTAAGAAAACATAGATCACGACGTTCACATAGATCTTATTATTAAGATAAAAATATAAGAGGAGAAGATAGATATGAATTTATATGTGCGCCTGCGTAAATGCAATTTCTTCGTAGCGTAGAACGGTAGGATCGATCATTGGGCCAAGGACTCGCATACGAAGAGTTCAATTCCCACGGAAGATTAGTAACGGGTATTCTAAACGTTGCGGTGTCATTATCCTTTAATAAGTAACAACCACGCTCTAAGGCAACCTTTCGATTAGCGATCGGAATAAAGTTTTAACATGAAACACGAAGAGTATATGTTTATATTTAAAAGTACACAGGATACATACATACGTATCCTAATGAATGATATTGTAAGAGAAACATGTTTCGATCGATTCACACCGCGTATCGCGTGTATTTTTAATTCATAATTTACATATCTCGCATGATAGGACTACATTTCGTGGAAAAGAACAGTTTCATGATCGATATCTTACTACTCGATCGATTATTATATTATATGTAATATAAAATAAATTTTTAAAATTGAAAATCATCAATTCAAGAAATTAATCAAATCGTAAATTTTCCATTTAAAAGCGTATTATTTCGATGTTGGACTTCAATTCATTCGATCTTACAACATTGAACATTATTATTTTAGTTCGATAATAATTCATTGATGTACGACGAATAATATGAATTATGAGTGCTGTAAAAATTATTGAAGGTTTATAAATGTAAACGACGATTTAAATTGCAAATATGTTAAAGGTCGATTGATAGAAAGGTACAATGAATTATAAATGGCTAACGAAGAGAAAGCGTCATCAATAATGTTAGATTCTTTACAAGGAAGTACAGATATAGACGAGTAAATGTAACTCGTTTTCGATGCGACGTAATACGAAATCATCTTATTTTCTTTCTCTCTATCTCTCTCTCTGTTTCAATATATTTCATAAAATTATTGTGAAATTAACATATACGTCGGTTTGTAAAAAGTATTATTAATGTCAATCGTAAAATCATTAGTATTAATCGTATCATATATTTTCGTGACAGTTACAAAACACAATTTCTTTTCGAACGATTTATCTCAGAACTTCACGATTTCGTCGCTCTAGAAATAATTTATATGTAAATTCGTGAGATTATGAAAGAACGAAATGGTAACGAAATTTTCGAAAGTTTAGATCAGTTGATATTTCAAAAGAGAAGAAAAAAGAAAATCAGAAAAAAAATTGAAAAAAGAGAGAGAGAGAGAGAGAGAGAGAGAGAAAAAGAAAGGAAGCATTCTGCAAACATGTAATATTATTCAATGTTATACGTATCTTTAGTCAGAAGAATTAAAATTTATGATTGTCTTTCTTATGATAAAGAACCACGAATAAAGCAATTATTTGATCATATTTAATATCCGTATATATGAACTCGTTTACATTTAACATTAAGAGTCGAGTACATATAATATATATAAGTATTCGAAAATCTTAAGACGATACGGATAATTCAAAATTTTCATTATCTTTCTTAATATGTATATAAATATAAATTAGATAGATCGTATAATGAAATTTCTCTATTTATGAGTTTATAAATCATCGAGATGTTAATATACACGATATACCTGTAAAAGTAAAAAATAATCGAAAAAATTTATGATTTATCCAGTTGTAGATCATTCGGATAAACAATAATTCATATTATACGATATTAAATAATAACTCGTATTAAATATAAATTTTATCATTTCGATCATTTCTAATGAAACGACATTATATCAAATTTTTGGTTAAAATCCGAGAATCAGTTGTTACGTAAGAAAACTGAGAATACTTGACACGTTCTCGAGACATCGTTAAACGAGTAAATTTACTTTGAAAAGGCAAGACGTCTCGGTCAAAAACTCAGAAGCGAGTTCGTCGATCTACCGTACGGATCGTCTCTCTGGGAAAGATAAGTAAGTAAGGTATGTTGGAAAATAAGAAACATAAGAAAGAAAGAAAGAAAGAAAAAAGGAAAAAGAAGAAAGAAAGAAAGAGAAAAAAATATGAAGATGATTTTGCGTTCACTCGAGAGTAATCATCGTGGGTTCTTGCGTAAGTAAGAGGAGCGATCGTTGGCCTGCGTTAAGTAATCACGAAAAGTCCAAACATATGATTCTTGAACGAAAAAATTTTCGAATCGAAATGTGACGAAAGTGTCATTATAATTTCTCCAAATTATCCCATATCTTTCTTTTGTCCTCGTATTAAATCTTTCTCCTCTTTATCCCTCCTTTATCCCTGGTTAGAATCCTTTCTCTCTTATTCTCAATTATTTATTGAGAAATTTGAAGTGTGAATTTTTTTTTTTTTTCTATTTTTTTTCCTTTCACTCGAAAATACTATAAGTTTTTCAAGAAGAGTGAAGAGGGAGAAGGAGAAGGGCGGGGGGGGGGGAAGGAGCAGAAGAAAGGGCTTTTCTTTTTTTCTTTCTTTTTTTTTCTTTTTTCTTTTTTTTTTTCTTTTTTTTTTTTCTTTCCTTTTGATACGCCCGTACCTTCTCGAGGGAGGAGAAGCGTTGGCGTCTGCCGAAATAAACTTTCCCGGGTTATGTAAATGCACGATCTCGGCATGTGTTGCCTCCCGCCGGTATAAAGGTCGGCTCTGCCCCCAACAGTCCAAGAGTTGCTCGCGAACTTCACGCCGGCAACCATCGGGAGAGGAACAACGATCTATATGTGACGCTGCCTGCTTGGACTTCTCTTACCTGTTCAATATCCTTTACCTTTACCACCCGAGGCATCTCACTTTCTCGTGACCAGGCCACCTTACCATTCTCGTATTACACAAACGAAACAGACGTCGTGCCGACCAGCATGCGCGCCTTGGTGAGTGAATTTCTTCTTCATTTTCTGTTCCTCAATTTCAATCGTTATCGTTTTTCTTTTCTTTCTTTTTTTTTTCTTTTTCTGTTTCCTATATATTTTTCTCTTCATATTTATAAATCCAATTAATGGGCTGATCGCCAAATCAATATCATTGTCATTTCCATCTATTTTTTCTTTTCGTTTTTGTTTCTTTTTCTTCTTCTTCTTCTTTTCTGTTTTTTTTTTTTTTTTTCTTTATTTTTATTATGTTACAGTTTTTGAAAGATCTGCGATCGAACTTCACCAATCCTTTAAATATATACGATAACATATAACGCGTTAAATAATTTTTCGTTATAATAATCTTATTATTGTTATAGATAAACTATATAAAGTTCGATGATTAATTAGGATTTATTTGATATGAAAATCGATGAAATTAATATTGACAAAGAAATTGCATTATTCGAGATCATTCAACTCGTATCTATCGGTTAAATCAATAAATTACTTTAATACAGCCTGCGGATATCTTGAAAGCATAAATTATATTTACGATCGTTGCATAATCGACGTATTATGCGATGATCCATTTAATAGAATTCCGTAATATCAAAACAAAATATAAAGATATTTCTTTACTACGAATTCTTTGAATAAAAACGTGAGCAGAAGATCAAAAGGAAATTAATTAGCAATATACATTTTATTAGTTGATAGAATGATAACTTTACAAATTGAAAATAATATTTTATAATAATAACAATCATTTGTTTTATTGTCTTGGTAAAAGTGTAGAAAATATTGAAAATTGAATGACAAAGTACATAAGTTTTCTCAACTGTAATCTTGATAGGCGTTATGTGGGATGTCTGAAACATTCCATGTGACGTTTAAAGTACCGAGACATTTAAAAAGACAATGCACGTGTAACGTGCAAATATTAACGTTCGATTATCTTCAGTTACCTTTTACCAGTTGGGATTCGTAATGGGTATTGTGACCTACCCACTAATACATTCATTTTGCCCTGACCTTTCGCCAGGGAAAGGTATGTTAGAGGATTTACAGAACATGACGAAGAGTAAAGCTGTAGGTGCGTGCGTGTGTGTGTCTGTCTGTCTGTGTGTGTGTCTGTGTGTATGCATACATGTGAATGCCTGTGTACTAGCTTTCGATTTTCTGCTGGGTCTAATCTATGTATGAAATATATGTACATAAATGCGTACTATGTATATACGTGTTTATACCTACTATTATCGAGTATGTTCATTGACTTCAATCTCAAATCGTCTCAACCTTTAAGCAAGAATCAAAGAGTACGGTATCGACAATATCGTTTCTATTAATGAAAACTTTGAATCGAACGTTCAGTCGATAGAGACGTCGTGTAGCGTTAAATACGAGCGAAAGCTCTTCGCAGTTATTCTCTCGACGTATCGTCAATAGACTTTTACGTTTGCCAAGTCAATAAATTAAGATTTAATGTACTCGTAAATGCACGGCTTTAATGTATTTATCGCGAACATGATAACCTCTTAAATGGAATACATGATTTCAATTTTATGTATAGATGAAGACTAAAGGTATACTATAATGAATAGTTTGTTTTATTCTACATCGTACGATTAGATTATTGAATTTAATTAATTTAAATGTCTTCGTGGAATATACAAATCTAATAGTTTCTCATACTTCTTTTTTTATTTGTTTTCTCTTTTTCTAGCTAGTGATCGCGATCGTTGGTCTTGCCCATGGTCAAGAATACTTTCGAGAACCTGAAAAGGTATTGAGCGAATCTCGTGACCTTGGGGATACACGAGGCCATTATTCGTTTGCATACGAGACCGAGGGTGGAATTCTTCAGAAAGAAAGTGGTAGTAGGAAGTATGCCGGTACACCGGATGAAACTCAGCTGATTCAGGGTTCCGTTCAGTACAATGCTCCCGATGGAACACCGATTGCTATGAGCTGGACCGCCGATGAGTTTGGCACTCAAGTGTCGGGTACTCATATCCCAACTCCACCACCAATTCCACCAGCGATTCAACGAGCTCTCGAGTGGATTGCCAAACAACCCTCGACCAGTGAGCAACCGGATCTCCCTCAACCACATCAACAGCAACAACAACAGCCGAAGCAACAACCCTCTTACAGTCAAAATGCTGTTATTAATAATAACATTAATCGTCCTAACAGAGTGCTATCGAATAAACGGTTCTGAAAGTAGTATTATTTAAGTTAGCGTAGAGATCCGTCGTCCGATCGTGAATTCGCGTAATGTTAAATAAATTTTTATGGTATTTTTATTTTTTATACAAAAAGAAAAAAGTATATAAATATATATATATATATATATATATATATATATATATCGATGCGTTACGAGAAAGAGACAAAAAAAAAATGAAATTTTATACAAAAATTTAAGGAGAATGATAGTCATTTGTGATCTCATTAAAGGGTTTGAAATCGTAATCGATGAAAAATAAAGGACTTTTATCTGTTTTTATTCAATCAAGTAATATAAATGATCAACAGGAGGAAATCGATGCAACTTTATAAATGTCACAGATTTTTTTTTAACCATTAAATTTGTGTTAATTTTAAGATATAGAACGACGAATTTTGACAATTTGTTATAATTTTAAGAGTAGATATAAATACTCTCATTTTGTAATTCCTGAATACATTATTATTTATAATGTATCTCGAATGTGTAACGATTATGCTCGTTGAATTTATCTTTTTTGTTCGAAGCGAGTGTACAATATTATGAAAAATTTTATTGTTAATTCAAAAAGTTATCGCGATGGTGACTTTTTAAATGAATATCAAATGATATAACGGACTTACATGTGTTTCAGTTTCTCGTTTGTTAATTGATAATTAAGTTTTGCCTTTTACGAAAAAGAGAGAAAGATTATGCTAATTCAATAACGGTTTCAATCATTTTCACTCACACGTTCGATCGAACGATAATGTTTCGATGTTAGTATTAAAAATACCGTTCGATCGATACGTCTCGTCAGATATATTCAGGACTTAACTAGATTTAATTAACTAGATTCATAAAAGCTCTTTATTTATCGTCAAATTATCTTTCATACATAGGTAGATAATATAAGGTAATATATAAATGAATTAACGAATCGAAATTATGCTCGGTTATAAACCGAATTGGTTAATTTGATCATAAACGTCATTAGGAAATCCAAGGATATCTTAAGAGAAGGGAGTTTGAATGATGAAAGAATGAAAAGATCGTTGTCAAAGTTGCGTATATAAAAATGACTTTATTTACAGTAACAATAACATAGTTTGTCCTACTCCTGGGCTTGACGTGGAATACATCTCGAGATTGTTTACAATAATAAATCGCTTCTTATTACTACGTAAGAAGGATCGCGAGTACAAAGGCATTGATTCTTCTACTCTCGTCGAGGAAGGATCGAAATAAGGTATCGTGTGTCCTTTATAGAAAACTTCCTATTTCGGATGCATCCATGAAAGATGAACAGGAGTTGGGCAAAGATGTTAATGAAGAAGAGTGGAGAAAGAAAAATAGAAGGGAAGGAGAAGAAGAAGAAGAAGAAGAAGAAGAAAAAGAAAAAAAGGAAGAAAGATTCTTTTGACAGTGCTATTAATTATTAGTATCATTCTCCTCAGGATGAGCAGCGATGTAGTCTAGAGCCTTCTGAATATGAGTTGGTATTTCTGGTGGAACTGGTAAGTGTTCACCTTGAGGGTGGAATCCGTTTTCGTCGGCGGTATAGGTAACATGAATAGGTAAACCTTCAGGTGAAGTATAGGTGAAAGAACCAGTGACATGTTTAAGAAGGACGTCACCACCGACATTAACCTGCGCTTCTTCCGCAACTTGAATACCATTTGCCGTCTCGTATTCGTAGTTATAGCTACCGTCGGGTGCTGGCTCAGACACCCTCTGTTTCACAATCTGGACCACTTCCTTTTCGTTGATCGGAGCGGTAAAAGCCACCGAGAGGAGGGCGAACAAAACGATTGCCTATAAAAATATTTCATTTTGAAATTAGTTTCGATCGAAGAAATTTCGCGACATTTATTTTCAACGGATTTATTAATTAATTTTATATTTTCTTTTCTTTTTCTTTTCATCTTAGCCGTGACTTTTTTCTATCTCCTTTCACGATATACTCCACTTAGCTCGTAAATATCAATTCCCGTACGAAAAATTTATCGGACAAGCTGCGTATAAAAATTAAAAGGAACATTCGTACGCGTCCATGAGTTATGAATATTAATGAAGATCGTCAGTTTCTCTTTTTCGTATCTTATTTCGATAAAAGAACGACAAGAAGAAGCTCGAGATATTGTTGCGAAAAAGAACACAAAATTCAAGATTTTGTAACGTTTTTTAAGCCACGCTTGAAAGATGCAGCCAATGATAAGGCTAATGGTCTTAAATGATTGGCTAATCATTGTGTCTCTTTTTTTTTCTTTTTCTTTTTACTTTTTTTTTTTTTTTACACCGAGATTAGATATATAAATCCAGGTTAGTTATTTTTACAAAAAAAATTTTTATCTACTATAACAATATATATTTGCTTTTTGGTCTTTTTTTTTTTCTTTTTTTTTTTTTTTTTTTTTTTTTTTAACAAGATCACGACCAAGTACGTTTTCATTGTCGGCTCGTCATTATCAACTCACCAGTCGGCTCATGTTGAGATTAATTTTGATAATTTTTAGATTTGAAGATCTCTCGAAGAAGCTTCGAACTGTTCTGGATTGCCATTTCGATGGAATCGTTCGCTTTATATAGGTATCGAGCAAAGCAAAAAATCTTTTATAAAACTTATACGAAATACTAATATCATAATCTGAATCCCCTCTCTAAGCCAAATCCCTTCCTCCAACCATACTGTCAAACGTGTCACCAAAATTTGACGACTGTTGCCGAATAGTAGCGAACGATTTGAGAAAACTCGAAAATCAACTCTTGGATTTCACACTAGCTTGCGAAAAGGAAGGATATCTTATTACTTCAATGGAATTTTGTGCGAACGAATTTTATTTATTTATTTATTTCTTTCTTTCTTTATTTATTTCATTCGTTATAACGATTACGCGTTAAGACGAATTACGGCGAATTGTTTAAATTAAATGGGCAATGCGTTCGATAGTTTTATTTGCTTTATTTTCTTTTTATTTATTTTTTTTTTTATTATTATAATTTTTTTTCTTTTTTTAATAAATAGAAACGTAAACGTCGATTATCTTAGACGAATGACATCATTACGAATTAGCATGATCGAGAGACGTAAGAATGGAAGACATTAAACTAGGACGACGATTGCTTGCTAAATTAGATGCGTACGTCGTGTTTGGATTCGCTAAGCGCTAGACGATAATAACTATGAGCAGATGCATAAGAAAATATCTTTTGTCTTTCCTTTTTTCTTGCTTTTTTTCCGCCATTTTATTTTTTATTTTTATTTTTATTTTTATTTTTATCTTTTTTCTCCTTTCTTGTTTTATCCTTTCGTTCGAATGAGACAATCGAAAAGAATGATTTCTATTAAAAGCCGATGATATCATGTAAGACGGCTGCTTAAACGCGAAATAAACACGTTCAACTACCGCGAGTAAGATGACGATGAAGATATTTAAAAAACTAAAAGGGAACTTTTCGAATGACGACCTGTAAATACATATTTATAATATGTTAATGGCGCGCGCATACAGCTCTTTTTTTTTTCTTCCTTCTCTTTCCCATCTCCCTCCTCCGGTCCCTCCCTACTTCCCTGCCCTTCCTTTTATTGCATTTTACATAAGAATATATTGTAATAAAAATACTTCATTCGAACGAATCGCTTATAAATATACATTATAACTTATTATAACGATGTTATTATATAATCATTAATTTTCTTTTTTTTGAATCTTCTTTCCTCTTTTCTTCGATTAAAAATCTTATAAATATCTTCTTCTTCTTCTTCTTCTTCTTCTTTTTTTCCCTTTCCTTTCTTCTTGAAACTTTGGATCAACGGTGAAACAGCTGTTTTTTTATTTGACAAAAAGATTAAAAAATAGTCATAGTTAAACTCGAATCGTTAATAAATAAATGTTCCTGCAATAAAATGTTATCGACGATCCCGTTAGACGAAATAGGACAAACATAAATGGAGAATCCTCGAAGAATCCTTGAGAAAGAAATTATGTAGCTCGTCTATGGTTTATCAGATTTTCGAAGGAATTTTTAACGTGGCTGGTATCTCATCGATGAGAATTTAAGAAGATTATTTAGCGAAGACTTTCAATTTGAGTAACACTGCTTCGGGCTACGGCGTATAGCCTTCAAGCTTTATGCGTGAGCCTTATTCTTCGTGTGAACACAAGTCGAAAGGATTTAAAGGATACTCTGTAATTATTTTTAATCCTTTACCGTATCGATGTATATCCAATCGAAATTATTTTTATGAAAAAAGTATATATATATATATATATTACTGTATAAGTAGACGAATCTTTCTCTTTCTCACAATTGAAATAGAATTAATATATCGAAAGAAAGTTTCTTTTTTTTTTCTCTGTGATCGTTAGAACACATGCTACATGTTTAAATTCTTTTTTTTTTTCCTAATTTAAAACACATTTCTCTCAGACATATATTTGAAGATTAATTGTCGTACTTGTAATCGATTCGATTTTGTTACGCTTGGGATTCGCAAAAAAAAAAGAACAAAAAAAATAAGTTTAACCATCGAGAATTTATGTCGAAACAATTGATCGGGGTAATTGCACAAATCGCAAGGACCGTCGATGATTGCCGATGGATCGAAGAAAATAAAAGAAAAAGTCTGTTATTTTTTTTTCTATTTCCACTCTCTTTTTTTTCCTTCGTTTAGCTCGAATCTTTCGCGTCATTTTCTATTTTTTTAAAGAACCCACGTACGAGGTGTAACATTTTACATAATAATTAATTAATAATTTGTAATTCAAGATTTTTATATTTTGTAATTTTGGACAGGGAGAATAATTAAAAATACATGATAGCATAATGCAAAGAGACATACGTTGTGATAAATGGAAATGAAAATGAACTATTATCTATGTTCTAAGGTCAGAATTAGCATAATGTATATCCAACTCGGTTGGAACGTCGCGTCACTTCATAAAGATTATGCTTTGGGTGTTACACAATGTAAAACGTGTATTAGCGTCGTTCGTATCGTTAATTTATAAATTATTATAAAATAAAAACAGGGTCAAACAGATTTCTTACGAAAAGAGAACATCGTTAATATTAACGTCATTCACGGTTTATTCAACATTATTAGCCCTTTACATTTTCAAATAATTTTTTGTCCGAAGATTTCGAGTTGGCTTAACGGGAAAAAGAAATGCGATAAAAAATAATTATCGAACGAAACGCCGAGGAAGATCGATTCGTTTCGTATTAACGTATCGTCACGGCCCTTGGCTATCTCCCTGACGCAATAATCGTTTGCGACGGACATACTCGAAGAATTATCGAACGAAGAAGAGTCTTGCGGAGAGGAAGATATTCGATTGGATTCATCTCGTCTCGTAATAATTGTGTATAAAGAATTTCACCGTTAATTTGTAGCCGTGAAAGAGTAAGGATGATAAACTGATAAAGGGACTTTCGATGAACTTTAAATATCCTCTTTAAAAGACGATGTTCCTACGATGAAGAATACAAGAAATAAGAAAAAAAAAACACACACATATATATATATATGTGTGTACACACAAAGAAAAATGGAGAACGATCGCTCGAGATTCTTTTACGATGGCCGGCTTGTTATCCTCGCGAATTTACGATGCCAGTTACGAGGTACTTTCCATCTTCCCCTTTAAAGGGATTGTAGACAAGACGATGCACTTGGCACATGGACCACCGACTTCGTGTAATTCCTTTTTGTATTTCGGATGGTACCAAGCGAGATCACCAGCATCAACAATTTCGAACGAAAGGCAAGTAGGAGGCAAGGAGAGTCTCCCTGTTAAAGTAGGTCCCTCCTTCGAATGGTATAAGCAGCACCATAATTTTTACAACGGAGGTCGTCCGGCTAACCTGAATACGCGGCATTTTTACTTTCACGAGGCAGATGAGTCGAACTCACTTAAGTTGCTTCAACGAGTATTACGCAGTCGGTGATTAAAGATTCTCATACGACAGCTTATGACAATTCATCACTTCTATTTTGTGAAGAAGCTATGGATAGTTTTCGTCGTTGTATTTGCACTTTACTACGTTATTTATATTTCTTTCTTTTTATTTTTTTTTATTTTTTTTTTTTTTTTTTCATTCAATGATCTTACTAAATGACGATCATTAATGATTATAATTTATCTCTGAATAATTTCGACGAAATATTTCCTTTTAAACATTTTCGTGTCTCATGCGTGAATACCTAACGACGGGATAATTAGCTCAGATAATTCGTTTTAATTAGTACAGAAGAAACAAACTAATGCAACATCTAATTCCTATTGCAATTATGTTCTAACGTGGCGCGATCTATTGCAGTTCTTCATCACTTTTACTCAATGTTTAAGAACGTTCAACCGTTGGTGTTAAAACTTTATGTAACGACATGTTAATTGAGAAGAATCGTAGATTTCTCTATTTTTATATACACATACATACATACAACATACATACATATACATATACATGTGTGCATATCGAGAGAAAAATTATTTCGAAAGATATCTATAATTTATAGTTATGTCATTCGAAGAAACAGAAATCATTATTATTATTTATTTATTTATTTTCTTTTTAAGCAAAATTCACTTTTAACGGATTAATTTAACTTAGGATCAGATTCAACATCAAAGATTACGCTTATAAATTTATCTTCGTTCTTGACTCGTAATATATAATTTTGATGAAATTTCACGCGAAGTATACTTCAAAGCGAGTTAAAAAGTATCGAGTATTATTGCTCCGTTGGTATATCTATGAATTTTCTGTCGTTATCTCGATAACAACTAGATAATCTATTTTATGAAATCTTAGGATCTACCTTACCGGTGGTAATGCTAAATATTACTAGAGTTCACGCGAGTTAACGGATAGATGACGGATGAATGCTTTTCTAAGAAATGCATATAATTATATTTCTGTAATAATCAAGAAAAAAAATCTTATCCATGAAATTTCTTTCGAGAGATCAATAGAGGACGATTATCCTCAGACGAACGTAGAAAATTTTTCATCGGGAAGGTTTTTAAAGAATAATTGAACTTTCAGCTTTGACTGAATGAATATCTTTTATTTATTTATTTTTTTCTTTTTTTTTTTTTTTTAATTTCTTTTCTCTCTTTGTTTGTCCGTTTGTTTTTTCTTTTTGTTGTGTTTTTTTTTCTTCTTTCTTTCTTTCTTTTTTTCTTCCCCCCTTTTCAATTCGATATGATATTTCATTCGGATGTCTCCTTTCTTGAATGTCACGGCGCGTAGATATATCCATTCAAAGGGAATTATTTATTCACCATTATGGAAAACCCTTTTGTCGAGGCAAGAGAATTCGTGGTACGTCGAAGCAAGTCATTTCTTTGCTCACAGCACAGAGAGAGAGAGAGAGAGAGAGGGAGAGAGAGAGCCTCAACTTCATTAATCAAGGCGATGCCTCGAAGGAAGAGACACGAAGCAAACGTTGCAACTGAAATATTGTTTCGCGAGAAGAGCAAGCTTAAACTTTCGTTTCGAATTCGTGCGTTGGCGATAGTTCGCTTTCGTCAAAGACTTTTCCTTATTCTCGTGTACCGTTAATAGAAGAAATTGAGTGGCTTCGGGTTAAAAGGACACTTCAACGACACGACACAGAGTCCTTTTCCTTCTTCTTTTTCTTACGTTATTCTTCTTCGTATCTAATGATTCTTTCTTTAGATGTTGAACGTGTAATTATGATTACGGAGGAGAAGGAGAAGAAGATGAGGAAGAAGGAA